ATTATAACAAGTTGGGCATATATTTTTTTCATTCTTGTAAACTGAATGTTTAACAGTCTGTTTTAGTGATAATCACTTCTTTCTATAGAAAGAAGTGATTATCCAAAGCTGTATGCTATTAAACATGCATACAGCTAGAGTTATGGATAAGAACTTTTAGAAGAAGTTGGGTATATATTATCTCTCAATTTTTGTAAACGTAACATAATCATGAAGGGTCCAATTAAAATGCAAGATAATTACTTCAAATGTTCCCAGAATTCTTTCAAAGATGTATATTCCCTGACCTTGAGGAAATTTTTATATCCCTGATGAAATAATGCACATGATTAGTGTCCATCATACCTCTTAACCTTCTACACCTTAATATCAGTGAAGGTATTCTCCATACTGTTCCCCATACATCCCGTAAGGTACTGACAAGAAGAATTTGTGTAACAATCAACAGCTTCTTTTGATGCTGATAATTTTCCTTACTCTCATGGCCTTACCATGATGCGCACATTCAATGACGATAATTTGCATAAATTCAACGAGAAATGATCCTTATTTCGCCACATGGAAGATCCCAATGAAGCCTATAATGATTTTATTGAAGGATACTCCAGAATCTATAACACCCGTTTCCCTTTAAAGGTTCTCAAAGGTAAGCAGGTAAACAAGTTCTTTTCTCCATGGCTTAGCCGTGGACTTCTGAAATCCGTTAACAAGAAGAACAGACTCTACAAAAAGTTCGTCACATCATCTTCCACATCTTCTGCGATGAAGTATAAAGCCTACAAAAACAAACTCACCCATCTTATTCGCATTGCCAAACGTAAATACTACGACTCCAAATTTGAGAATGCCAGAAATGACCTCAAAACAACTTGGAAATTGTTAAATGAAGTTATCAACAAGCGTAAAAGTAAGTCATCTCTTCCCACATCATTCAAATCTGAAGGCAGAACATTAACGGATCCAATAGAGATCGCTGACAGATTCTGTAAATACTTTACAAACATTGGTCCCAACCTAGCTAAATCTATACCCAAGGTGAATCCTTCTTTTCGTTCTTATCTTGGTGATAATATCCGTTCCTCCATAAACTTAAAGCCCACCACAACAAGTGAACTGGAAAGCATTTGTGACATGTTCGCTTCAAAGAAGGCTCCTGGCTATGACAGTATCCCAATGCATGTCGTTAAATATTCATTTCACCTTATTTCTGCTCCATTGGCAGATATTATCAATCTATCTCTGCTAAAAGGCATTTTCCCGGACAAACTTAAAATCGCTAAAATTATTCCATCTTCAAAGCAGAGGATCCTAACTTTTTTTGTAAACTACAGACCTATTTCTTTGTTGTCTAATTTTTCCAAATTTTTCGAAAAAGTCATGTACAATCTCTTGGTAGAATTTGCCGAAAAACACGATATACTTTACTGCTGTCAGTTTGGATTTCGGAAAAATCACTCGACATCGCACGCACTAATTCATTTGGTAAAAAAAATAACTTCTGCAATCGACCAACACGAAACAACGGTGGGTGTTTTCCAGATCTTTTCAAAGCATTTGACACTCTCGACCATCATATCTTGTTTGCAAAATTGGAGCATTATGGTATCCGTGACGTGACTCTGCCGTGGTTCAAAAGTTACTTTTCTTGCCGCCAGCAATTTGCCCAATTCAATCAAGCTTGATCTCCTATGCAAACCATCAAGTGGGGTGTCCCTCAAGGTTCGATTTTAGGCCCTCTATTGTTCATTCTATACATAAATGACCTCCCTAATGCCTCTGAATTAACAGACCCTCTGCTTTTCGCTGATGACACCAGTATCTTTTATTCTCACTCAAACCCAAATTGCTTAGAATCCGTATTTAATGACGAACTCCAAAATATTGATGTCTGACTAAAATGCAATAAGCTCTCAGTTAATATAAGGAAAACTAACTACGTAATTTTTAAACCCAGACAGAAGAAATTTAACTCCAGCATTTCTCTCTCCTTTGGAGGTAAACCCCTACAACAATCTAACGTAACTAAATTCCTTGGGGTCTATATTGATGATCATCTCACTTGGAAACACCATATCAGCTATGTATGTAAACAAATCGCTAAATCAATAGGTATCCCAATGCATGTCTCGCTTTTTCTTATCCTCTACAACCAAGCTCACTTTGTACTACACCTTAATTTATCCTTATATCGGCTATTGTAACTGTGCCTGGTCGTCCACATACGTATCTAACTTAAATAGAATTTACTACTTGCAAAAAAGCGAGCTGTGCGGGCTATCACCAACTCAGACTATCGAGCCCATTCCGCTCCTTTATTCTCCAAACTAGGACTTTTAGATATTTTCCAAGTCAATACGTTTGAAATCGCCAAATTCATGTTTTATTATAGAAATAACTTATTGCCTCCATTGCTTCTCAATCTTTTTGTAACAAATAGCCAAATTCACAACTATGGTACCAGAATAGCCAGTAATCATCGATCACATTTGTGCCGTACAAATCTCAAGCAATTTACAATTCTTTACCAAGGTCCTAAAATTTGGACCTCTCTTCCTGTTTCAGTCACTCGTTCGTCAAACCTTCTTAGTTTTAAGACGAAAATGCAATAGTTTTTACTTAAATAATCCTTGAGTTGGCCTAGCCGCACATTCGCAGCACTTTTTCTTTACTTAATTTATTAATGTAAGTGAGGTGGCTCTCCCATAAGCCCGGTGGCTTCCTGGGTCTCCTCGCCTTCTAGCTATAACCGCGGCTGTAAATAAATTTTTTTTTGTTGTATTATGTAAATAAGGCAAATAAAATATGATGATGATGATATTGCATGATTCAGGGGTGATATTGTAAAGAGAAATTAGATGCTAGTCACTCTTAGGAGTTAAATAGTTAATTAAACAAGCACACTGAACTATCTTTTTAATTGTATTTTTCAAAAAAGACAATGCGAGAGAACATTTAAGGAAAGTTTAAAAAAATCGTTTGATAACTTTTTTTTTTCTGAGGAATCACTTTAAGACAAAGTCTTATGTTAACATTATCCTTTTTTTCTAAACTAGTTACTATCAATGGTGACTGGAGAGTTTGTCCTCCCTGCTGGCATTGCATCTGAACAAACAAAAAGCTGTGGTACGTAAGCTGGACATAACATTTTTTGAACTAAGTTGTTCGGAACATAATCAGAAGGTTTTTTCATTGCTACATTGCAATCCGCAAGTGTCGATTAGGGAAACTGATTTTAACTTTAGTTTTATCAAAAACAAGCTGTCCATTCATATAGCACAAGACGTTCCAATGATCTTTGTTTACCCCTTCCTCGAACTAACTGGGGTAAACAAACATTTACCAATCAAGCTGCGAACGACTGGAACAGTCTTCCAACTGATCTGAAAGAAACACATCTCTTACCTATTTTTAAATCCAAGCTGAAAACTTTTTTTAAAAGATTTTGATTAATTTTAAACTTTGATATTTTAATTAGTTATCAATTATAAGATTTTGACTCTTTAAATTTATTTTTAAACATTTCATTTTATTTTATTTATTATTATTATCATTATTATTTTATCAATTAGGGTAATTAATTGAATTAATTAGTTAATGAGGGCCCCACTTAAAACTGCTGTGGTGAGTTGGGCTCCCTTGTTAAATATTATTATTATTATTATTATTGTTATTATTATCATCATCATTATTATAGTACCATGCTGGATACATGGAATCAGAGACCTGGTGTAGACATTGTGCAACAAAAAGTTCTTCAGCATAACCCTTACAACTACACCTCTCCTTAGCACACACAGAGTATGTCCATGTTAAAAGAATTCTGCGACAGTAAAGAGCTGTTGCTACCCCTAGCTAAAGTTCCATCATACAAAGGCTGCTTATCCAATCTAAGTAAGACTTCCTCAAAGAGGTAAATAATAGATTCAAGCACATTTTTAACAGTCCCATCTATTTTAATTACAGGTCTTGAGTTCTTTCAACTATAAATACAGCTTTCACACTTTCCAAGAAAGCTTAAGTTCCCTGTCAAAGACTTCTAAAGTAGCTATGTATTCTGATAATTGCATGAAAACACCCACAGTACCATCCCGGGAAAATTTGTCTCGCTGGTCAGTGTAATTTTTTTTTAATAATAGATTTTATCAAATGATTTTTATGCACCTCATGTGCCACCTTCTTTTTTCCTTGACACATTTTAACACCATCTGTGATCTATTACTGAACAGATAAACAGAAGAAAAACTCTGACTTACTACCCCTAGCGCAAAGTCCATCACACAAAGGCTGAATTTGACTTATGAACTTATACCAAGGCCTGTATTGCAAAGCCTAAATGAATGTTTGCTTCCACCAGGAAAACAACCCAAACGTTGTCAAGAGGCTAGCTTTTGACTTAAGCTCTGAACCTATCATCAATAGAAAATTATTTGAAAAATCACTGTGATAATCATAATTTGATAGAACACAAACAAACAGAATTTGACTTTTAAGGTCCTGAATACACAAAATTTCTATCACAAAATGTCGGTTCTCAACATTCACAAAGTATTTTTCATTGCGATTGACGAAGGGCTAACGCTCGAAACGTCAACTCAGTTGTTAACACTAAATTACCTGCATTTAGGACAGTTTTCCCGGCGGGAAAAAAAAACTCAAAGAAGCTTCTTGTATCTGTTTCTACGTGTTACCTGAAGCATTTAGACGGTATTCCGAAAAAGTGACCTTTTAGCCATCAGTTCGTCAGTTACCCTTTAATGGCCACACTTTGTATCATGTAACCAATCACGTATAAAGTACACAAATTGGTATTGAATCTCTTCTCTCGAATCAGTGCTTAATTTGGTGGGCAGATAAGTTATTACAATGAAAAATGGAAAATAAATTCATTTTGTATTCAGTCAGGTAACAACAGAAAAAATTATGGTATATGTTCTAAATTAATTCATCCATTTTTAGAATCACAGTAAAAATCACGAGGCTACTTAAATGATATATTGTCATCAAAATGCCCTCCATGCAAACTGAAGTCTGGTGATACCTTCTTCACCCTGTGAGTAAACAACAGCAGCACTAATTCCGGCCAGGAAACCGTACGACCCTGGTGGAGTCTCAGTGTAGAATCCTCCACCATCCCCTCCATAAGGACCATAACATTTAGGATCACCATTTTCATCTTTCTTGTTAGTGTAAAAGGAGAGGCGGTCTATCATCCATCCAGAATTAACATCAACTTTGACGATCCTTTCATTTTTTTCCAAGTGAAATTCATGGTGTTCGGACAGATCAGAGTCACTTCCCATCATAATCTCTCGGTCACCATCATGATTAAAAAAAATCTTCAGCCCTCCCAGGACAGGCGTCCCATACCAGCGTCGAATCCAAAGTTTCATTCCCTTTATGAAGACGTCACTGCCAAGATCTTCAGCAGCCTCTTTGTTGTTGTGATGTGATGTTTCAGGATGTATGTAGCCACCAGTGGCAAAGGAACACCCCCAACTGACGGTAGGTTTGGCAAACGCCCGAGTGGTCGCCCATATTTCATCGGCTGAATCTTTCTCGGGGGAATCAGTTTTTAGCTTCCGAGCCTTTGAAATGCTTCCTCTGCTGGAGTCTGCAATAAGTTTATGTTCTGAGATTTCTTCCAGATAAGACTCTGATAAAGTTGGGAGTCGTACCAAGGATAACAATTCTGGAAAATGTCTTTTTCGGTTGTCGATATCATGCTCAACATACTTGAAAACAGCTTCCAACACGACCTTTTCCCTTTCCTCTTTGGACGGAATCAGGCTCTCGATAACCACGCAAATACCTTCATCAGCAAGAATCTCTTTCAGGAAACCAATTGGAAGCGACAAAAACTCTTCCATCCGAGTGACTTTGGTAAAATGCAGCAAAAAGTGCTTTTTAGCCTCCTTCATAAGCTGTTCCAGCGCAAACAAATCAGCAAGCTGCCAGATGCTAGGACAAGTTTTATCATTAATTGCACCTTTCAGAAAATCTCCGCACGATTCCTTGACAAAGTCCACCTGCAAATAATTGGATACCTCGAGCAAAGTTTGCACATTGTCTTTGCTGATGTCAATTTTGCCCGAATATGCGAATTCGATCAAATCGCTGACAGCATTCTCGTCAAAGCCAAGAACTTCTATCTCTTTTTTCTCTCCATCGGCCCAGTTTTTTCCGAACAAGGCTTCAAAGTAAGGACTAAAAGAGGCCAGAACAACACGATGAACTGAAAGCCGTCGGTCTTCACTAATCTTTAAAGTGACATCAGAATATCTGCCATCTTTGTACATGGTCAAAAGCCCCTTCAGCAGACTACAGCCATGGCTTGGATCGTTTGCATGTAAGGTTTCCAACTCCGTCGAAAAATACCTTTCCAGAGAAGGTAAACCTCTTTTCATTGCGGCCATTTTGAAGATTTTCCGAGAAGAGAAGAGTTTAAATGTTCGGTTTCGCTAACGTGGTCTGCAAAGTCTTTAGATTTTAGTTGACAGCGGAAGTCGGGGTGACTAGTTACCAGATGTCACACTCAAGTGGAATACATGGTCAAAAGTCCCTTCAGCAGTTTGGAACCATGGCTGTAATCTTTTGCGTTAAAATTTTCAGATTAATATTCGTCGAAAGAGAGCTGACAAAAGAAGAAGTTCACAATCTCTTGGCAGTGGCCATGTAGACGATTTTTATACCAAGGGAAATCCTGATCTTTCGGTTTAATCACGTTGCTTGCAATCAATCAAAAGCAATATATTTTACCTTCATTTTCGAAGCTGAGTATAGCTTTGTTTCTTTATTAATACATCTGGAGAGGACCAAAATACCTCAGTTCGATTGGCGGTCATGGTAATTGGCACTATCAGTCCAGGGCCGGAATGAATCTGCTACAATCAAAACTAGAAAATTTTATATAGCTGCCAGAGCTGATGTAGCTGTGAAAACTGAATGTCATTATTTTTGTCTAGTTGCTTTGTAAAAATCATTACGCTATTCAGAACCGTCAAGTTTTTGTTTCGACGCGTGATTCCCGATTCAAACTTCAACGTAGCCAAGCACTGAGAGGACAAGCTCGAAAACCCGTCTTACTTACAGTTACTTACTTGCATACCGGGTGAAAATGTTTACACGTGCACAAACTGATCTGATAATGAGAGAAATTTCTCTATTTGTGTGGAACATCAAGTAAAGCTTAGTTTGACAATATGTGCCGAAACTGAAAAATTCTGAAAATGAATTTGTTTTCCGTGTTTGATTTAGTATTAGACTCTAAAACAAGACTAATTCCATATCAAGTTTCGATAACACTTTTTTTTTAGATTGCTGACTTATAACGTCTAAAACTGACAGTCGTGTGATGTCTCGAGCCATTTGCCACTGCATGTTTTAATTTATTTCTCCACATCATTAAGTCAACGCGCATTCATAGTAATACTGAGAAAAGGGAAAAAGAAAACAGCAAAGCCAAATGAGTAACTAGTTGAGTCGAGCCATGATGAAAAGACAACAATTCATCACTTGTGTCTCTTGGTAATCCAGCGTTTATGAGAATATTCTTAATGCCAGAAGAGAACAAGTTATTTGTGTTCCCAGAAAGACTACTTGGGTTGTCGTGTTGTTCGTGAACTTTCTTTCCTCCAACCTTGAACATTGACAATGATTCCCTGTGTAGCTCCATCCTAACTATCATGACCTCAAGCTTATAACTTGTGTTGAATTTTATCAATTTTTTTGAGTACACCTTCGCCACTGACTTCCGCTCCTGATTTTATTGCAAAGAGAAGCGTTTGTCTGAGAAAAACAAGCACCTCTCTCTACTTTTTGGGTCACAATCCGACAGCTAAATGATTAAAAGAATCGTAAAGGAAAAAGGAAAAATACCAAATAAGACAAAATTCATAAAGAAGACCTTTCTTTAAAAAATATAATCCCCTCCTAGCAAGTTAGCTTTGAATGGCCGAGGACGATTTGGACGCTTACTAAAGCCATCCTTATCAGTTAACGCAAGTTCAATCTCTTGGAAACTGCGCATGACCAGTGAGATAACCGGCTGAACTAACTACCGGCGTAATGAACACGAAATGGAAGCAGAATATGCAAACACACCTATGTAAACATTGGACCACCCAGCCGGCAAGTGATGAACAACTACGTCACTCGCCGCTGAACAACGACGTCATCACTGATCTACAGGGACACTACCCACCCAGGAATTCGAATGAAATAAGTCAAACTCACACTTTTATACATTTTCATCACCTGTCTGATTGATATTGTATTGATATTGCTTGGAGAAATTCGGTCTTGGTCACTCGTGGGAGTTAAAGGGTTAATGAATGATTCAGCAGTTTTACTGTTAGTAAGGGCAAATTAGATACAAGTCACTCTTAGGAAAGAGTCAAAGTGCTTCTCAGAAAATCTAACCATGCTGATTATAGCCATTCCAAGATGTCACTAATTCATACGTCAATACTTTCACCGACTAGTGCAACCGTCTGGCTTCGTTAACCGGCGAAAACATGCATAAGCATCTAATTTCTCATCACAATTATTACCCCTGAATCACACATTTAAGTCACGAGAACAAAAGAAATGATCACCGACTAAAGAAACTCTTGATCGGTAAACAAATTCTCCATGCCTGTACTGTATTGTTCATAAACCTCAAATAAACCAATAAATAAGCAAATAAGTGCGTGCATTCTTAAAACACGTTGTTGTTTTTCAACAAATGAAAAAGAGGTACCATGGTCTTTAGCTCTTGAAAGAGCACGGTACCTCTTAACCTTTTATACCCTAATATCAGTTAAGGTATTTCCCATACTGTTCCCTAAACATTTCCTAAGATACTGACAAGGAGAATTTGTGTAACAATCAACAGCCTCTTTTGATGCTGATAATTTTCGTTAGTCTCATGACCTTACTGCATGATTCAGGGGTGATATTGTAAGGAGAAATTAGATGCTAGTCACTCTTAGGAGTTAAAGAGTTAATTAAACAATCACACTGAACTATCTCTTTTATTGTATTTATTTATTGTATAAAACAAACAATGAGAGGGAACATTTAAGGAAAGTTTAAAAAAATTGTTTGATAACGTTTTTTTTCTGAGGAATCACTTTAAGACAAAGTCTTATGTTAACCATTATCCGTTTTTTCTAAACTAGATAATCTATGGTAATAATAACAATAATAATAATAATAATAATAATAATAATAATAGGCTTTATTTAGAGAGGGTAACAAACACTTAACAGTAGCCCAAAGACACTGATGACTCTGTGGCCCTCAAACAATTACAAAATATAGATGCTACAACTAATAACAATAATATATACCATATTAAAAAGATAAAATATAAGAAATAATTCATATATACAAAATTACGGTCTAAGGCACATTGCAGCCTTTTGTTCAGCTAGAAAGGATTTAAAAACATGGTGCTTAAAACTTGCAAGCGAGCCATTATTTCTTATATTAGCATTCATACAATTCCTGTCCTTTATAGTCCTAATAGTGAAAGTATGACCTCCTTCTGATTTTCGTTTATCCTTAGGGCACATCAGACTTATATTTGAATGTCTAGTGGCTTGATTATGAATTTCTGAATTTCTAACTAATAAATTATTTAAATAACTAGGCATAATATAGTTGTGTTAAGGTGACAGGAGAGTTTGTTCTCCCTGTTGGCATTGCATCAGAACTCAAACAAAAAGCTGTGGTATGTAAGCTGGACATAAAATTTTCTGGATTCAGTTGTTCCAAACATGATAAGTACCATGCTGGATACATGGAATCAGAGACCTGGTGTAGACATTGTGCAACAAAAAGTTCTTCAGCATAACCATTACAACCACATCTCCCATTATCACTCACAGAGTATGTCCATTTTATAAGAATTCTGTTACAGTGAAGAGTTGTTACTACCCCTAGCTAAAGTTCCATGATCAAGTTCTTTTATTATTTCTTACCCACTCTCTCGGGTAATCAGTCTTTAGTTACCTGACTTATCTCCGTAAGGGAAGAACCTTCATTTTTTAATTTTTTTCCCAGTTTTGTCATTCGTATGTGAGCTGCTGTTATCTGAAAGCAGAACCTTTCCTGTTTTTCCACCTGATTCTGTCTCTCTTGGGTAGTCAGTTCTGTCTGGGCTGTTGTTATCTGAAGGTAGAACCTTTTCTTTTTTTTCCACCTGGCTCTGCCTCTCTTAGGTAGTCAGTCCTATTTGGGCCGTTGTTATCTGAAGGCAGAACCTTTCCTTTTTTTTCACCTGGTTCTGTCTCTCTCGGGTAGTCAGTCCTATTTGGGCTGTTGTTATCTGAAGGCAGAACCTTTCCTTTTTTTCACCTGGCTCTGTCTCTCTTGGGTAGTCAGTCCTATTTGGGCTGTTGTTATCTGAAGGCAGAACCTTTCCTTTTTTTTCACCTGGTTCTGTCTCTCTTGGGTAGTCAGTCCTATTTGGGCTGTTGTTATCTGAAGGCAGAACCTTTCCTTTTTTTTCACCTGGTTCTGTCTCTCTTGGGTAGTCAGTCCTATTTGGGCTGTTGTTATCTGAAGGCAGAACCTTTCCCTTTTTTTCACCTGGTTCTGTCTCTCTTGGGTAGTCAGTCCTGTTTGGGCTGTTGTTATCTGAAGGCAGAACCTTTCCTTTTTTTTTCACCTGGTTCTGTCTCTCTTGGGTAGTCAGTCCTATTTGGGCTGTTGTTATCTGAAGGCAGAACCTTTCTTTTTTTTTTCACCTGGTTCTGTCTCTCTTGGGTAGTCAGTCCTATTTGGGCTGTTGTTATCTGAAGGCAGAACCTTTCCCTTTTTTTCACCTGGTTCTGTCTCTCTTGGGTAGTCAGTCCTATTTGGGCTGTTGTTATCTGAAGGCAGAACCTTTCCTTTTTTTTCACCTGGTTCTGTCTCTCTTGGGTAGTCAGTCCTATTTGGACTGTTGTTATCTGAAGGCAAAATCTTTCCTTTTTTTTTATTTGGTTCTGTCTCTCTTTGGGAGTTGTTTCATTTTAGACTGTGCGTTTTCATCTTATGACAAACTAATTTTGAATTGCGACATAATTAAATTTACTTGTCTTGATTTTTTTCCTTTGCAGATTTAATTGAACGTTAACCGCGAAAAGTCGTGATGAAAAAGCAATGTTTGTTTTAATAAAAAAAGATGGTTTTCCTGTTGAGATGACCAACCAACCTTAACTTAATTACACATCATAAGTGCACGTTCCGTTGACTGGTAATTTTTACGTCGATGTTGTGTTTGCCTTGGTGATGTTTGTCCTCAAATCCCGTGATGTTTCATTTAAAAATAAATAACGAATTAAGGAATAAAATTACCAACGAGTAAAATACCTCTTCTCGTAACGTATTAAATTGCATTTACATTTCCAACTCTTGCTTCAGACACGAGATGTAAAATAGGTCATAGATTGCAAAAGAGATTTGTGAGTAAAGAACTTTTTCTACTCGTCCTTTTTTATTTTATCGCAGCCTTACACATGAGGTTCGCTGTGTTCGCAGTGACGCGCCAGGAAACCACTGCAGGAAAATTTTTTTAAAGATTTTACTCCTTTAATGATCTCTTTAAAGTAAATTACTTCCATAGCATTTAGCCAATTATATGGTGCCGGCGGAGGGTGCAAAAAAACTCCGTTATATATTTCTTTACAGGCCAATATTATTGGTAAAAACCCACACAAACAAGCAAAATGAGTTCTGTTGCGTTGTGTGATCCATGAGTGTTCTCATCGCGGTTAGGGCTTGCTGTTGTTTGCGGTATTATTTTCCGGAGTGGACATACCATTACTACATTTTTGTTAGCGTTTAAACATCGGAAATACATGGTTTTGGTAAAAAACTTCATCTTTTTCAACTCTTAACGACTGTCGAGTTGTGTGTATCAATAAAGTGGGTCAGCAAATTTGCATTATATGTTGCGCAAGGGGCAAGAGAAAATGGTTGACTCCCCGCGAGTGAAGCTGACACTCTAGGTCGATGTCGATCCATTATTATCCTTTGTAAACAAAATTTCGATCATGGAGTTAAATTATAATATTTCTTTGGCTTACATTGTGCGCTTTAAAGTAAACTTGAGTTGTTAGTTCCACGCGTGGATTTAACCTTTAAAAATGCAATCACGCGAGTAAAGCTGACATTAACGCGTGTCCCTATCTGAAAAACATTCGTATTGTGACAAGAAGGGTCTACTTTAGGGTTTTGGGTTACTCTCGCCACGCAATTTGGAAGCCGAAAAGTGCCAAAAAAGTAATTACTGAAAATTTATCCGCAACACCTCGGTCGTTCTGTGGGCGGGAAGTCAGTTCTTCTCTTACAGTTAATAATTGCCAGGCGGATCTCCGATCCGCCTCAGCCTCATTTGCATAAATTATTTGGGTGAGCAAAGCTCGTCATGGTCTCTGTGAAAAATATTATGTGGGAGAATATTGTGAAAAGGGTAATGACTCTATCATTAGTCCTTCTGTTAAAAATATGTTGTCGTGAAAAATTCAAATTGTTCTGCTAAAGTAATTGTTAAATCTTTATGCCTCTGAAGTTCCTCTTGCACCCTTTGGATGGCGGGAAGGGATCCATGCAATTTGATTCCGTCTCGGAAAAGAGAGAACTGTTTTTTCTCCCTTCTTTTTTGTTTCTTAAAAAATATGCAATATGCTTCGTCAAGAACTTTGTTATACCTGAACACACACTGACATAATAAGGAAATGACGTCAATATTTAAATCCATAGCATTGAATAAAAAAGGAAACTTTGGTAATAGGAATCTATCGTTGGCCATGGAAATCAATAAAATCAGAACTAAGATTATTAAAGACAGTTTTGTCAGATACTTTAAGCGGTTTAAGATGGTGAACACTTCCTTTTTGCTTTTCAGTAAAAGTAACATCTTGCAAGGAACATTATGACGTCTTTATGTAAGTATCTTTCTAAAAATGTTTCTTGGTTCTAAGCAGCAACAACATTATCAAGCCATTGCAAATAACCCAAAGGAGGAGTGGGAGGGGTTAGTTCCTTCTAATTTGCTAACAGGAAGCTCGAAGCGGTCGCATTTTTACGACTGGGTCGACTATGATAGGATTGCATTTTCAATAGAGTTATTAGAATAGGGTCGCACATTTTCGGGATTTTGGAGTAAGAAAATCCTTGTTAGTAGGTATTTCGAAATAGGAAGATTGAGACGTACAAAAATATTTGTGCGGTAGGTGAAGAGTAAAGTGTTCTGCATCAAGTTTACCAAATGTATCAATTCATTTTAAGGATGATATACTTAAAAGACTTCGTAAGGTAGATACATAAACACAAAGTGACTAAGTTTGGATCGCGAAAACTACGTTTTCCCAAAAGTAACTAAATTGAGGTCTATAGACTGACCACGGAATAGATTTAGACCAGAAAAACTGTTCAGCAACTCATCATATATGTTATATATAATATTAAACTAGATTAATTGCAATTTCCAAATATGCATAGTAGTGTTACTTCACCCGTGCTACCGAAAGGTCATTTTTGAGATTCCTGGCCCATGACTAAGAGATAATGCAGTCAGCTCTTCTATGCTCTTGCTATCCCTCTAGAGTAAGGCTTAGTTTATTTTTGTTAGAAAAAAATATTATCGAATAAGTTGCAAAGCCATACGAAAAGTAGTAAGGAATAGTGACCCGGTACGAAGTTATTCATTAGGAGAAATTTAGCCGAATCCTAGGCCTAGTCTTTCACGCAGGGAAATTCTGAAGAGAAAGCCTGATCGTCCTTCGATCGAGGAGATTGGGCGAGGAGAAGATTTACGAACAAAAATTAAATTCATAACATGTTACTAGTCATTATTTATGCTGGGACTACATCGAGTCATGATTCAAAGCGTACATGTATAGCAGTTAACTGTATCTGTTTTATACGTTAAGTGGTTTTCTTTGTCCTTGGGCACCAGGTCTAATGTCAGCCAACTAGTTAACCTGTATCTTGGCTCAGAGCCAACCTCCGTTTTCTGTTACATGGGAGATTTTGGATGTGGATTTGGAGGATGGACGCCGGTCATGAAAATTAACGGCACCGAGGTGCCATAGTTTTTCTGTTGGTTTTTTTTGGTTCGGTTTTTGTTGTTTAATTCCTTCTGTATATATGTGTGTGCTTTTGTTGAGATTCACGAAGCCGTAATGCCTCCAAGACTTCGTAACCCACTGAAATAAGTGGCTTTATTTAATGACTATAAATGTTAAAGAAGCGCGTGGGAAAATTTACAAAATAAGTGATAAATGATGACGATGACGATGACGATAACGATAACGATAACGATGACGACGACAACTACAATGACAACGATGACGATGACAATAAAGATGATGATAATAATGGCGATAACGATGACGATGACGATAACGATGATGATGATGATGATGACGATAGTAACTAGGTTAAAAAAGGGAATCGCTCTCTTCGCGGAATGATTAGGAATTAGAGCGCTTTTTGATTGAGTCTTGTAGAACCTAACCAAAGCTATCATAACGGCGGATCAGGAAAAAAAAAAAGAAATTATGAGCAGACAAATTGACCTCGGAGTTGTCAAGTAAACTGCGCATGCCTTAGGCGCTGGGAAACGCGAGTGACCAATTTCAGCTCGGAATTAGTCTGAGTTAATTAGCATTTGAAGCGGATCACTCACGACACTCAATTAAGGACAATTAAAGCTTGGTCTGATTAGTAACGATGAGATGGAGATTAGCACGGTGAACGCGTCCGGCCTGTTCCCTTGTACAGTTTAATTGAAGTGAGTTAAGGGCGATTTGGTCTGAAATCACACCTATGATGTTAGATGATGCACTTGGTATCATCCGTTTCGACATCACACAACTAAATCACCTAATAATAGGATTCGGGTCATAAAAAGTTAGTGCAATATGTAAATACCTCAATTAGAATACTCAAATCTGAATTGAGTCTGATTCCCAGAGAAAGAGATGAAGGCAATTTAGAGCGAAAAAAATGTGATTTGTAAATATTTCGCTCTGCTGAGAGGAAATGAAACTAGAAACAGCACCAGTGATATCGAAATGAATTTAATAAACTGAGATTTAGGATCGATTTGCAAAATGTTTTCACAGAGGAGCTGAACCACTGTTTCATTACTCTTTTTCAGCCCACCTTTCATTTTAACTCGCATTATTGGAAGGATTACGAAGTATACAACCTTCCCGGAGGGGAGACTGGGTTTGACGAACTGGAAACGAAACTGCCTACCTACTGGGACACATCCTTCTCCAAGATCTGTCTCGGTATGAAGATTGGAAATCAGCTCAACTTTATCGTGATTAACAAGAAGGCTGACTCTTTGTATACATTGATTGCTGATGGGCAATACCGCTCAACCTCACTGGGTCGTGACACATGGAAAGAGTTGATTGGTTCACAGGCCTCTTTGCAGCTTCATTGCAACAGGGAAGGTTTTAATGTTGTTTGTAACCGCAACCAATATTCAAAAGCTAGAATTGGTATTATTGGCGACCTCTTCTACCGAGCCCGCCGTTGCTTATTTTGTACATCACGGATTGGATTTGGTGCAGGCGGTTTACCTGATTATGACAGTTCGTGTGGTAACGAAGCACGGCTGCAATCAGATAATGAAGAGAAACGTATAAGGGCCATGGGATACATTTTGGTAGAATAGCAAAACGCGGATGCAGAAAGAGTTTAATCATTAAGAGACGGAGGACTCTTGTAATTTCGAGCCCAAGATATCTGTACCTTTAGGAAACGTTCCTGGGTATGGGGCGCGGACTCATTTTTGAGTGTCACCGTAGATTTAGGCTGGGAAAACTCTCAGACAATTCTTGCTGATCTCCATTGTTTTGTCCAAGAAAATCAGCAAATCAGCGTTCAAACATTATGTTACTTAAACATATTAAATATCTTAAAGAAATATTTCAGCCACAATTACCACTTGTGTTTTTTTTTAGCCTTCTCAAAGTTTAACATGCACCACTCACGGGCTGGGGAAAAGAAGGCTGTGGACCTTTCTCTCTTGTCTTGAGAGTCAATTTGACTGATGTAATCTTTAATGAGAATTTGTATGGATAACACTGGGAATGCAATGTAGCTTGAATAAATACGAAGAGGAATTCAATAAACTAAGTTAAGATCGCTTGCTCCAGCTATGTTACATTTTTTTCTAGTGGAACTTACAACCAGACACAGTTCAGGATTAATGTTCGGATGATCAGCTCAGAATGAGAAGTCCAGTCTGTCTTTATCTACGTCTGACTAATTTTCTACAGTTACCTTCATCTTTAAGCCATCTCCACATTACTGAGTCAACCTTCTAATCACCTACATCTTAAGCCTCAACACCCTTTAACCATTTTACATATTTTCCAGTGTTCACTCTACATTTCCTAAGCCGCTGACAAGGAGAATGTGTTGCACAGTCAGGAGCTTCTTTAGTCGGTAGTCATTTCCTTTATTGTCATGACCTTAATGCGTGATGCGGGGGTGATATTGTCATGAGTAATTTGTTACTGCTCACTCCTAACGGTCAAAGGAATGAATCTATAAAACTGCCCCGCTTATTGCCAGACTCCTTTAGACGGCCAGCATTTTAAATCATTCGGCCCGCGTTCTCTTTATCTCTTTATTTAGTTAAATATTTCCTTCAAACCGCTTTCTTCTCATGATGCGATTTTTTTAGGTTCGCAGCTAGTGAGGATGCTATTTCCTGGCCGTCATCAGTTGGCTACAACTTAATTAATGATGGCCCTCCACCCCACTCTCTACCAAGCACAAAGAAACAACATGTCAACTGTGTTACACCACTGCGCAACAGAAAGGTTTACTCCAGTTCACTCAAATTGATAATTATTTTATTTTAGTTTGGATTTGTTTATATGAAGTCCATACACTTCCACAAACTTAAGGTCCACTACAGTTTTCGGTGGCTGTTTCGGGGGAAGGGGAACGAGAGAACAAAACCCTTTGCCCCAATCCTCTGAAAAAATAGGGTGTCTTCAGACGTAACTAGTAGTTATATTTGCTGGGACGGATCCAGAAAATTTCCTAATTAACATCACTGTGGCGAGAGCGTGAGCCCCCTACTCTTCCACCCATCTTTGTGAACATACTCTCCTGATAATGCAGCACAGCACACCGCTGGATAATGTTCAATTCCAGTGTTCCTCGTTACTACATAGAAGAACGCCTGTCACATTTGAAGTTTAGCGCGAATTTTTTTCAGGTTATCCAGTAAGGAGCTTTAAAATTGTCAGGGTTGATCATATATATATATATATGTATATCTATCAACACGAAATATATATTAGAAATGAGGAAAACTTGACAAAATAAAATAAGCAAACAAATAAACAAAACTAAAATCCTAAACGAACTCACACAAAAAAGAAATAAAAACAGTTTCAGTGCATAACAACACACAAAATAAGGATGGGTGGGTAGGCCGAGGTCCCCTCTTCTCACCACTAAATCCCGCTTCGACTGTGAAACTACTTGTCATCACAATTACAGCTATTTTATTCTCTGCATTAATTTTTATTTACAAAACTGAAAAACCTCTTTGGACGAGAGCTACCACTTCTCCTGTTCACCTTAATTGCTGCCTCGGCAATCGTTTCCTTCTTCATTAAAACAAATTCACTTTTTGTCGTGATGGATATTAGAGATGAGTAACGAAAAAATACTGACATACTATAACCAGGAATTTAACTTCAATAGATGGTTTGCACAATTTATTGAATACACTTTGAATTCCATATGTGACCGAAGGTCTACAGATCAGCTGAAATAAATATACGAATATAAATTTTTCAATGTCTCTCATTTCATAATTTTCTAGTTTAATGCCCATTTTTCAATAAAAAATTACTTGTACAAAATTTGCCTATTTTTTAATGACTTTTCCCTATATTGATCGAAACGATTTTCTAGAATTTCGAGCCAAACATGATACGTTATGTTTCCTCGGTTGTTATGTCTAATTGTTTGGTAATTTTCCATCATTTTTTTTCTAAGGAAGGGGAGGGGGTCAAAACAATCAGTCGAAAACTCTCCTCATTCCCCATGGCATGGGTCTCAGCATCACCAACCAAATCGTCCGGTTGGGCGTTATCTGTTTGATTCTGCCCCGTGTTTTCGTTGTACAGCGGTTCGGCGCTCCGTGGCAGCCCTCTGCTTCTCGTACTGTGTCAAAAACTTGCAACATATCTCCACCATTTTGCTTTGACCTGATTTCTCCGCTACATCGGCGATTTCTCGAATGGCGTCCACACGATTACCTTGGACAGCGATTAGGTAGGCGGATTTCAGCTTGCCGCACATGATGAAAGCGCTTATCTTAAGGAAAGAAAAAACGAAAAAATGATAAATGGAGAAAGACTTATAAACACAGGTTATGTCGAATGGAGCGCAATTCGACTGAGGGTCGTATAACGAAATCAAAGTAATCACAATCACCAATCAGATGAAAGGAGAATATAACAAAGAGCCAATTAGAACTCAAAATAAAAACAAGAAATTGTCTGAATCCGATTGTTTGAGAAAGTGGTTCAATTCTTCTGACCAATCACGGAGCAATGGAAAACCAAACATAATTCTCGTAATACTTCCGACACTCGATTGAAAATGGCAACCCCGAAATCTGTAAGAGTGCTGTTACCAAATGCTCACAAATTCTTCCTACGACTTGTGAACGACAGAGTGAGGATAAATTCAACCCTGATCATCTTAAACTTTATATGGGTGACATGTGGTTTCAAAAGGATGAAAGAGCCCTCAGCCTTGTCAGCCGCTTTATTACCCAAACCAGATACTAGTAGTGGGAAATAAAACTATCTGCAACGTTAAAATCCCCTTTATCATCTTACTCATTTTTTGTTATACATTTATATCCTCGAGCGAGTTACATCATCCCGGGTACCCCCCCGCCCTTCCCCCCACCGACGTAGCGCCACAGTTTCTTTCGTAACGTATTCCCTATATTTATCATGTAATAACCCGCATTGACGCAGCTCCACAGTTTCTTTGGTAACGTATCCTTTATATTCATCATACAATAACCCGCACTAACGCAACAGCACAGTTTCTTTAGTAACGTATCCCCTATATTCATCATGGAATAACCCGCACCCACGCAGCAGCACAGTTTCTTTAGAACCCTACCCCCTTTATCTTCCCATCTTGGCCAGTAATAATTAAAATCCCACATGGTTTCTCAATGATAATTTCTTTAATCTAAACTGGCCTTAATTAACTTCTTTACTCTTAGGGAGTATACTGTTTTACCTTGTTGATGTCGGTCTTTAAATGTTTTATCAGTCCTTCCAGGTACTTTGCCTGCGAAGAAAGGTTACGATTTTATTAGAAAGGACACTCGCATATTTACAAACGAACATCAAAATAGACAAACACAATCAGTGAACATATCCTCGATAAAACAGAGCCCACCTGACTTTGGTCAGCAGCCACGATGCTGACGCATGCCAAAATGATGTCGTCGTGGCATTTGTCTGTTACTTGTCCAGTCTCTCCTGAGAAATGCAGAAGTTCCTCAATGAGTGAATACTTGTATTGTCGAGCCAGCGAGCGGCCAGTGTCTACGTAAACACGAGCCGCCGGAAGGTTATAATCCTGAGAGGTAAGACACACGATAATCAAGTCTTCAGACTACAAAAAAACCCTTACTGGGAAATTATTAATTTAGGGATTGCATTAACTTTGGTTTAGCTCACACTATGAGTGGTCTAGAAAACTCCCGCCATCCTGCACACTCCTCAGATGAAAAATGGAACAAATCCGGACGTATTCACCCACACTTTAATGCACTTCGGGCAGTTTGCTTGTTTTTCCTTTGATTTCTTAATGATTCTTTGAGAGATTTTCCTCTCTTTGCATCGACCGACATAATAACTATGGTCATGGTTTTACGACATTCAACCGAAATATGCTTTTTTGACAGTGATCTTACGTTTGTTTTAAAATGAGACGAGGGAAAAACTGAAAGTGAAGGTACGTAAAAAACGACCGAAATGATTGTGTATTAAGACAAAGTTCGACACCATCCAAGATTCACCAGACTCTCTACTAATAACAACGACAACAGAATTCAGAAACAAACCTGAATTATCCGACTCGCCAAACTAAAACCATCTTGAATTGATGTTCCAGCAAGAAGAACCTAGACGATAATAAACAAAGTACGATAGAGAAACTTCATAAGCTACTGATACACTTGAAAAATCATATAAATACTTGACTTCAGATAAGAAAAAAAAAAAATACAAAAAACCCTACTGACATTACACCAAACCTAAGTGAATTCTGTGTGTAATTATACTAAAGTGTAAATGCGGAAACCTCATCACGAGAAATATAAGGGGTAGTTTCCCAACAAAACTTTGGTGCTTCGTCACACACAAGGTATTACAACTAAGATAATTTAGTTTTATCAACGAAGTTGATAATTTAACTTAGCCATATGGAGGGAATTTCGGTTGAATCTAAAGTTTAGCCTATCTAATGATGACCGAAAAATATGGAACTGTGTGGCAATCATTTCTAACTAAAAGGGAAGTGTTCAATAAATATGACCAAAAAAATGCCCTATTTGGGTTGACGTTTTCAAATTAACATCTTTCTTCATGACAAAAAGCTTTTTAAAAACTAATGTCTGTTTGTGGCGTTAATCGAAGAACACAATATTTACCTGCACGACCATGTCTCCTCTCACATGTCCATTTCCGAATAAGGTAGACAGACGACTCCCTTCACTGGCCCGTAGCAGACCGGGTCCTCCACTTTCTACCGCACACTGGTGCATGAAATTAGTGACCTCTATCTGTAAATTGATTGTGTTCAAGTGACTGTTCAACTCCGACAGTGACATGGCAAAGTGAGATGGTTCTTCAGTCACACTCTTTACACTGCCCGTGCTACGCTGGCGTAAATACGCAAACACTGTGTTTAACGTTCCCTTGGGAGATTTTTTCTCGGCGATTACAGTTTCGATGTGCTGTTTGGCTTCCTCGAGATAGTGCAGTCTTGAGTACAAGTCCTCGTAGGACGTCACAGGGCCTCCAGCCACTCCTTCATAAAATCGGATGCAAGTTTGAGCGGCGCGAAAGAAATCCTGGAAAGGATAAAGGAGAGAAAGGTGGACTGTGTTACAACAATGATGGGTAGCCTGTGAGAGAGTAGGATAAACTAACAGGCCGAATTGGTTACCCTGGAGTAAACGTTAACAAACCCTGATGCTGTTGTGACACTTTTATCCGCCGTATTGGTGCTGAATGTCAAACAACTCAGCCCTGGCTACGCATCAACAGTCACTCATGGAGCTATTTTTGTAAGGCAAGAGGCATAAGAGGTATGAATGATTCGTTCATGCAATTTTGTGGACCAATGATTCAAATCGAAAATGTATCGCAGTGCTTGATGCACAGAATATAGGATAGAAGGCCTAAAAACCCGTTAATGTTATTGTTTAAAGGGGATAAGTTTCTAAAGAAGCTGCCGCGCTGCGTCGTTGGGGAAGTATAACAAAATAATTTGGTATTATCAACTGAGTTGGTAATGTGGATTGGCCACCGTACAGAGTTTCTAAAGCGGACGTTTCGAGCACTAGCCCTTCCAAGGATACTTCCTTCGCTCTTCCTCTTTAGGGGAGGGGCAGGGGGCTTCGAGGAGGTTAATCTCGATCACAGTGAGGTTACGTCTTATTCGTTTTTGCGTGTGCATGGGGGTGATGGCTACTGTTTTTCTGGGCAGCCACTTCAAGCCTAAACACAAACTGAGAGGAAGAGAATTCAGTTTAGCCTCACACTCTAAACATATAAACATATATTCCTCAAGCGATATTTCTCTTTTAAATGTTGTTAGAACATGTGACTTACCCTCATAAACACCTGCACTTCATATAACAGATTGTGAAAACTTCTTCGAAGTAAAAACTTGCAAGCTGCGGTCAAATAAGGCATCCACGCTTGTAGAGTCGGATCTGTAATTTCCATCTGTTCCTTCAGCAGCGCAAATTTGCCTTTAATCACGAGGCGCATAAACAAACTTTCGATAAATACCTCTACGGAACATTGCTGAGGAAGGAAGAAAAAAAGGTTGCACGCGTAGTATCAACTGATTTTTCACGGCAGGACGATCGTTAGTACCAGTATTAAACTATGACAGACCTCTGCGCTTTTCAAGGGTTTAAAACACTCTACACTCTACCTTACTCGTTTGTTTTTTTTCGCAAGAATGTTTTCATACCTGGTCCAAGATGTATCTGCAAGCCAGCTTTAGATGTCCGTGTCTGACGTAGAACGCCACAAGGGATGATGGGCTACCGTACGTGTGGAGATAATACAAGCACTCGTCGAACCGTTTGGGATCTAGGTATGAATCGCCTCGGAAATTCTGCGAGCAATTAAAGAAGTAAAAATATTAAAAACATATCACACATTATTCAAAACGAAAAATTGACAATATTTCGATTATTTCCTGTCAACCGGTCCAAGCTCCATAATGTTAAAACCAGCTCGCTTGCTTCAAATCACGCTTTGTCTCTGTCTATTTTTTTAAACAAGGAAGTTCTGTTCTGTGAAACGTGTTGCGTTGCAAAGTATTATCAAAAGGTTATAACTACTGATAAAGATTATCTTACTCGACTGTGTTCCAATAGTCCAAGCAACGGAGACATGAGATCATCTGTGGACTGAAAATAAATGAAAATTTGAGATAAATATCACAAGAAGTTACAAGAAAAACCAGGCATCAGGCGTCAAGTGGAATTGATTTTAGAAACAATGCTCTGCACTTCAAAACACTTTCAGTTTTATTTACTCATTCTCTGTCGTACTTTAACAAAGTTCAGATGTACTTTCATGGCCGTACTCCATCCCAGTTCCCTTGTTGAAAGGCCACCACTGGGTACTTCCTGAGGGGGGAGCGTTAGACTTAAAAACCCCATTGACTCCTACCTGTCTGTAGGCTAGTAATGGAGATGACTGTAAGATTTCAATGATCTTTTCCAGATATTGCGAGTTGTACTGCTGTTGTTGTTTCCCTCCCTCTTCAGGCTGAAAAAAAGGAGGAACATTTTAGGACAGAACCAGTGGTTGAGAGAGTAGCACAAAATTTCTGGACAAAGCGGAGAAAAGCAAAACCAAAGTAATCCCAGCTTGCTTTGGTCACCCATTGATTCACTTCTTGACTTCAAAGAGAGATGGGCAATCCCAGATTGCTTTGGTCACTCAAAGAGTGATGAGCTTCTTTGTAAAACGATTTTAATTAATCCATCTGAATTAAGGAAGTTATTTAAAAAAAAAAAAAAAAAACAGACAGTTTCATTCCCATCATTTTCTAAAAGAGGCCTCAGAGCTTGGGAGGACGGTAGTATAAGTATATGAATCTATCAAGGAAAGCAGTAAAACAGTAACAAAAAACCATCAGATTAACGTTTACTCTCCTTTCATAATTGCTCTGAACCTTAGTTAAGAAATCATTTTCAAAAAAGCTCTTTCACCTTCATGCAGCGGGAAAACTTTTCTCTAGCCCCGGTGAAATCTCCAGCCTGGAGAAGAGCAAAACCTGCTGCGCCCCACACCCCTGAGGGATCAAGGCCGCACTTTGTGGAAACTTCCATGGCTAGTGAAAGTCGCTCTGCTTCAATGAAACGGTCACGAAGACGCCTGTCGTGGGCAGAGAGAAGAAAGCAAAACTGTGAAAAACTGTGAAGTCAACGTGATGCTGTGTTATATCAGCCTAACAGGCATTCCTTGATGATTTTCTTTACGTTCCGTGGCTAGAAATCATTACACCTTCTATTTCTTGTTCCCTTTCTTCATTAGCTTCATAGATGTTCATTTACTTACTACACAGAGATTGTTTCCCATTTTAGTCCACAGCATTCACCCAAAAGGTTTTCTCATCTTCCCACCCACATCACCAACATATGTGAAGTCGCGGTCTACGGATGGGCGCTCCTTCTTTTCAATGTATGTGGGTAGTTTAAACCTTTCTTACCCATTCCTTTGGGAGCCTTTCTGAGCCTTTGCAGAGTAAGGATGCACTTGATGCACTTCCTCCTTTTCCTACAACCTTATCACTGGTTGTGGAACGTATTACTTCTCTACCTTCCTTGGTTTATACCTGATATGGTCTGCGGTATGACGGAGTAAATCAAATCTCCTATCTTCGCATTCCAGTCGCAAACTTTACTCTCTCAACCCCCCTAGGATCTTAAATCAATTCTTCCTTTAATCGCTCATATATTTCTTGAGCGTTTACTATTGAGAGTTTGGTTTTCAATCGAAAAATTTTCCTGCTCGGTATCTTTCCCTTCTCATCACCTTTTTGCTTGTGAATGTAATTTCATTTTATTGAGAAATTACAATTAGTTAGCTGCTTATGTACAACATTTATCAAGACCTTCCCCTCCCTAACTTTGCACCTTGCTGAATCTTGACGCATGAGATCTCGCAGTGAAGGAATATCACCACAGTTAGACTCCACTAAAAACTTCATTAAGTCCACGTGACCAAGGTACCTTTGACAAAATGAGATAAAAAACATTGATAGTATCATTACTAATTACCAATTATATATTTGATTACGCTTTTGGTTCTTTGGTAGAGTTAAGAATTTATTAGACGAGTTGAAAGGTTTGGGGGGGAACTTTATTTACTATCGGACGCGGGGTTGTTTTACTACAGGTGAGCGATCTTGTTTTACTACAGGGGGGCGACATTGTTTTAATACAGGTGGGCGGTTTCGTTTCATTACGGGGGGACGAGCTTGTTTTACTACAGGGGGTGAGCTTCTTTTACTACGAGGGGCGAGCTTGTTTACTACAGGTGGGCAAGCTAAGGTCTGTCCCTTTCTACGCACCTTGCATTACTTGTGCGGCTTGTGCGCCTATAATTTTCTTAGTAGGGAGTTGAGTCTCGTGGAGAGAGTAATAGCTTTCAATGAAAATGGGCGTTCCTTAGGAGGTTTTCAAATGAAACTCAAAATTAATGTCCCTTTAACATTCTAATATAAGCCCACAAGTCACAAAACATAGACAGGCCAAAACTGGTAGCGACTTACGTATCACAAAGTTCCACGCCTTGAGTCTCTCCGGTCTTCATCATCTTGAGTTTGGCGTTAAACAGCAGATAACGTATCATACTGGAAAATAAAAGTCATCAAATTTACAACAACCAAACAACAACAACAAAGACTACAAACAGTACAACACCGCTAATGACATATAAAAATTATGGTCTTTCTCGCCTTAAGTTACTACGTAGCCTCTTCAAGTCTGATAACCCCAAATCTTATCATATCACAGCCATTAACAAACTTACTCTTGTTCTGCTTTTTTCATCGATCAAAACGTATGATATGTAGTATGAACGTAAATATTTGATAACTGTTCACCGATGTGGAGGTAGCTAGTGGTGGATACCGCTAGCCACGCGACAAGGAGGAATATGAAGATGTGATAGTGTAATCTGATCGTCCAGGTGAGTGTTGCCGTGAGGAATGTTATTGGTAGTAGTCACTGACGCTTCGACAACTTGAGCGGAAGTCATCAGAGTCAGGTGAATAGTTGTTGTCGGTCGAATGTTCCAGGTCCGGTTCGGACTGAGGTAAATAGTTATTTAAGTATATACTAGAACCAGTGAGATAATACAGTACAAAAAGATAATTTGAACTCATGTTTTCGCAATGATTATAACATTTTTGAACGCAAATCCCGCGCGCGTCGCTCAGAGGTTAAAGCGAAGGATTTTCGGAGTTTGAGTAGCCAATCAGAGCGCGCCTTCGAAGCTATCCACTGTTTTTGTACGTAATGCATGTCAATAACTGGGCACGGGTTACATATGCAAAAGACACCAAGCCCTCAGCTTTATTCCTACATGGAACGACCAAGACCAGTAGACGACTTATTCATTATTCTCTGCTGGTTTAATCTTTTCAACTTCGAAAAAATTCCGGACCTTGGTCCGTCTTGTTAAAAGCTGAACCGGTTACGGGCGCGCGATTAGCCAAAAAGAATCAATAATTTAAGATGAAATGCTTCAGAAAAAAAAGTTGTGGGATCGTCAGAGTGAGAGTAGTCTTGATAAAGATTGTCGACAATTAAGCGGAAGTCATCATCAGAATCACGTGGGGAATTGTTGGACAGTCTTACGTTATAGGTCTGGTTCCTGAAAACTGATTGGTTGGTTTTTATTTTGTGCTATTGACCAGGCGACTCAAGAAATGTACGTCAGCTGTGATTGGTCGTTGCAGTCTGTCGGTGAAGTTAAATAGTTCTGGACCTGTCGTAAGTCAGGTGTTGGTAGTTGTTGACACCAGCTGGGTGGAATCTGTTCTATGTCCGCAACCCAGCTTTTTGAAATCGAGTCCTTGAAAAAACTTCGTGCTGTAGGTTTAATATTGAAGAAGAACCACGTCACCACCCACCTTATGAGCAGGTAAGGGTCCAACTCCTCATTACTGGTACCTGGAGCCAATGGGACCAACTTTTGAGAGAGCGAATTACAGAGGTCCAGAATAAGCTTGCCACAGGCCTTGACGTCACTGTGAAGGTCCAATATCGACACACACAAGGAGGCACTTGGGGCCTAGATACAGGATAATGAAAGAAAATAGACCACAGATATAGATCAAAGTGCCCTGTGAGCAAACTCGTGAATTGACAGATGACTTACATGATTTTTAGGATTATGTTTAATGTTATCTGGTTTAGGGAATTTTGTGGTTGATTGTCATATTTAGAGTACGAGCAGTAGTTCAGTGTTCGCTAATGTAGCAAAGAAACAAAGTAACGTTGGAATAAGAAGGCATTACAATTTAAATGATCATGCTATTACATTTGACAAGGGTGGATGATGTCATGTGTTTTAAACATATATCATTTTTGTTTCTGGTTCAAAAGAAAAGGTTGGGAAGTAAATGTGGGTGAAAAGTAAAAATTTACTGTCTATCATTGTAAATATTGGAAAATCAAGGCAATGTTGTCTTAATGAAAACATTAATGATTCCCTCTTTATCAAATGAGACAAACGGGAATGAGTCTTGAGTGATGTAACTAAACCCCAGACTGCCACCGTCATTTTGGATTTCCGCCTGGGTAGATTTTGGCACGTGCTAGGCAACGTATAATCAAGAACAAGATAGAATTTAATTTCAGGCCTATTTATCAATTTTATGGTATATAACTTTCGCATTTTAGCACGTAATATTTATTTAGAATCTTCAAATTGTCTTGAAACTTAAAAGAAAATTGTTCTTTAAAAATTCACTGAAAATCGGTAGCCAAAATTATTTGTTTAGGTGTTATTTGATTTCGTGTTAACCTGTAATTTCATCAGTCGCCGGCACCTTTTGTTGCTTCACACAGAAAACACACGATATGAAATGTAATAATCGATTTTGTCCCCAATCTCACGCCATAACAGAAAAAGCTTTTGAACACCTGTAAACTCCGAGCGTTTCGGAGTAAGTGATATTTTTAATGAATCTTCGGATTGTTTTCAAGTTCAAGGATTGCAAATTACAATTTTATGAAAAACGAAGGTTGTTCTCTTATTTCAGTGTGAATCCTCGCACGCCTGCCAGTCGCTGGCGCCGCTTGTTGAAACTAAAACGAAAAAAAAAGACTCTTTTAAGATTATCATTGGCTTCTTTTTCACCCCACCACTATTCTTAGCAACAAAGGTCGCCATTTCGTTCGTTTATTACTCGCCAAAAACTATCAAATGCACTCAAAAGCCTAAAATCGAAAAAAAGTTTGCAGGAATCGACCAATCGAGCGAGCGAGCGAGCGAGTGCCATTCTCCAAATCATATCTACAACTCGCTGTTACGGATGCGCGCAATTCACGAGTTAAAAACGACCGTAAACGTATTGGTTACCGTAGTGAAATGTGACACCCTGTGCTGTCCGTTACGACTACTTACCTGTTCATAGTAGAACTCGTCTCTTAACGAAGAGTTGGTTTCCTCGTCTAAACCTAGTTTCCAGAGACATTTTGCATTCATGTCTTCTGTAAGGTAGCTCAACGAAGTAGTTTCCTCAAGATAACTCCTTGAAACATTATCTGGACCACTACCCACTGTATGCTCTGCAATTCCAACGGAGAGAAACATTCAAATTTAAGCGTTTTAACTGAGCAGTGGATAAAAAGAAGAAAACACACAAGATTATCAACATTTCATGTATGTAGGGAGACAGCTTCATTTCAACATTATTGCTTCGTTTTCTCGCTTGCACCTCGTATTCTTCGGTGGGATCGCACGGTTCACAAACTACCCAAGCTAACGATAAACCCTATTTTTATTGGGTGCCCAAAGTAAGCCGGGATTGCATTGATTTTTCTTTACTTCACTCTGTGATTGGTCCAGAAAACTTACACCTCTCTCTCGAAAAATCAGATGAAAAACTAAAACCAATCAAAACTCTAGTAATAATCCATTCTCATTACTTTATCATTCTTTGCACATTAATTAGGAAATTTTGTGTTTTATAGAAGAATCATTGTCGATCATTTGCCTATCCTTTACACATATATGCTGGTAAGTATATTGAAATCGCAAGGAGTAGCTAAATGCTCGTCAGTAAGAGGGATGATGGGTAGAGAACCCCAATCGTTACCTTGGGAACTACGTCCCGGTCCGAGCGAAGCTGACTCTGAGTGAACTGATGTGCTAAGGTCCTCTTGAGAAGAACTTAAACCAGAGAAACAAAAGCAAAAAACAAAACAAAAAAAAATTCAAAATTGCTTCAACTAATTAAAAAAAGAGTGCACCCAGATTTTTGAATTGCAAAAAATACTTCATACAGCCATCAAATGCCGTGAGAAAAAGACAGTTCTGGTTTTAATCGTAAGAGTATATAACTGTGACGAGACTAGATTTTCCATCAGTTAATTCAGAATGGCAGCTAACTAGAGCGGTCTTCGTTTACCTTACAGAAATTTTTTTCAAACAACTAAAAAAATTTGTTGAACGATCTGTGGAACTGACATTATTGGACAAAATCAGTGTCACACTCCACGTCGAAAACTGTGCCTTTGAATCCTTAAGATTCACAGCACAAGCATTTCGAAAAGTGACAATCCCTTTGCAGCTCAAAATGGTTACATCAAACAAAAAAACCTGTCTTGTGAATGGCTCCAATGGTAACCACTCTGCTGTTGCTAAGAATTGAACCATTGGCGCGAAGACGGAAAATCTGTTAAACGAGACCCCTAGCGGAAGTCAAAACCAGTTTCCGCAGTATGTCACCGCACACTAAAAAGCTTTTTGTGACTTTATGTAATATGAATCAAATTTTCCCATGGTAAGATGCAATAAGGAAAGGATCTTGCCTTTTGTTTTCAGAGTTTACACACCTGTTGGTGAAGAAGTATTCATGACAAACACCGCACACTCGCACGGGATTCCTCCCGTATCCCTCAACAACGTGATTGTATTGAGAACATGTCCCGCACACGACGCGACCACAGCGTCGGCAGTGATGACGGCGATTGAACTTCGAAAAGAAAAAAAAAACATGAACAATAATAATAAAAAGAAAGTAACCTGACAAAACGGAAGTCCCTCAAACTTAGCAGGAATCAACAGGACTTGAAATTTTCAATTCCATAGCTGTGAAAGTAGATTTCTACAAACATACATACTCACCCCGAAAAACGGATGAAATGTCTTCCTTACGGAGTTTTAGAAGTGTTAGACATTTTTTGGTAAAACTGTACTTCAATAAGCTTTGTGTTAGAACAGTCTACAGTTTTCCTTCCCCTATTTTCAGTTCCTTTCACAGATTTCTGTGAACGTTTCAATTTGCTTTCGCTTATTTTACGAGGCAGCGATTGTTTCCTATGTTTTCCTGTGAAATTTTGCACGAAAATCAGCGCGCGGCCGGCCAGAATGGATCCCCTCGCATGCCCGAAGTTTGACCGCTGTTTTCACGGAGCGACACATCGCTTAAAAGGACCGGTGCAATGCGAGTATATCGGAATCATTCGCTCTTCAAAAGAGTAAAACATAAAGGATTTAACAAGAAGGCAAAAGCAAGAATTGTAAACAAAAAACTTCCAAAAATCAAGTTAAGTTTGAGTGAGATGCACTAAAACATTTCTAGCGATAGCCTTGACATAGTACTTACCATGCTAAACCTCTCTTGACAAATGACGCATAGTGATACTTGCTGATCTGGCATCCAGTCCTCCATCTTTGGTGGAACAACAGGTGGAATATATGCTGACCTCCTTGTTCCCAGACTTCCAGTGGCGCGCGGGGAAGCCGCTTTCTTCTGGAGAGTGACTAATCGTGATTCGTAAGAAATCTTTCTTCTGGGAGCAGTTTGTACTTTCCTCTCCACGTTCCCAACCGTTGTATCCCGGGTCCCAAAAACGGAGGTAACAGGGGTGTAACGACCGGACTCCAGGAAGCTTACAGGGGTGGTAGGTGAGGACAAGGGAGCCTGGATCAGACTCTGCATAATACTACTGCACATTTCTGTCAAAGATAGAGGCAACTCTTGACGCAATTTTCAGTTGAGTAAATAAATTAAAAATAGACTTGCATGTCCCTTTTTTTAAATTTTGATTTTTCTGGAAAATTGGGTCAGCCAATCAGTTGGTCAATGGCTTTTTCTTGCCCTTCATACAGTTTGCTTGATCTTACATAGAGTTTTCACCAGCTTCTTTTAACATTTTCCATAGGTCCGCTTGAGCTTGCTGACTTACTCGGTTTTATGATACTCAGTAGAAGTCCGATCTAGACTTTGTAAAGCCACGAATAAGAATTTTGCGATATCAAGCCATGCACATGTAGTCATGGTCTGATGATTGCAAGGTGAAGAGGCACTGAGGCTGCCAAGAAATCTCGACCCTTCGCAACAAACCAGGTTTCGAGATATAGAAGTTTCTAGATCTTTGTTGATTGTTTCTCACCCTTAGTCTGACTTTTCTCCGTCTGCACAACTTGAAATTCCAACGCCTTGGCGGAGTAAGTGCTTAATAATTCGTCAAACGCCTTCACTGTGCACCCGTGATTACCAAGGCTTTCAACGTCCTCCATGCAACTTAGGTCGATCTGATGTAGAAATAAAAAAAAAAAAGATTAAATAATAATGACAATAAAACAAGTGAAATCAACGCTGCAGCTTTATATATATGATAAGGCTCAATGTCCACTATAACCGGAAGCAAAAACGAAACTTTTTCAAAACGTTTATGTTTCTGATATATTTCATCTTCTTTCAGACCTTCTTTACGTGCATGCTCGATCACGCGATCAACCGTTTCTTGCGTTGGTTATTGTTTCGTTTTTAGATTCATCCGACTTGGCGTAGACGGACGACATCTGATCCGGCTCCGGTGTAGATAGACAACTTTTAAAACACATTACCATGATCGTACCTGAATTCTCTGGAACACTTTGGCTGCCCATTCCACCTTCATGTTCATCAGCAGCTGCTCAAGCAACAGCGGCGGCCTGGAAACTAGGTGTTCATAATGCGGTCGAGCTGAATCTGGTAAGCACAGTAGGGCCTTGGCTCCCATCTTGGTACAGAGTAACTTCTCTACGCGAACCGGAGAGAGGAGGGAGGGGATATTGATGAGCATAAACTGTATTATAAACAATGTTTGACTGACGTGTAGGTTTTGCGCCATGAGTGACTCGCAGATGTCTTGCGTCATTTCTGAGTCCTGGACACCTTCAAGGATCTTGTACGCCTTCATCTGTTCCTCTGAATTGTTACCAAGCAGGAATTTCAGGTGACTTTCCGTGATGGTCTGTAACAAAACAAACACGGCACACTAACAGTTAATAATCACAACAGCCAATCAGAGAAAAGAAAAACATGACAAGGAGCCACTGAGTGAGCTTAGTAAAACAAGCAAACGCCTTCAAGAGCGCTATTAGTTTAACTCTTGCATCTCATTGGTTGAGAGAGTGGCACCTATTTTCTGGACCAATCACAAAGCGACGTAAAGCAAAACCAAAGCAGTCTTGGATTACTATTAACACTTAACTTAATTTGCTTAAAAGCTGCTTAACTATTACTTGATAAATTAAATCATTAATTATTAATTAAATGACGGTTTAAAAGCCCTATGCAGTCTTTTTTTCAATAAGTGTTGTCGTTTTGGAAACGATGCAGTCTAAAGAATGTTCCCGTTGGCTAAGTGACCAGAATTATTTAACTTGCCTTGTGAAACTTTGGCGGCAGATTGTGCAGATGAGCCCACTCTGATGCGAGATCAAACTGTTGAGCGGACAGCAAAAACTCCATAACAACAGACGGATTTTCCTCAGACATGGACGCTACGCCTTGCCAACGTTTCAGACCGGCTGAAGACGATTCCCTCTCTTCTGCAGGCACTTGTAACTTGAACGACTTCACACACAGAGAAATCTGAAAAAGTAGTGGCAACAATACAGGTACATCATGGTGATAATATTTTCGGGGCTGGTAAATAATGGTGACAATACTTTTGGGGCTGGTTCACTGTTGTGACAATACTTTTGGGGCTGGTAGACTGTGGTGACAATACTTTTGGGGCTGGTAACCTGTGATGACGATGAGTTTTGGGGCCGGTTCATATGGAACAAGACAAGGAGAGATTACCACGTAAAGATCAAAGCTCATACCCAGATAACATGAGAAGAAAAAAAAGAAAGGAGACCAAGGAAAAAAGCTGTTAATATTGAACGTTAGATTGACAGTTATACAAACCGATAGAATGACAACAAGACAAATCACAAACAGGTATATGAGAGACAAACAGACAGGATTGGCTCCAACAGTGATTATTCAGAAAGATATACAGATGATAACATATGCATGCAAAAAGACAGAAAAAATGCAGATGGTTCGGCGAAAAAACGTACAATCACTGAGAACAAGAAAAAAAAAACCAACACACAGACAAACTCACATACAGGCAGACAAAGAGACAAACGAGTGCATGACCGGACAGATACAAAGACAGATAGACGGACAAGGGAACACAGGAAACTAAACGGATAGAAGGCAGAAATATTCTAGTGTATAAACAAAAAGAGACGAAGCCAAAAGGAAAATTTTGTTTACCTTTTGATGCAAGGATATCTCTTTCCTTTTCCTCTCCAAGTCATTTCTTCGGGCAGCGTCGTTGACCGAACGAGACAAACACAAATCGATTAAGTCAATGCAAGTATCAGCTTTCCACTCTTTAAGCTTTCTGAGGACGAGACGTGTTAGTTCATCGTGATCTTTCATTCGAGTTAAGAGGACCCAAAGTTTTTTGTTAAAAACATGACCGAATTTTAACTCTGGAATCTTAAGTTGATTGAAAATTATCCTGAGTTTCTCCTGGAGATCAGATCTTGTTCCTCCTTTGCTTAGAACGGCCGAGCTCAACAAGAAATCAATCGAAGGGCCTGCTACTCCATCACCACGAAGATCCGATGAACAGATTAACTCCAAGAGTTCTTCAAAGTAGCCTTTGCGCAAGAAAAAATCGCTCGCTTTGAGGATAGCATTCTGGAGTGCGGAACTCCCTTCGGATGCCAAAGCTACCGAGAAAAGAGAGATGTCCGGAGGTCGCATACCATCTTGTAAAGTTTGGAGGTTTGGATCTAACTTGATGAAATCATAACTGCCAAAGCTTCCACCCTGCTCGTTTGAATCTGCTGGAGAAAGCGTCAACATGTCTGCTATTGTGTACAACTTAGAGGCGATGTATCGCTGGAGACACGGAAAGTTTGCAGTTTTCTCCAGAGCAAATCGGAAAGGAAACTCGGTTGTATCAACTCCAGATTCTAGGGTTTCCTTTGAAAACTGGGATCTCTCTTCCGATAAAATATTTAGTTTTGCAGGAGAGGAACACACCAAACTCGTTAACGCGGCCACTAGCGGCGATTTTTCCTCTAAATATTCAAGCACTGTTTCGTTCAAGCTAAACAATCCTCTTTTCCCGACTTTTTCCAGTCTTGTTTGAGCAAGGACAGACAACTCCATGCTCAGAAGAAGATTTTCCGGCATAGAATTAGACCGCTGCAAGCTTGATACCGAAGAAGAACGCTCGCGCATCACTGAATCAAATCTGTAGCCGAAACTCCAGCAAAATGGCGTGAAGGTGATTTCGGAGATGTTCGGTAGCATTTGTTGAAGAACAGCGGCAGTATCCGGAAAAAGATACGGCTCCATCTGAAGCAAGAGAGAAACATCGGGCGCTGCACCTGAGGCATTACTAAAATCATCCAGGGATTTCATTTCAAAGTCCTTTCTGTACCAATGAAGAATTTCTGGCAATGTTATCTGTCCAGTTTGTTGGTTCAAAGATACGCGGGAATTGATATACGAAACCACAGCGGTAGAGAGCTGGGCATCTAGTTCATCTACATCGAAACTCTGCAGAGAAACAGATGCTGGCATTAGGAAAAGAACTGGGCGCAGTTGTTCAAAGGACGAATAACGCCATCAAACGGATACTTCGTTATCCAGCTGGTAAGTGTTAACAAAATGCACTGCACCGTGCACCGGATAGAGATTTATCGAGTGGATAGGGTTAACAAAAGCAGTTCCAACGCTTAATCAAAGCAAAGAGAAGGACCAAAATCAACCACTGAGAAATCACGATAAATGCTTGTAACGTGGGAAAACAATCAGAACATTAGCGGTCGCGGATATCGATAAATGTTTCACTTGACTAGTTGACCAGGGCCCAGTTGTTGGGTTAAATTGTAATTTGGGTTAAATTTTAAGTTGGGTTTCTTTACAGTGAATTTTCTTTTAAAGCTTTCAGATCTGAAATCCAATTTCATACTAACCCTGGGTTATCTTAACCCAGCTTCGAACAACCCGGCCTCGGGGTTTAATTAATTTCCAAGAGAGATTTCAAAGGCAAAGGTTAATCAAGTTTTTTTAACACCAAAGTGAAGATAACTTCGACTTGCCAAAAATCGACTTATGAATTTCCCATTGACAAACTTGAGCTTGCGAGCGATAAACTCAAAAAGTAAAACCAACAAGGGGAATCATTTTAAACTGGCAATAAGTATAAAAATAAGAGTACTGAAAGAATAAGTGAGACTAACTCTACATCGTTAAAAGAAACCTTTGGTAATCCTTCGCTCTGGCGGAGGGATAACGCTCAAACCGCCAACTAATTCTACAACGCCGAGAGAAACCTTCAATAACCCTTCGCTCTAACGAAGGCCTAACGTTCGAAACGTCAGCTTTAGAAACTCTCTACGGTGGCCAACTGACATTATCAACTCAGTTGAAAAAACGGAATTATCTCGTAACACCCCCCACCGACGCAGCACCATAGTTTCTTTTGAACCTTATCCACTCCTTCACTACACTCGATTGCAAAAATGTTGACACCTTGAAAGCATAAACTGTAACTGTAAACGTAAATCGTCCGAGTATGCTTTGGGCATACTTTTTTTTCCAGCAATGTATTTTTTATTGCAAAGAATAAGAATAGTAAATTATTGATTATCATGATGGAAATGAGGTTATTGTTTCAACACTACCCACAAATCCGTCGGGTCTCATCGTTCACGGTTTATGCTTTCAAGGTGTCAACGTTTTTGCAATCGAGTGTATATGCCGAGAATTAACTAAAAATACATTGGACTCTTAACCTGAAGTTTTGGAGAGGAGACACAGCCGTCACAGATGGCGAATATGACTCGTCTTTCCGGGGTAGTCAGCTTGTACTTTTTGGCGTCATCTGTAAATCGTTCTGAGGGATGTGACAATAAAATGTAATTAACATAAACCAGCACATACTAGGAGATGAGATTTTACATTTTCCAGCCTACCTGGGACATTATAGAGAGCTTTAGATCTGACTACGAGTACGACTACGAGTTTTCCTCGGTAGGGAAGTGGTGCAAACTCTGAAAAGGTCATTGCCTTCTGATTCTAACTACGAGTTTTTCTGAAATCTCGCTGTCTCTTTTCAGATAAAACCATTTCAGGAATAATAATAATAATAATAATAATAATAATAATAATAATAATAATAATAAAAACCACAGAGAGTTGCAAAAAAGTAACATTCAGTAAGGCCTGACGTCTATTTGTGAAGCGTTCTCCTAATTCTGAAGAAGTCACGCTCTCGTGTGTTACGTCATGTTAAGCTGGTGTCACTCTACTCTCGGCCAAAACTAGTAATCGTACTCGTAATCAGATCTAAAGCTCTCTAGCATCGCTGGAAACCGGAAGAAACTGCAGTTTTCCCTACGTTCCTAATACGACTGACTAACCAACATCTTTCATACCCAAAGATTATAGATTAGTCACAATTTACAATATTTCCTAATCTATTTACAAAAACGAGGCTTTCAACAATGTCGATCGTAGCGATGGTCTTGCCGTGGTTTTCTTGCGTGAGACTGTTAAAGTCTGTAATATGCGCAAACGTTTTCGAGTCGTGCCATCAGAAACACAAATAAGAACTGCCGTTTTCCTACCTGGGAAACACATGACAACACCTTCTCCAAATGTGCTTGGCGGTACCAGTCCTTTGTGTAAAATAACGAACTGCAGGTCGAATGCACTGAGAATAAAAGGGTAGTCAAAATAATGAGCAAATTCAATAAAGATATTACGCCATTATCATCGTATCCACTGTGCTCACCAACCAAGGAATTTCATTGGTTGATGGTCTATTCTTCGAATAAAAAGGTAAAACAACTAAGAATTAAAAAAGATCCATTAAACCATAACTAAACACACGAGAGGCTTGATGTTTGATTTCTAAATGGCATGTCAATCTTCACATGAGACCAGTAGGAATCTGTTGCATAATTAACAACTATTATTCCACGAGCGCGCGTTGGATATGAGATGATATATCGCCAACGAGGCCCGTAATGGGTACATTGGCTAATGATGGCTAAACCAATGAAAACTCTTGAATTGCATTATCCAATGATCCAGTTTTTAATAATATATGATAAGCTGAATTAAACAGGCATTTTGATTGGTTCTTACTCATGTTCTATCGGAGGGCAGATGCATAGATGGCATCAATATTGACAACAATTTGCTTTTCAATCATATGAAACAAATAGATTCCATGTTGCCGTGAATCTCTTCGATAGTAGATCACAGAAGATGTCACAATGTGGTAAGAACATCAGTGATGAACTCAGCTGCGCCTCGTGTGCCACTTTATTGTTCTTGCCACATTTAGACGTCACCTGTGATCTATAATTGAACAGACACACGGCAATATGCAATCTATATGCCATCAAGAACAATCATAATGAAACTATAAGCAAAGTATGGAGGTTAACACAAGGGGTGGTTTTCCAAACGCTGACAAATGCTGTCCATCCCGTAAGCAACTCAATGGAGCCAGATCTTTATCACTGTTGTCTTATATTCTCACCTTACCACACCCAGCTGACCGATGCAGTAGCACTGCTGTTTAAGAAATGCAATCCTCTCTAGGGCAGTCAAGGGAACTGCATCACCGACTTTCTCCTCTCCTCCAGAACCTGACATTGCGTCCATGAGCCGAGAAAATGAAGCATGCCGGGTAATGGAGCGTACTGCTTCGCTTGTACCATCCCCAGAGCTGTCCGAAAACTGGATCAGTGACGCATGCGCAATCAGAAGATTAAGCGTGTTAAGGTAGAAGCACACTTTAGCAGCATCTGAAGAGAGCAAGTCAAGATCCACGCACTGAAGCTCTGCAGTGCCTCGTGAAATTGCTTGAAACTCGGGCGTCCTTGTGATATTAGCTACTGAGTTTGAGTCCACCACATCGCCGTTCTTCTCTGCCACATCTGTAGTCCAACAAATATAGAGAGGTTAAGCAAGCTGAAAATGGCTTAATTACTTTTCTCACCTTCGACCTTCAGCTGTTAATAAGTGCAAAAGCATTTATAGTTGTTGTACATAAGAATATAGTTGCCATCTATTTCCAGGGATTGACCTGTGCGGTTTACATCGATAAAACAGTGAGCCACAGACAGGGGTAGGGCACATTGCATATGCCTAACATCGTCAATAAAGATCACTGATACCTTCCTCGGGCCTCTGGGAAAGTTTTCCTTTCCAGTTAATTTTTATTCGTATATCTTGAATTACAGACAATTTCTTTTTCTAATCTTTACGTATTGCTTCAGGTTGGTTCATAATTGTACATGCTTCAACAAATGCTGTATGAAAGATACCTTTTAGAAGTTTAATCATTCTGGATAGCAAGTCGTTAGAGACAGTGTTAGGATCTCGAACATTCTCTGTCCATCTGCTCCCAGTATTCAAAATAACCAGGTCAGAGGATGGCCAGCGGACGTCTGTTAAATAAAGTACCGTGTTATATAATCATTAGATCATTTATCATAATTGGTTATTCCATAACTGCTTAAGTCAATAGCCTTTGACAGCGCTTTGTGGCTCCAACCCCGTTGACCGAAAACGCGCATGGGCAGATGGTAAAACTACTGAGAAAAGTTTGGACTCAACCGGTTCCAACCGGTGCGGGTGGAGGAACATAAAGATTGCACAGTTCCTTGCGAAAAAAACAAAAAAACAGAAAAACAAGGAAATTTCCGGTAAATGTTAGAGCGTTAGAACATCCCCTCGATACCTTGTGAACATGACCGCAGACACATAAATAACGTACAATGACACATTCGGGTATACCGACCTCTACGTGAGATTCCCCCGTGTGAAGGCACAACCGGACAGCAGTTGTAAACGATAACCTTGGAGAGATTCACGTGCAATTGCCTTGCCACAGGCTCCAAGCTGACAAAGGAAAGTTCATCGTTACTTCCTTTAGAGAAACCCCACGCACAAATCAAACAAATTTGCATTTACTTTCCCTTAGGCTCAAAAAATTAAAGCTCTGTACTTTTACAAACAGGTAGCTTAAGCAATGGGTAATTTTTCCTTGACAGTCGAGATATTTCGGCATAAAAGTTACCTTTGTGGAGAAATGTCTTTTTCAAACATATGTCTTCCGAGGGTTTCCGCGATACCTTCATTCAACACAACAAACGGATTGGAAACCTTCAGAGCACTCGGGCGATTTAAATCGATATTTGGAGGAACACTCGATGAAGAGTCTGAAAATAAAACACAATACACAATACGGGTCGAGATTTTAAAAGTGAAATTGCCACGCTCAATAATTTCGCACACTTGCCAGGAAACTGGGTCTAAAACACAGAGTAAGGGCTAACTGGACACAAAGTCGAAACTAGCAGGTAATCCTTCTAGGAGAAATGCAGATCTGTTGGTGGTAACCTATTAAATGAATAGAAAAGCCAAACCGAACTAGTTAGAAATGCCGTGGAAAGTTTGACGCCTTATTTTTTTGGATGTTGTCCGTATCTTCGTTTTCTATCTATATATCATCTGAAATCTTTGCGTACTTGCATTTGATAATGGTGACATGTCGTCGCTGAAACGTTTGTTTTAATAGCGTTGCTTTATATCCTTAAATGTTCAACAATTTTTTTCGTGACACGAATTTAAACCATAAAATAAACAACAACTACAACAAAATATATACTAAAAAACACAGAGGGAAAAGGCAAAGTTTTGGTGACATCCAAGCCTGTAAACATCTTATTACCAGAGAGTTATCTACACATACCTCCCGCTTTTGACTTCCAAAACAGCAAAAGCGTCGCCAAAGTCTCTACGTGCTTAACTAAACTTGATATGTAGTCGTATCTCTGTTCCAAGCCCCCTCCTCCTGCGGTAGTGACGTAATTAGCACTATCAATGCAATCAAACGCTTTCTTTAACTCAATCATGGCGACTCTCACAGCCAGGCCCTTCTCCATCAGATTAAACGAGGCCTGCCTGCCGACGTGCCTGTGGCCTGGGTGTTGCTTGGCAACCTCATCCACACTTCTGATTTGTGTTTCACCTTCCTCCAACGCCTGCTCAAACCGTCTGAGACGAAAGCAAACAAATTTACCTGTCTCTTCACTTGCATCTTGCGAAACATACCCCCACCCCCACCCCCACCCCCACCTTGTCCTCCGAATACTAGTGTCTCTTCAACAAAGGGGAGATATACAAAGGTCACATATGTTTCCTTCTCGAAACCAAAGTTTGTGTTCTTTACCTCTAGATAAACTGTTTCGATTTTTTTCAACTTTGAATAAATGAAATGCTTCAAGCTGATACTATTTTTGCCTGTCTCTGTTACTCTACTAAGTCTGCATATGTTGTTTCACTTAGCTTACACAAGAAGCTCGCCAAAGAAGGTTTTAGGTGTCATTTCCTAAGCCTGCTTCCACCTCACTTGCTTTGTATTCCTCGTGGCATCTCGTCCAATTCATATTTATTACTCCGATTTCGCTTCTTGGGTATTTATTCCCGAAAAAACGTTACATTCATTTTTTGTCGTTTTGGAAAAGATGCGGTTTTTGGAGGTTAACGTGCACAAGCATCACAATCTTGCTCATTGTTTAAGGGATGAGGGGTTTATCTGAGAGTTTTATAAAGATCAGGATGTCTCAACGGTTTCAGAGAACAGACAAAGGTAATAAAAAAGGGTGTTGGGGGGGGGGGGAGTTCCACTGGGCTCTAACCATCCCTCATCCCGCCTTCAACCCACATTCCAAGCAGTGAAACGGTTAACCTCCGCATAACGCAATTCTTAAACAAAGTCTTTACCTAAAAGATTCTTCTTGAGATGCATTAAGTTTTCTGTGAGCCTCCATGTCCTTGGGCCGAATGGGATGTGTCCCGACAAGAAGAAGGTCCACTGCATTGGGTTTAGGGGTGACGGATATGGTGATGCCACCAGACGGGTCCTGGGCATTACCACGCGACAGTTCTTGATTCAAAAGCTCTTCTAGTTGATGCATAAATGGTTTTATACCGCGGAGGATTCCACTTGATTTGGAGGAAGATGGATGTGGCTCTGGAAGGTAAAAAAATAGTAAAAAAAAATTTTTAAATGTACGGAGCGCTTTTTAATCCTTTAAACCCTAATGTAACCAGCTTTTCATTTCTGCTTACAGTAATACTGCTAAATCATTCACTAAGATCATGCGAATAAAAGATATGATTGCCAACCCAAGACGCTTCAAGCTTATAAGTTATAACATAGCTAGTAAATTTGTCTAATCAAATTCAATTGCGTGAGACAGAGGTGAACAGTGGAGCGATTGCATTCACAACTGCATCTAAATAATTCAGTCTCCTGGAAATGTCACAAAGTCTGGGGTCACAACTGAGGCAATCATTTCTCGTCTAGCCGAGCTAGTACAACACTCAATTGCTTTTCATTCAGAGGCAACTATAACAAACAAAGTAATGGCGTAGCCATGGGTACTAAAATGGGACCCATTTAGGCCAATTTTATCGTAGGTTTTGTCGAACACCAATTCTTTAGTCCATACAACGGCCCCAACCTGAACTCTACGGTCACTACATTGACGACTGCATCGGCGCTACCGTATCTACCAGAGAGGAGCTCACTCAATTTATAACCGCCGTCACATTTCACTCTCTCAATCCTCGCAGTTAAATGTATCATTCTTAAAAACTTCAAATCATTTCCAAACGATTCAGAGACTGGTACTATCTTTTCGCAACCTCCACTAATTTTGTTCAAACGTGAAAAAAACATAGGCAACTTTTTGGTCAGAAGTTCATTTCAAACCAATGACCAACGTGGAACTTTCAAATCCGCTCACTCACAATAGAAAACTTGTCCTTTCATTCCTAACGTAAATAAAATGTTGGGACCCAAGAGATCCCTTAGATCATTGATTCGTCACTTTACGTGTACCTTCGCCAGTGTCACCTACTGCATAACTCGCACTTATTGCAAAAAGTTATACATTGGTGAAACAGGAAGACGACTTAGCGCCCGATTCTGAGAACACCTTCGCGACGTAGAAAAAAATGACAAGGACGCATCCAAACAAGTCGCTGGACAATTTAATCTCCCTTTGCGGCCTTTTCTAACATCTAGGCAGTTCGGAGAGCCGCAAAACTCGAGAACAAAAATTTATCTTTCAAATCGGCACTCTTAATCCAAACGGTATTAACGAGCGCATTTCATTCAAATAATTTATTCTTGTTTTCTCGTCACCATATTCCCACAAATAGCGTAGTTCCATTTTCTGCATATAAACCCACACACAACCCACAATTCGTCCAATCGTTCTGACGAAGGGCTAACGCTCGAAACGTCAGCTTTTAATCTCTTTACGGTGGCCAATTTACGTTATTAACTCAGTTGGTAATGCTAAATTACCCTAAGGCAATCAGTGATTTTTATCAAACTCTGAATATTGCTCCTGATACGTAATACATTTATCTCTCACCTTCGGTGATGCGACTCTTTCCCATGTCCAGCAGCGTCTTGCAGACGGACCAGGATACAGCTGCTGTACTCGCCAGATCTACACATAGCATCGTCGGAACCATTTCCGGATCCATAAACTTCACCAAAGTTGAATTCCCGTTCGCCAAATTCTCTGGAGTGAGACTAGGGTCTAGGACCGCACTCAAAGACGGCATTGCCAGCAGCTCGTCAATCAGATTGGAAACCATTGAATTGCTGGCACCCGAGGCTGCTGCGATGGCAACCGCCCCCAGACCCCCAAGAGGTTTACGAGATTTAAAGAGGCCCTGACTTTGGACTCGTCTACCTTTGGGTTGTAAACTTTCCAAATGTTTTATAGTTTTACTGTACTTCTCTGCAAAAGCCAGAGCTTGCGCACTGGGCTTCTCTGCCATGTTAAACATTTTTATAACTTGAAGCGCTCGTTCGTAATTGTCTTTTCTCATGCACATGTATATCAGCGTATCGGGAGAAGAGAGCATGCGTGCTATGACGCTATCATCTTTGATGAGTAAAGTACAACCTTCTGAAGCAGACGTTCGAGAAGTCAGCCGGCGATGACGACTTTTCCTCCTTCTTGTTACCTCTTTGTTATTTTCCGTTACTGAAACAAATGTATACATCATTTGTGAAGCGAAATAATGTGAGCTTGGGTAGGAGTCATTATTTATCGCCTTAGATGGGGGAGGAGGAATTTGGTTTTTAGGGGCGGATGGAGGGAAATCGGTCGTCGATTACAGACTATAAAAGGTGGGACTGTAGAAAAGTGACCGTCAATTAACCCCCCTCCCCCCTTCCGTAATAAAAAAATAGCATCCCTTAGATACACGGTTTAAAACAAAACAAATTGCCCCGTGCAGACAACGTTCCGCAAGGGGCATAATGGCGCGAGAGAGATAAACGGAACCTAACGCATCATGTTCGACAACAGACATGATTCAACGCATAGAAAGGAGGCTTGGAAAAAAAAATTGCTTACGACCTACACTCCGTAAGGTGAGGACGGTTGACCTTCTCACAAGCGGTAGAGAAAAAAAAGTTCCCGAGTTCTCACACATGCCAAATTACATACATACTTTATTAGTATTCTTCAGGGGGCTTTTCAATACTAAACAGCGAAGAACATTATAATACGAAAAAAAAAACCAGTAAAATTAAAAAAAGCGGTCAATTAAAATAATTCTCTAGCAAGTGCGTTTTCAACTTTTTTTTAATGATGTTAAAGATAACTGTTTAAGTCTTTGTCTAAATTGTTATAAATGTTGACTGCTCTATGGAGGAAACGTCACTGGCCTGGCTTTGTCTTGCTTGGAGGAATAACAAGGGATTCACTGTTTCTAGTGTTATGATAGTGAATAGGCTTCAGAGAGACTCACACAAGTATGTGGGGGCCAGGCCCTTCATGCACTTAAACGTCCTTATAGTGTAGTGAAGATGCTCATTTACCGGTAGCCATTTGATCTCGCGTAACGCAGGTGTTATGCGCTCAAATTTCCTTTTTTTTCATCGTAAAGTAACCCAAAGGTAAATCAACGCACAACAAAGCAATGAACAATTTTCAATTAAGTGTCTAAAAACCAAAACCAAACCAACCCCGGGAACTAATCAGAACAAAGGTTAACAATATAATTAACCAATGAGAACTCAAAGTGAAAACAAGCAAACCGTTCGAAGGGGGCGAAAATTCGGGCGACCAAGTAGCCATTTTTTTTTTATTTTGCGTCTGACTGGTTGAGAGGATGGATACGAGTTTTCTGGACCAATCACAGAACAAAGTTAATTTAAAACCAAAGCAATCCCAGATTACTTTCGATGCTCAATTGAAAATTGCTCTAAATGTGGCGTTTGTGATGTTTATGTCACCTGTTGATATATCCTGGCTAAGATGAACGCTTGAGCTCGATTCACCAGAAGTCTCTTTCGGGACCGCTGCTTTCTGTCCTGATTTTCTTGACACTTTATGAGAAGAGGATGAGAATGAGGAGTGAAAGGGACATCAGATTATAAACCAATGACTGTGAATATATAAAAATCATATATGTGTACTGTTTTTTAAGAGATGAACATGAACGCGATCTTCGCAGCAATAAAAACTACTTAAGCAGTAGTGATAATAAGGCCTGAAAAAAAATTAGGCCTGTACGGGGATTTGAACCCATGACCTCTGAGCTAACAAGCCAACTGGGAGCTGGTCATATGTTGGTTTGTAATAAACCCATGAATTAATGAATCAATGTCTGTGAATATTTGGAAATCATATATGTGAACTGCGGTTTAAGAAATGAATTTGAAAATGATCTGCTTAAGTAGTGCTCATTACTGCCCCCGCGTCGCCAACAAAATTACAGAACTCACATTAAAATTAAAAAACAAAAAATTAAAAAACCCTTACTAGTTGCACCATCCACATCATCTGAATCCTCATCCTCAGCATCTTCTTCTTTAGATTTTTCATCCGTTCTTACAATTTGCTTGATTTTTCTGGAAAGTCTTTTCTTGGAATTCCTGGTGGTCTGACCTTTCGAGGCATTTTTCCATGACACCAGCTGGAATCTCCACTGAGCCTCATTGATGAATTGGCCTAGTCGTGAAATACGCTGCTCCATGGAATTGCGAGGTACGGATGTCTGGAGGAAATCTTGGCGAGTTGTGAATGATTCTGACTTTTCTGAAACAAAAATTGATGGCGTTGTAACGCAAACATTGACTTGGTGAACAAGGCTCTGTCACTGGCTGAAAGCAGACCTCACCCAAACTACTCAGCCAATGAACGGCTTTGTCACTTAAATTTTCCCGCGCTTGGTCGCGGCCCTGTGCCTTAACTAAAATTCTATTGGTTCGCCTACTTAATGAAGTAAATTCAAAGCCTAAGGAAATCACATCGACCGATCAAAACAGGTTTGCAACGAAAGAAACAAATATAAATTTTAAAATTCAAAGATCGAAGATAATAATTGTCCATTCGAAAAACATAATATTCTTGACTCTATAACTAAAGTGTCCACCCCCAGCAGAGCAGCTTCGATCTCTTTATGACACATGCACGTCGAATAACAAAATTGCTCTTTGAGCTTATCTACGAGAATGATCGAAGCGACTCTGTCAGTGGGGTGAAAAAAATGACAAACCTTTCTTCAGTTCATTGAACTTCGCCGTATTTAGTTCCATGAGACATTCTTTCAATGTTGTCAACATGTCTGGTACAGTCGCATCTTCAATCACAAATTCAAATTTGAGATCGTTCTCTTCCTCTACAACAGCTCTTGACGACCCTTTACTAGAGATTAAATTACCACCGTATGATTCCTCATCTGACAGCCTTGCCCTGACTGTGTTGCTCGCAGGTGGTGATACAGGAGGCGCTATCGCTTCTCTATCTGACGATTTCTTTAACAGAGCTGAATCGGATTCGGCCCTGTTATTTTTAAACAACTGCCTACGAGAAGGGGAATCCATAGTTGACAGCACGGTTGGACTTTTCTGCCTTAGGGTGTCGGGAGTTGGAGGCTGTGATCCTGTTAAACTAGCCGCCTTTTCCTGGTCTTTCGCAGGGGTATGCGGCCCATGAACGTCAAACGACAAATCCAGGGAACTGGCGAGGCTCTCCCAGCTTCCAGTCCGACTGCTTTTGGACAAACTCCTGGTTTCTTCATCCATGGCTTCCACATCATCACTTTCATTGTGATGGGTTCTTCCCTCGTAAAGATCCTCGTAAGTTGTAAACAGAAGACTGAAGATATTCTCCAGAATTTCAACTCTGTAAGTCAGTGGGTAAACGTGGGCTAAATGATACTTCCCAGCATCCAGTTTATTTCTAACTTGTCCGCAATACCTCTCCTCCGGACAACTCTCTTCTGAGTTCGTATCGGAATACTCGCTTCCACCCGAATTGAAAGGTTCAACACTTTTCCCTTCGCCCAGAACTTGTTTAGTTTCTAAACTTAGTTCACCAGAGGTCTCCACAGAAGAAGTAACAGCTTCCATAAAATTTCTAAGTGCGCAGTAACTATGGTATAGGAAGACATCTCTTTGCACTTCAGGATGAATTTCAGAGTTTTGATCCAAATCCTCTTTGCTAACTTCTTCCCTTCCTCCTGTCTTTTTTTCATCCAATCTTTCCTCGCTGCCTTCGCCTGAGGGTTCATTTCCGTCTTCCTTTAGAGGGGTAAAAACAGGTCTCTTTCTCAAAAGTTCAAAAACTTCTTTTTCAGGAAGGTGCGCCAAACTGATAGACTTGTGCAGCACGTGTAATACGGAGTGTGACTCCAGACCTTGGAACATTTCTGAGGCTTGCTGATGACGAGTTGAGCCTGGTTCAGACGAGGCCAGCAAGGGACTATCAATGGGCAACAACAGTATGCGGTTAATAGAGTAGATTCACCTACCCCTTCCCTAACTGAGCATTAACCCTAACTACTTATAATCTAACTCTTATTGGGCTAGGAGAGGGGTTGGTGCGTAGTTGCTCAGATACTGATATTGATCCGTGGTTGATTAGAACTCTAACGCACGCCTAACTGTTAAGGTCAGAGAAGTCGTAATAAGGTCTGTTGTTGGTGCAAACGAATGGCGTTTTGACAACGTGAGCGCAATTCGTCCCTTATGAAAGTCAAGCGAGGGGTTCATTTCCAGTCGGTTTCCACAAAACAGACCTCAAAAGATTTAAATTGGAAAAATCTCTTAATTTGACTTTGATGACGAGTTGCACTTATTTCGTCGTAACTTCAGTAAAATATTGTTGACTTCACATCTACAAAGACTCGAATTTTTGCCAGTTTAAAAACTAATGGGCCTCACCTCCGTGTGAAAACGCTGTCTGAGCCCCCCTTACACCCCACCATCAGTATGAATATTCACCAAAGTGTTCTCCATACACTTACAAAGGTGCTGACAGGGAAAATTTGTTTAACTTTGGAGAGTTTGTTTAGTTGGTGATCATTTCCTTTATTCTCACAACCTTAACGTGTGATTCAGGGCTGTTAATTTATTGTAAGAAGAAATTAGAAGCCAATCACCCCTGAGGAGTAAAAAGTTGAAGGAAAACTATTGCATGTCAAGGTCTTTGTGCAGCACAAGGTATGATACAACAAAAAACTCTAAAATTTAACCTCCCATTGCACTTACCGAGCTTTCTCTGTACACCACTGAACCAGTTGGACTTGATAGGCCAGTTTCTGACAAGCTTGGTGAAGTGATGGATGGGCGGCCTTCTCCTAAAATCCCAAGCAAAATAACAGTTGGTTATAAGCTACTGAGCCATATGCTCAAAACAGCTCTGACATGAACATGTACAAACTTGCCAAGTGGACTGCATCACTGGAGCTCTGGAGCTTTGAACTTATCTTATTTAACTATAGTGTAAGGAGACCACTGGTTTTCCTACATTGTACTTCCCTTGAAGGGGATGTTGGCTACTCTATTATTGGCCTGTTCCACACCTTCAATTGATAACTGGGCACAATGGTAGCTCCTTATTTCCCTTTGTGCTACTATCATACTCTGTTTTCTCACTGAACACCTGACACAAAGTAATCTATCCTGGTTAATAACCCCCCTGGCCACATTGTAGGCTCCTTCCTTTAATGACTTGCTGATACAAAGGAATCATCCCTAACAAAGAGGATCGTGGTAAAAAAAAAAGTATCATCCAAGAACAAAACACAATGAGCCCACACCCTCCCTCCACCCCTTGCACTTACACTAGGATTTTCTGTTTCCTCACCTCAATTGTATGCACAAACCATAAAGGAAACATATTTATAATAGTGTTCAAACATAACTTTGCATTTTTCAATTTCTGCAGTATGTAAGCCCTTAATTATGGCTAAAAGGAAGTTGAAAAAGGAAAAAAAATTAAAACAAAAACAAGTAAACTTTACTGCTGGGTCCCAGAGAGCTTCCAGTAGATTCTTAGCATTTTCACAACTGTAGCAGTAAGGCCAGCCCAAGAGGAGAACAAGTGGCTTGAGTCTGGAAAACTCCACTGGAGACAGAAGCTGTGTCAGCCTAGCAAAGTCACTTTCTCTTATGAAGACAAGAGCTGTTTCCTAAAGCACATTGTAAACATGGTGACATTTGTATTGACACTAAATTTTCATTTCCACAATGAGAAGATACTGCAGTGTCAAAGATTAAGTCTGCACTATTGGCTCACCCAGATGGAGCTTATCTTGGTTTCCGAGAAGCATAAAGCAACTAAGAGTATTACTACTCTCCCCTGGATGGGATGTGAGCCATTGCAAAGTTAACACCCCCCCCCTCCCTCCTCCCCCAGCATTTCATCAGGCTTCCCTGACAATTCAACAGTACCTATTTATGCTCCTGGGTGGAGAGGGGTACTATATGAGTAAATTGTTTTACCGAAGAACACAACACATGACCTGCCTAGGTCTTGAACCCAGACCTCTTGATGCGGAGTCCAGCACATTGACCATTTGGCCACTGCATCTTAAAAGCAGTGTCATGAGCTACATTGTGTATCATTTTATTTACAAGCCAGTATGCTCACCACTAACTTAACCCTTTAACTCCCACAAGTAATAAACATGTAACTTCTCCCTATAATATCCATATAATATCCAACAATCAGGTTATGAGAATACTTGAACTCATCAGCTGGAGTTGTTATCCTGATTTAACACCAAATTCTCATGACTAAAGGGGAGAATTAAGGTTAACCTCAGCCTGATGTCCTCTCTCCTCAACAGTTTGCCAATACCCCGGGTGGGGTTTCCTTGCTTGGAAACACGAAACAATAACCTGCAGTGGCTTAACCCTGGAATTTTCATTGTCCATAGTAACCAAATAGGTGTAATGCCTCTCTAATCTCTTGAATGATTCCATGGCACTGGTACAAAGAACCAGTGCATTTATGTACAATGGATATCTACTTACCACCATGTTCTCTAAAATATGATTTCCATTTAGAGCATGGAAGAACAGAAATTTCCAGGCTTCTCTCCTATCCTCCATAAAGGATTGAGCATAACAAACATTAACAGTGAGATCATCTAATGCTGATGGTTGCTTGAATCTTTGCAATGTTGCTCTTGACAATGGTAACTCTGAACGATCATTCACTACAAACCGCATCTGATTTTCAATGAAACAAAACTTTTCCATCAAATAAGTTGATGTCTGGCTGAGGAAGCAGGAATATAAAATGCCTCTGTCTAAAATAGTGTCTCTCTCATTTGAACTTCGAATTATGAGGTTCCTGAAAAGATCGTCCAGACACTTGGAAAGGCTGAGCATTTCAGGACTTGGGTCCATGTAGGAAAGCATTTGATAGATGAATTTACATTCTTTGGTGGCACACTTTACAGGCATGTCATCTTTAGGTACAGAGGTGGTACTGGTACCATCAACTTCTACAGCTCCAGAGTCTAAGGCCATCAATTGCTCGTTGATGAGGTCTAAATATAACTGTTGTAAGAGCTGGTTATTTTTCAAAAAGCCCTTCCCTTTGGAAGTGAGATCATTAATCACAGCATTTCCAAACTGAGGACTTTCAGATAGCAGCTGTTTCAAGTACGACAAAGTGGAAGAAGGAAGGTCAGACACTCCAGAGGCAAAGAGGTCAGGATCTCTGTAAACAATTTGACTGTGGTAATCATCTATATCCTGCAAATTAATGGAAAAAAGTCTTTTTTGTCACAGTGAATTACATGTAACAGTGTTCTATTTTATTAGCAGTAACTGGTAAAAATTGCCACTTGTAGTACCTCTAGTTACTGCCTAGAGTAGCTTGGAATTGCACAAATACCTTTTATAAATTTTCTTCCACCTGTTGTGCTTAAAATAAGGAAGAACACTGAGGAATCATTATGATTCTTTTGGAATGCAAGTAAACTTTCCCACAAGTAGGCTCTTATTAACCCTTTAACTCCCAAGATCTGATTGTCAATTCTCCCCTCTAGCTGTTACACATTCCCTTGTAAATTAGTTATAAGAACTTGGTGCTAGATCAATATCAAGAGAGCTACAGGGATTAATAGTAATTGTTTTCACTTTCAGTGGTAATAAGGGCATGAAAACTGGACAATTGTGAAAGTTTAATTACTTGAATCACAACTTGAGGGGCATTCTGGCAAGCAAGGTAGAGAAGAAGGCGAAATTCCACTTTCTTTACAATAGGCTCTGGAATCTGGTCCTGTGTTGCATATCAAACACAAACAATAGTTCAAGAGTCAGTATTATATGTAGTAAATAATAATGATTAAGATCATTTATAAGCACAAGATTCTATAATTACTGTTAGTAATATTAATGGTGTTATTTAATTCATAAATTTTATTTAACTTTGTGTCTAAAGTCTCAGGCAATCATGTTCCAGCTGTATCTCTGTTATCCTGCCTCTAAACAAAGAGGACTTTTCCTTCTCTTTCAGTTTCTTTGTTTAACTAGTAAAAAAGAAACCTCTGGCCATATTTGTTACACTTTTTGTGGTTCATGTGAAAACTCTTTAACACAAAATGGTTTTGTCTTAATTTTGAAGTAGGTAGATTTTACTGTATTAGCACAATGTAGACAGCATTTGGTAAGAAGTTTGTCCACAGTTGATCTACAGTGTTTATGATCTTTACAGCTTAATCATTACAGAGTACCTAATGACTGAAGCACAGAAGCCAAGAAAACCCTGCAAGGTAATAAGCTAGGGATTAAACAACTTAAATTTATAAAAATGTTAGAGAAAAATACTTGCCTCTTCATCAGTGAAAAGATCCAGATATTCCACCAAACATAACCATGATAAATGGAATGGAGATGGAACAGAACACGATCCATAACTGTTAAGACAGTAACAGTGCATTATGAGTAATCATAGAATACTGTATCTCCTTTAATAAGCACCTGGAGTTTTATTTAAGACTTTGATAAAAGAGGGGTGCCCGCTGGAACAAGGGTGCTTAGGTGAGAAGACACTTATTAGGAAACTATTAACCCTTTAATTCCTGCAACTGACTAACATGAAACTTCTCCATATAATATCCATACATTATTCTGCAAACAGGTAATGAGAATATTCAACCTTATCAGGTAGAAGCCGCTATCTTGATCTAGCACCAAATTCTCATAACTAATTTACAAGGAAATATGTAGCATCAAAAAGGGAGAATTAACAATCAGTTCTTGGGAGTTAACTTATACTCAGATTCTGCTGTAGTTGAAACTTAAAAGATTATAAATAGAGGGCCAGGCATTTACTCAAGGGGGGTACTTGTTTGATATCATAGCTTAGGGGGGTGAACACTTATTCAAGGAGGGTGCTTAGTACAGCATGGACACTTATTCAAGGAAATGTGGTTTGTAAAATTCAAAATCTGTCAGTTTTGCCAACCACTTTGAATAATCCCTTGATATGGGAGGGAAAGATTAACTGCCAGATCTTATATGGTTATCAATAACTATCACTGGCTTTCTAATGACCACAGTAACCCTCTGCACCTAAACATCAGTATGCATATTCTCCTTACTGTTCTCTGATACATTTCCTAAGGAGTTGAAAAGGGGAATTTGTTGAACAATCAAGAGCTTCTCTAGCAGGTGATAATTTCCTTTGATCTCCTGACCTTAATGTGTGATTCAGAGTTGAAACTGTAAGGAGAAATCAGATTCTGATCACTGTTAGGGGGTTAAAAGATTAAGAAACTGTCAGAACTGTTATGAACTGTGGAATATCATCCATAGAAAAACAATTTTCACAAAATATTAACTTCTTTGAATATCCGCAGATAAATGGCGTTTGGTGAATATTTCATAAAATCGAAAATAAAAAATGTATCATAACGTGTAGGTATTTAAAACTGCCGTCACAGAACACAGATCTACTGACAGATCTAAATGTGAAAGTACATGACTACTAGAAATACGATATTAATGGGCGCTTCCCGGGCTCCAGTCGCTTCGATTGTACGAATTTTGTTACCTTGCATGATGTGGTTGATCAATGATTGCCCTCATTATCTCTTTCAATGGTTTCTCGAGTTTGTCGCGCTGTTCGAACAAGCCTCGCAAGCACACTCGAGCAAGTTCCCATTGACCCAGGGTAAGGTGATTGCAGAACGCAGTAAATAATTGTTGAAGAGAAGTTTCCTCCTCCCGATCGAAAGGATGGCTCAACGGCAGTTGTTCACTCATACTTGGCTGTAATTTCATTCGATGGTATGGTTCTTGCTGTGACGAAGTTTAAAGTGTGTCCTTATTTTACACAAGTTTATGTCGAATCCTTCCATGTTCGATGTTTTTTTAGTCACAGAGCCCGGCACGTGACTGGGAACTAGTTGCTACAAAAAAAAAAATTCAATCATGTAAGGAGTCCTCAAGAGTCGCATTGGTGTTCAAATCTTGTAGCGGTATGTCTTAACTCTGTCAACTGTTTCGCCTATTTCATAATGTCGAGTGAGGTGAGTATTTCAACGTCTGATTACTTTGAAAGCTTTTTTTCACTTTCATTTACACGTTATGGGTCGGACAAGTCTTTTTTCCTTATCACATTGCCCTTGATGCAGTGCGAACTTGTAACGCGTTACACTTAGATGTGTGTAAACTCATCAGGTAGCTGGTCGTGCACTGTCAAATAGCTTCTGATCATAGGCTTTGCAATATCGTACAGAAAATATTACGTACGTTAGTTGACGTCTTTTTTTCAGTGTGTGCGTTAAGTTTAAATTTGAAGATCGTTGCGGGAAAGTAAAATGATTATGAAATCGAAAGTTAACCGGCCTTTTGAAAGGGATAGGTAACTTGCTGCTGTAGGTACGATTGGTTAGGAGAAATTTTTAAGCAATTCAAGACATTCAGGAAAATTAGAAATATAAGGTTTATGCATTGGAGGTAACTAACCGCAGGAATAGTAGTGCAATGTTTATCGTACGTTCAACAATGGAATTGTCCTTCCCCTCTCCTCACACCACACCCCCAGGCCACCCCTGTAAAGGACATCGTAAGACCCTACAGAAAAAGCCATACAAGAGACTAGTTTTACTGGTGATTGATACAGAGTATAAAACAGAATAGAATCAGCTCATTAAAAATTATTTTGTGTTTATATCTGTTTTGATTTTGTTCTAGGAGCCTGTTACAGCCAATGAAATAGAAGATACCCCAAATGGCACCACTGGAACATCCAGTAACCACCAGCCAATTTCATGGAGAAACAATCCTCACAGGTTGTTGACTGTGGAAATAGTCATTTTCCTTTATCTCACTGGTATCATTTTGGAAATCCCAGTTATACAACAGTACTTATATCACAGAGCTAGGGAAGAACTGAAAGTACCTGGAGAAGATGAAAATGATACTATCTGTAATCCTCGTTATGAAAATAGTTCGGAACATAGGTAAGTACATATTATACTACAGACAGTTTCTGTATGATTTCATCAATAATTATTACTTTTTCATGATTGGGAAATCTTGATAGGCTCAGGACATACAGTATAAATCCATCTTTTTCAGTGAAGGAGGAAAACAAAATGTTTTTTTTTAAGTGGCCAGTATGATAAAATCCCAGTGCAGGAAGATAGCAACCTATCATTTGAATTATGGTGCCACACTCCTCTCCCAATAGATATGGATTAATTTCCCCATCTGATCTGACTCACCATAATGCCTTAGCTAGAGACTCAGGCATGAGTTGTGTATTTATTTAGTGGCTGTTATTAAGAAATTGAAATTAGACAGTGTGAAAGACCTGGTGAGAAAAAAATTACAGGGTTCTTTTCTTTTATGAGAAAGAGGAAGCCTTACAATTTGTCCTTCTCCCAAGATGTGGTTGCACCTAGCTGGTGTCTGGACGGTACAGGTTTGAATCCTATTGCTTTTTTCTGTGATTGCTAAAATTGTAGTCCACCTGCTAGGATCATTCCTTCACTTGTTTAATTTTTTTCATCGGCAGGTGAAATGAAATTTATTTCTTAACAAAATATTATTAATAGCTGTTGTCTTTTTACTTTCTTTAAAAAATACAGCATGGATGATAAAGTGCACAAAAAAGCCTCACAATACATTTTATGGGTGAGCATGGCACTTACACTCCCTGCCATCTTCATGGCTTGTTTCCTTGGTTCATGGTCAGACAAAAGGGGACGAAAGGGACCCATGATAACTGCATCTGTTGGAAGTGCTTTGGATACCTTGATTATTCTGGCAGCAATTCATTGGAAACTTCCAATCTATGTCTTTATGATAGGTGTGTCTGATTTCTGATCTCTTTTGTGTATCTGCATGAGTGTCCTGGTTAGGTCCAGGGTGAAAGGTTAATTCCTTCTCCTTCTTAGGAAAAGTAAAAATATTTATTCTAATGAAATTTCATCTTATATGATATTTCCTCAAATAGGCCCAATACTCAAATAAGCACCCACTTGGAATAAGTGCCCATCCCTTGGGCTATAATGTCAGACAAGCATCATAATCCTAATGCTTCTTACTTGCAGTAAAAAGTAAAAAATTCATTTACCCCTTTTCAGTTCAATGAAGCTCTTTCCACAAACATAACACTTGTTATATCTAACTTTTAGAAAAGTATTAATAGTGAAATGTTGATTGAAATGAAACTAGAAATTTGATCCCCAATTCAAAAAAGGGTCCATGACTGAATTATTTACAGAAGAGATCAGATAAATTTTGAGTTGTTTCATGAGTTTTGTCTTGTCTTACTAAGCTTCCCACTCGTCAATAATTTTCAGCTGATCATTGCCCAAACAAAAGGCTAACTCTTAAAATGTCAGCTGTAGAAACTCTTTACAGAGGTGAATGTTCAATCACCTTAGTTGATAAGGCAAAATTATCTTGTAATATTTCCACTGACCCAGCACCACTGTTTCTATAGAAACTAACCCCTTTTATTGATCTGCCAGTATATTCTCTCCCACCTCTAAGTCAGATGTATGTAGTTGTGCATAGTCATCCCAATCTGACATTAGCTTGGAAAGAGTGCATTTCGTTTCCATTTATTATTTATTTATTATAATTGTTCTTAATGTTAATTCTGTTAATTTTCTTATGTACAGCAAGTGCATTGGCTGGCCTAGGTGGCTATTATCCTACTATGGTTCTTGCACTGCTTGCGTATGTAGCAGATACATCCCCACCAGATTCCAGAGCTTTAAGGCTTGGTATTCTAGAAGCGATTGCATTTATTTGTGGAACAGTAGTGTATTTTGTCAGTGGAGTATGGATCAAGAATTATGGCTACCAGTCTATATATCTGGTGATACTGTCTTTACATTTACTCAATCTTGTGTATGTTGTAATCCTTCTTCCTGAATCATTACCCCAGGAACTAAAGAAGAACAAAGCAGTCTTATCCTGCAATAGTATTAAAACCATTTTTACAGTTTACTTTAAGAAGAGATTGGGACGTTGGGTCCTCATCACTCTCCTCGTCTGTGCAGTTGTTGTTTACTTAGCTGGATTTGTTGTACAAACATTGTTGGTTCTCTTTGGTAAGAGAGACCCTCTCTGCTGGGAGTCATCTGTTATTGGTTATTTTCTTGGGACAGCATTGTTTTCGAAAGCTGTTGGAGCTGTGGTTGGTATCAAACTTTGTTCATGTTTAGGCGTTTCAAACTTTGGTGCTGTTCAAATTGGAATTATTTTTCTCATGGGGAGTTTAATAATGATTGGATTTTCTAGGACCACATTGGAAATGTTTCTAGGTGAGGTAAAATTTGTTCTAAGCCTTGTAAATTTGATTGCCACCTTATATCTAGGCAACTTGCAGAAAAGTTTTTCATATCATGATTAAATTTACTCTTTGTAACCTTTTGACCACATCTGAATGCATGTTCTCCATACTGTTCTTTGTGTATTTCCTAAGGAGCTGACAGGAAGAATTTGTTTAAAGATCAGAAGGTTCTTTAGTTGGCGATCATTTCTGTTCTTTTCTTGACCTCAATATTTTATTCAGGGGTGATATGTGGGGAGAAATCAGATGCTAGTCACTCTCAGGGGTGAAAGGGTTACTGGTAATGTGTAGTTTTACATTTTACTTGAAGTCTGATTCTTTGAATGTCTTTTGAAGACTGTGCCTATGTTTTACTGTCATGACCACCTGAGTAAATGCAGATATGCATCTAGTTACTTGTTATTGATAGAAGATGTTATTTTGAACTTGTAGCCACCATTGTTGGTTTCTTTAGTGGTGTCCCACAGCCTTGTATCAGGGCTGAAATGTCCAGGTTGGTCAACAAAGAGGAGCAAGGTACATGCCCTAAATACTTAGTGAGACATTAATCTCCTCTTTTAAAACAAAACCTCAAACCCTAAGGGATTAATGTATCACTGTGAATAGAACTTGAATCCTGTTGCATTAATGAACCTTTCAATTAGTTTTAGTTAGACTTGTGGGGTTTTTCACTACTGGTACTTTTCTGAGACCTAAATTTTTTCAAGACAGAATCACATATTACCCCTAAACTCGAGGAATTTAAAATTACTTGTCTTGAAACACTTCATCAATTATTAAGGCTCTAGTGTTTAGAACAAATCCTGTTTATTTCTGAATCAAAGTTTAGACCCCTCTCCCTGTTCCCCCATGCTCATTTGCTGGATTTCTTGGGCATTATGACTTGATAATAAATTCATGTTATCTAACTTTTAGATAAACATAACTAGGTTCATTGTTTTTTGTTCAGGTTCTCTTTTTGCTGTTCTAGCATCTCTGGAGAGTCTGTGTAATTTTTTTAGTCAGCTGATTTTTAATCCACTTTACACATGGACTGTAACTGAACTCACAGGAGAATATGTGGCAGGAATTACCTTCTTCATCAATGCTGGTCTCCTTCTCATTCCTATGGCTCTTATTTTGTAAGTAACTAAAATTGTAATAATTTAAATCATTATAATAAGAATAATTTTATCAATATGGTTGCCACTTATTGAGTTCCCTGACTTTTCCCTGACATGAGTCAAATTTCCCCTACCAACTCAATTAATAACTTCGCTTACCAATCCTGACAGTGACCTCCAATTTCCACTCACAGCCATCCTGTCAACACAGAACTTCTATGAGTACTACATGTAATTCCAAATACCAGTAGCTATTTTGTTTGCAACAAGACATAATCCAATATTGTAACCACACAGGTAAACAATTATCGGCAATATCAGGAAAAAAACCTTTTTCAAAATTCTGAAACCAGAATACAAGTTCAGTTATGTGCAGTCATTGTGATTTCTTTCCAATTTTGACTTTTTTCCTCTCTTTTTTCATTAGGGTCATTCAGAGGAGTAAACCTTCAAAGCCAAAGGAATTTCCTCCTCTTCTTGACAATGAAAATCCAGCAAAGTCATACAGCAAGCAGGAAAGGATCTAACTTCAAGTCATCTGGTCTCAGTTGTTGAAATGGTGCATAATGCAGTATATTTTGTCAACATTTATCAGCTGAATACTTATTGATATCTGTTGAATAGCATTATCCACCCTTTTAATTACTGGACCTTGCTATGCTAACATGAAAAACACAGATATGTATAACCAAAAACTGAACGTCAAAAGATGGTTTAACCAACTATCTTGCTGCTTTATTTGCATCACAATTCTCTGAGAACTGATTCCATTTTGTGTGTAAACACTTAGCTATTATCCTTTCAATCTACACAATGTTAGATGTCTTTTGCTATTAGAGCAGTTTTCAATGGAGTATTTAATGTGATCCTAAAATACTTTAGTTACTCTGTGATTGGTCTTGCAAAAACTCTTGCCACCATCTTAACCAAACAGATTCAAAAGTAAACCCAACCCCAACTTGGTCACTTTTGTTTTCCAGTGCTTCAAGCAGGTTGCCTGTTTTTTACTTTGAGTTGTCATTAGTTAATGATGTTAACTTTTTGTTCTGATTGATAATTGTGATAACTTTGGTTTTGGCTTTAACTTTCACTTGAAAACTACTCTTACTGTTACATGTACATCATTAATTCATTCAAAACATGGAAGGAAGACATAGTGTAATGTGCTATTTGCATTAGTTACACGATGGGGCAATTGAACTGGCAATTTTTAGAAATACATAGAATGAGTCAAATATGTAACAATTAGCAAAATGTTCAATACAAGTTAATTTGGCTGCAATGGCCACAAATTTTACAAAATCCAGAAAATGATATAAATTTTTCTATATGAATGTAATGCAATAATATTTTGTAAATAGTGAGAAATTGTAGATTACAAATGGGGCAGTTTTTGCCAGCACCATTATCTGGAAAAGTCAGAAAACCATGAACCTCTAAAATGCTAAGGGAATGTTTGGTATATAATGAGGAGCAACAGTCAACTTGGTGATTGTAAATCACAAGCAGACAACAGAGAGACAAATTAGTATCTACATGCCATTACTACTCCTGTGTACTGTTTATTCTTGTCCCCCTCACATCTTTGGACTTGTTTGTCACTGTGCATTAACAAACAGAAATATTTATAGTGTTCATGGTTTTCTAGAACTTGCAGTAAAAAAGTGTACATAACTGAAATACATGTGATGCTCATTTCCACATTCTAGATGTTGAGAGTGACTTTAGCCAATGATTTTCTTTTTTGTCAAATCAGCAGTGGTATGATTTTTATTATTTACAACAGAGTTATCACCAGATTAGAACATCTGGTGCCAGTATCAAGGATGCAATATTTAATTTTCACATTAACGTTTTAGACGAGAATTTCAAAAGTTGAATAAATAAAATAGCAAAGAAATAAAACAAATACTATTCAGGATTGTATGATTGTTGTTTATGAACCTTATTTTAGCAAAACAAAGTTGGCTTCTCCATGATGACTTCAAGATGGCAGCCCAGTAGTTTGCAAGCAGCCCCTCATTGTGAAATGTGTTTTAAATTTGTGTTTCTCTGCCCACAGGAAGATTTAAGATGAGTCACACTTGTCCAGAAGGGATGATAATGAGGGCCTGCCAGCACCCTATGATGGTATCAGCTAAGTCCTTATGGAACATCACATGTTTAAATCATGTAGTGGTACTAGATGCTAAAATAGAGATGTGCTTATCTGAGACTTTTAATCCTGTTTACACCATATCCAAAAAATTTTGCCTTTCCATTTTTTAGTCCTTAGCATCTCCGATACCATCTGCATTGATAGCAAACATGGCTTCAGCCTCAGGCAAACATGGCGAGTCATATATCTTACATATTCTTGTCTCCCCTCTTCCCTTCCTGAGGTACAATCTGTAGAGGATAAGGAGCAGAATATATACTTATTACTTCCAAGCCTGCAGGAAATCCTAGTGAGCTGACATCCAAGTTTTCCTTTGATGACAATGTACCTGTTGTTGACTTCACTGGTAGCTTCCTTTAAAACATGTTTTAAAAATGCATTTAGCTACAGCTCATCATTTGTAAAACTGAATTTGCTTTCTTTTTCATCTTGTTTATGGAAATGTAATGTACTGACTCAATGTTACTATAAATTAAGAAAGACAACATACAGAGCTTGCTTGTGTGGAAAAAGTCAAACCTTATTCAGCTTTGTCCACAGTCAAGATATGTAGTTACCTCATTCCTTCATAAACTTACATAATGTTCCCATGCATGTATGTATATGTAAAAAACTATGTTTACTTAATTGACCACTTCTCCAAAGGGCCTTTTCAGGGCCAATACAAATGAATGAATGAATCAACATGGTGTTTTAAAGTCACCTTTGCTTAAAAATTGTGTGACACTGAAAATCCTTGGTAAGACAAACATGAGTCAAGGGCAGTCATTTAGAAACATTGCACCCTAAAATCCTAAGATATAGCTGAGACCTTCGTAGCACCACAAGTGATGATCAATGTCAGTTTGTATAGTCTATAGTTAGTTTGAGCTGTATCATCAATGCAAACAGACCCTATTACAAAAACTTAACAACAGCCCTGATGATTTCCACCCTCGCAACTTTACTATTGAAGGTAAGTCTGTAAACAAACTACAATTGTGAAGTCAGTAGAGAAAAGTTGTCAAAGAACAGGATTTTGTTATTAGCCATTACCTTGTTGTTGATGCATGTGCCATGATGTTTCCACCTATTGGCTTTTTGGGATCTGCTTGGAACATAGAAGCACCATCCACCTGTGCTACAACTTGGTTTGTGATAACAACAGCTATACCAAACTGAATGACAATGGTATCACAATCAATTCACATAAAAAAAAAAACAAGGTTTATCACTACTTGAACATTCATAGGTAAAACTACTCAAAGATGCAGTAACAGGCAGCAAGCATGGCACAGTCCAAAAAGAGAGAAGAAAAAAGTGTGATATTGCATGTACATGGTCTATACAGGGTAAAACACAAAATTAGGTAGCATATGTACCTCATCTGCAAGTTTTAGTAGTGTTCTAAGGAATCTTGCCAGGTGCATCTGCCGGGCAGACAGTTCTCCACGACCAGAGTAGTCTGTACGATACAAAGCTGTTGCACTGTCGACAATCATAAGAGCATATCTGCAATGATGGGTGATGGAGAAAATAATTTAAGAATACTGTACATGTATTTTGAAAATTGCCAGAGTGCAGAAGAGTGACTGTCATATGCCACACAGGTCTAGAGGTAACTAATTCACTCAGGGTTTGGGTATTACTGACCATCTGACTAACGAGTCAAGAAGTCAGGCTAAGTGGTAAGGGGAAAAAAAATTACAGTTTACATTGCTTGCAGAGTTCAATAGTTGTATTTAATGCATGGTGTATTTCAGGACTACATAACTACATTTATTGATCAAGCAGTACCTTGATTCAGACATCATAGCAGATGCATGTATCAGAAGCTGAGACTGATGGTCTGAATTGTAGGCTCTCGCATAGGCCACATTATCAAGCACACTTTGTCCTGAAAGCCCATATCTACATCACAAAAACAATATGATACAAACGTTAATTCACAAGAACACATTCGGATCAAACAATTGTTTTAAAAACAATCTAGTTTATCTTATGAGATCCTAAAAAGGGGGGGGGGGGAAGAAAGCAGGGGTGAGCTTTATCTAAAGAGAGTGAGAGGAAAAACAAAAGAAAGACTAAGGGCACAAAGGACAAAGGCTGTAGAGGAGACAAATAAATATATAATTTATATATAATTATGTATATTAAAAAGTCTAATCAGTGCAAATTTAATTGTCTGGAATTATGCACAGATATAGCTATATCAAATAATTCTCTTAAGGTGGGGTAAGAACTACTGTTTGGTAAATTTTGAACAATGAAAACTTTTAGAAATGAAGGAAAATGAGCATTTTGTTAAGGATGATGAAGGCGATCAGGGTAACACTTTAAAAATTCTGTTCTTTACTATCAGAACAGAAGTTTTTCTTAGTCCTTAAAGTCAAAAGACATAGTAAACAACATAATGTAAATTAAAATGTAGGTTGCTGACCATACCTTTCAGCAACAGCTACCAGTCTTTCAGGTCGAAATGTGCCCTCTGTATCAATGTAGAGACATTTTCCTTCTGCCCCACCATGGTCGATGGGAAGCTGTAAGATAAAGTAACATTATATTATTGGACATAAGAACTACTGATTTTCTTCTATGCATGTACACAGTGTAATCATGTTGTGGAATTCCATTATATCAAACAATTAACTTTTTTTGTTATACACTTTTCAATGTACATGCATAGGACTGTACTTCCCAAAACTATTAATTAGTTTTGGGAAGTACAGTCCTATACATGTACATTGAAAAGTGTAAAACAAAAAAAACTGACTGTTTGATAAAATGGGATTCCACAACATGAAATATCAAATAGGGACAAATTAATATTATTTGTCCCTATTTGAGGTACATGTATGACACAATTATAGAAACTTTCAGAAACATTTGAAATCTCAATCTTGTCTTGTGATGATAAGTTAAAGATTGATTACCTGACATGTTACGGCCATTGTGTGACACAGTTGTGTTTTTCCAGTACGGAATTCCCCAAACATTTCTGTGATGCTTCCAGTTTCAATACCACCTTTGGATCCAAAAGGAAAGTTATGTCTTTCAAATGTAAGACTAACAAAACATAACACGATCTAAAAACAAAACGTCAATCCACTTCACTTCAATAGTACATGTCTTGACCCTTAGACCTCTTAGATGGCCTAGCTTCTAATTTATCCTCACAATATCACCTCTGAATCACACATTTAGGCCACAAGAATAAGATCAATGATCATCAACTAAAGAAGATCTTAATTATTGAACAAATTCCCCCTGTCAACTTAGGAAATGCATAAAGAACAGTATGGAGAATATACATACTGATATTAGGGTGTAAAGGGTTAATCATTTAACCTCCTGATTCATATTTCACAAACAATACCATACAAATTTTAAACTAAAGGCAATTAACCTTTTGGTCAAAAATCTACTTAGGCCTTATTTCCTGCTATTCAAAAAAAATGTAAAATTTCACACAAATAAGCCATCAATCAATATTAAACTAGAGAAAATATATAAGCACTTGACAAAAGTTTCAAACCAACCTTGCATAAGTTTGTCTAACTCTTTTGACCCTGTAGTAATCATCACTAATTCTGATCTTCTCTGGTGAAATTCTGTGGCAGTAGTGAATCCCATTGGCACCAGCTTAGAGGCTTCATTGAGAAGTTTGTCAGCTTTAGCCTCACTGATTCCTTTAATACCAAGTAGAGCTTTTTTTGGTGTGTAGGCCACTGCTTCAATGGTGTGATATCCAGCTTCTTGCAGCTTTTTTACATCATTGGCACTAATTCCATGCTCCTTATGAAGGAAAAATGTCAGTTATGACGAGTCATCATTCAATATCATCACATCAACATAATTTTTCATAAGCTGTACATGTAAGCTTACAAAATAACCCAGATATCACACACACTCATGCTGTTCAAATACAATCATTTATCATGTTGAAAAGTGAAAATTAGAAAAAAAACAGTTTGCAGAAACATTTCCATGTAACCCCATACTATTCTGAAACAAAGTCCTAGAAGCCTTGGATTCTGAAGCAGTCCATCGTTTTCTTTATCGTTTTTTTCATCCAAGAACTGTCTACACGATTAAGTAAAAGGCTCCGCGGAAATCTTGCTCAGCTTACATGCATATCTTCAACGAAGAGAGGTCAGCTTTTACTGATATTTCAGAATGGATACGTAAAGGAGTCTACCCTGATCAAAATCTAAACCGCAAAAGACATACAGTAAGAACAAAAAAAAAAGAAATTAGATATATTCTGTTCGCAATAAATTCGAGCATAGTCTTCGAGGACAATCACAAGGAAGTCTTATAAAATTAATAACTTCACATCTTCATAAAGCGAGCAATTCTATCATCATGGCGGCGTTCAGGTATGGTAGCTAGATTTATTAATTTATTACAAAGTCACTTTCCTGAAGACTCTCGATTCCTTATAGATAAATTTCAAACAATCTGTTATAGCAATGATAAAAATGAATTCGGCAGCATTCAAGGGAGATTCCAACGAAAATCGGTCCTCTGGAGTGTACTGAAACTGCTAGCGTTAACTTAGCGTTGAGCCAATCGAAATTTGCAAGAGGTACGCCTCATTACCCGTGGCAAGTTTGATACGTTTTGGCTTAAAAAGAAATAGAAATTTCAGATTTACGCGGGAAATGCCAGAAATATACCCTTGAGAATAATCTTATCTGTAATGACGAACTACAACGCCATATTATGTTTGCCTCAGTACCTCGAGTTTGTTGATAAGCAAAGGTCCCGCGTTTTCTTCCATGACGTCGTCATGTTCAGTTTCTTCTTGCCTTTCCCGTTGCATTATTTCTGAAAAAAACTTCAAAATAACCAGCCGATAAACACTTAAATGCTGAAAAGGGCAATATAGAGCCTTATCCTTGTCTTCAAACAGGTAAAAAGCTCAACTCCTCGCCAGAACTGCCGCTAAAGTTTTTGAATCAGAGCGGGAACCGAAGATACGTCATGTAATTATGAATAAGATGTTCTCGTGCTGACTCACGTGACATTAATCTGAGATACAATAGAACAGACAAATGTAATTACATTTGACTTTTTCTTTAGGATTCAAGCTTTCAATTAGCTAGACACCACATACATACAGCATGTGAACTTGCAAAATGATAATAATGATTTTTTCCCTAAAATTAAAATGGGGAAATCAACAGAGATCGCAGTGTCAAAAATAAAGTGGGGCCACTTTTGGTGACGTAGCTAAATGCGAGGTTGCTAAGGATTACAGAATCGGCGAAAGTTGTTGGAAAAATGGAGTTCAACAAGTGATGTATTTTTTGTCGCCTCGCCCGGTTACCGGTTACCGAAAGGATGAAACATGGGTTGACGTAACGGACAGGGAGTACACATCGTCAAAATCGAAAAAGACCAATGAATCAGATCAATGCAAAGAGATCATCGAGATATGATTTATTAAAATACAAGGGGCGAATTGGTTTCCAGTCGTCTAATTATGTTACGACTAGTGGACCCCAATGAAGCTAAACCATGGCAGAGCTGTGCAATTTGTAGCGACAAGATATTTTTCAGGACGCCAAGAGAATTTAGTTCTCATCTGAGACAGTTGCACTGCACAAAAGAAGGAGGATCGTTTGTTTGCCATTACGGTAAAAATGGCGTTTGCCCTTCCTTACCTGTTGAAGGTGTCAGCGACAAAGATTACGAGGATCATGTAAGGAAGAATCACACAAAACTGGAGGAGGGTAAGTGTATAGTTAACAGTTTAAATATTCTGATCGTTAAGAATAATTCCCCTTGTGTTATTTTCTTGACATCATTAATTGCATCTAGTTCTCTGATTCCTCGTTAATTTTGAAATATATGGAAACATACACGGCTTACACGAATTCTGTTTTATTATGATGACTGAACTCCGAGAAACATAAGGCAGTGTAGAAGAGTTTGCATCTTGCCATTTATTCGTGCGCGTTTTATGAATTAAAACTCAAGTAGACTGCAATAAACTCACACAAAAAGTCGAAGTCTTAAGAAATTGGTAGCAAATATATGTACATTGATGTACATGCACTACTAAATTAAGGCACCAGAATCAATGTTACACCGAATATATTAAGATATATTTTATCCAAATTTTTTTAAACCCATTAACTTCCATGATTATCCAAGACAGAATTTCTCAGTACAATTTCAAAAAATTATCAAGCAGACAATTTATGAGAATGAAAAAAAATATCAGTTACATGTTGGGGATCTTTAGCTGATCTAATACTAAATTCTACCAACTGAGATCATAAGAAATGCAGGGTAGCTGGTAAGGGGAATTGCTTATGAGGTCTTGGGAGTGAAAAGGGTTCAACCTCTATTCGGAGGATAGAGAGTTTTTTTTTATATTTCCTTTCACTTTTATCTTTTGCTTGATCTTAGGTTAATTCATGATACAGGAAGTATTCTATTATTTATTGTTTCTGAAAAAAATTTTTTTATTTATATCAACTTTTCTTTTCATTATAAGTTCTATAATTTGTTAACTGTGTTCATGTAAGTTACAATGTCTTCAAGTTAGGCTACTTTTCTATTTAACAAAAATGCTCTGTGTTGCCATGCATCTGTTCAGGAATAGATCACAGATGATGTGGAAAAAAAAAATGATCAGCACAAGAGGCACAGCTGAGTGTGTCTCAAAGGTTCTTGCCATCGTCGTATGTCTTCTGTGATCGAATACTTTACAGAGACCTACAGCAACACGAAATCTATTTGTTTATATGATTAAAAAAGCAAAATGCTGGTGATAGCAATGTCATCTATTTATGTCTGTTCTCCAAAAGACTTAGTTCAGGGTTTTCCCTAGTTTTCAGCACAACAGGTAATAGACCTTTTCAAACCAGTAAAGCACATTTGCAGCTTCAGGCGGCTGGTCATTCTCAACTTTGTCATTTCCTAAAGCTGATACAGTACATTGCACCTATCAAGAATTCTCCATTGAAAAATTAATAATGTGAACGGTACACCTTTAGGTTCAGAGGTTGAACAAAACAAAAGTAAAATTTTGTTTAAAAGCATTATATTTGACCATGCCCTCTCCAAACTGCTTATAATGTAAACTGGTCTCCCTTCAATTTTGGGTGATATCTTTGGCATCACTTACATTGTATATTGCTGGAAAATCAGCGGTGTCAGCTACAAATTGCATTGCTATGAAATTGAATCACACTGAAGAGCTGAATTTGTGTTCTAATTGTCTCAAATTCAGAACTTTTACGCTGTCGAGAGATTTTATTTTCAAGGCTTCTTTCAAACCGTTTCAAGTAGAGTTTCGTTTCAAGTAGAATTTCATGATGAAGACTAGCTTTGTCCTCACGTGTTTGTTATACAGCCAGAAATTGTACAGCTGTCAAAGCGGTTATTTCTGGCAATTGGCTGCTTTTCCATTGCTAGTACATAACCTTTGTTTTGTTTACCCCTAAAATTCTTGTAAAGCTTACCAGCCACTCTTTGTGACCTCTTGTTATTGGACAGAAACGACAGCATTGCTTGCTGCCATTTCATTGTAGAAACTGAACAACTAAACAACACCTTATTTGCACATGCAGAGAACTGACAAATGTCATGAGATTTAGCAGAAAGCCCACAAAAAATCACTCTTGCTTCAAAATGCGAAAGGTACCAGTCAGTGTTTAAGCTAACTGAAGCACATGTAGATCTATAATAGTGCACACTGTTGGCTTGTTATAACACTTTCTTACCAGATTAGCTCACCATAAATGCATATTTTTTAAGAGTTCTGAGCGTTTGCAGGCGGTAATAAGTGCTCTTACAAGTGGTAAACCGGTTACTGCCTGATAAGGAGAACCCTGATAGTTAAGAACCAATCAAAATGTGAGCATCAAACTCAGCTTATTATACAACTTGATTAGATGCTTCAATGCGTCTGTTCTTTTGCAGTAAAATCAGAGAGTCGTGCTTCTGTTACCAATGATGAATCACTATATCCAAGACCCAGACTACCACCCATCTCATTTCCTAATGCAAGTTCTTTCACTGTATATTCCTCGACACAAAACCTTCCTGCCATCTTAAATGACCCACGACTGCTCAAAAGACAGACAGACTTCTTCACCAAGACATGGGGAGAAGATTTTATATCACAAGATGTTCCACCCCTCACATTACTTCCAAACATCCCAAAGGCTTCTTTCGATGACTACCTCAAGAAAACTGAGTTTGTGAGTAACCTTTAAATTAATTTGGAATCATTTGGAATATTGTTCTTTTATTATTAAGACATTTAGCTTTATAGTAATCCTGAAGAGGTCTAAGGTACAGTTTGTGGAAAACACCATGCAATAACTTGTATGTGGTCATCAAATCCATGCTTACAGTTTTTTGTGAATGCTCATTAATCCTTTGACTCTTTGAGGGTGATTTTGTCTCATTTTTATTAAACTTTTAGTACTCTTTCACTGCATGTACATGTTCAAATTTAACTAAAAGAATCCCTTGAATTTTTTTAGAGGATCAAAGTTCATCAAAAACTCAAGAAAAATTCAGTTGGGGGTGGGACTACAGCTACTCCTGGTGACACTGGTTTTACAGCAGCTGCAGTTGCTGCAGCCAAAAGACAGAGTGGTTAGTGGTTAAAGTATCTGTTGTGGAATATGATTTTATTGGAGGTGGAACAAGCTAGTTGAAGATGAGCTATCTTTGGTTGATCTTTGATTAATGAATAAGGACTCACTTTGCTTGAAATTATTATTTTCCAGTTGACAAAGCTGCATCTGATATTAGCCTAATACCAAAGGTTTGTTGTTCATTGTAAAATAATTTTTGTCTTTAATTGTTTACTTTTGGTAGAATTGTGACTTGTGTGACCTTTTAAAATTCCTTCCCTGTATTTTGTCCAATAAGCACTAGGGCACTTATTTAAAATTTTGGCTCAAAGGAAAGGTGCTTATCAGAAGGAGGGTGCTTAATCAATGGGGCACTTTTTATTCTCCTTTACTGATTTTGCTGTAGTTAAAATTTACGAAGTTGCAAATTAAGTCACTGTGGCTATAGAAACTGATTTTCTTTGTACTCAGGACTACTGTTTGGGTGGGGCACTTATTTCCCATTTCGGCTAAGGGGTGGGTGCTTTTTTAGGGAAGGGTGCTTATTCAAGGAAATACTAACATTATCTAATTTTTCATGGATGGTTTAATTGACTGAGTAATTGTGAAATTCATTAAATGATTGATTACCAGCAGTTGTTAAGGATCCTGTTGAGGGCAAAGTGGAAGGGTGGTTTCATACAAGTTTATTGGAAATTACAGACTGTAACATAATTGTATTTTGGTCAGCATGGAGACTTCATTGAGTTGTTAAGTCTTCATTGGTAAATTTCAGGTGTTCCTGATGCCCAATTTTGCTTTGGAAGACCCAGAGATCTTTAACAGTGTCCTTCCTTGGAGTATGGTGACTCAAGAACCAGCTGAGAGTACAAGGGCTGTGCCGAGGAACTCAGCAAAGCTTCTTCAGGAAAAGGTAGTGATAACTGTTCTAAATATTTAGAGAGGGTTGAGTTTGAGCAGGACACCAATCTGCATGAGTGTAAGTTTGTACTGACTGGTTGATGTGTCACTATTTGTCTGCCTAAATAAAGTTTGGTTCAGCAGCCCAATATTGGTAGAACAGACATTGTATCTTGGCAAAGGTATCAAATTTGTACTCGAGCTTTGTGACCCATACAGTTGGAGCTTATCCTGGTTTTCATTGTATGAAGTTACAAGGAGTATTCTTCCCTCCTCTACTTCCCCCCCTCCAGATGGGATGCCAGTCTATTGATAGGTCATCCCCCCAGCATTTCTTCAGGCTTCCCTGACAATTCTCCTGTACCCATTTGTGTTCCTGGGTGGAGAGAGGCACTGTGAGAGTAGAGTGTGTTGCCCAAGAACAAAACACAATGACCCTGGTCCTCAACCCAGACCTCTTGAGCCAGAGTCTAGCACACTAACCACTACAGCACTGTGTCTCCTGATAACTTACCTTGGTTTCTATGATATTTTTGTCATCATCCCCTTGGGATGAGATAATCAGGCCTATTTGATATAGAAAATTGCCCAACAATTGGTTTTAAAAGTTTCCTTGACAGCTCCAAGATATCTTTTTATACTCCTGGGAACAGAGTGATACTTCTGGGAACAGAGTGGTACCAGAAGAATTTAGTTTCTTCCCCAATAACACAATTTATAAAATATTTTAAGTTGGTACTCTCACTGTTAGGTAGGTTTTTCCTCATTTTCTTTAATTCTTTTTCAAATTATTTTTTTGCCTGAAACCTTGAAGTAAAATACACAAAGAACATTTACATCAAGTTCTGTATTGAAGCAATTGGTCACCCAGGAAGTGCTGAAATGCCAAAGTTTTTTTTTTTGTTTTCAATCAAAGGAACCATTTGTTGTTTCATTCTTTTCGCAGTTGTCACACTATTTGGACATCACAGAAGTGAATCTGGCTCATCAGATCTCACTAAGATCAGAAGATTTCTTCAGTGCAATGGCATCCCAAGATCAGCTGCAGGATCATGTTGGAGAGACAGTCAGTGAGATCAAACATTTAAGGTACAATTTAAGTTTTATTTTGAATTGATTTGTGTATCACCTGTATGATCCAGAGCATTTTTATTAAAAAACTTTAGACAAAAATCCTGTATGAGGGCAGGATGGGACAGTAGAGATGTGTGTGGGAAGAAGATTAGGCTGGAAAACAAAGGGCAAAAGTCATTTGATAAAATGCTCATTGGCTTAGTTATGTCATGATCAGGTTGGACAGGAAAATAATTGGCTCTGGATGATCATAATGCACACACTTGGTCAGGCTTGCTTGGTCATCATGACTTCCAGCCAAACATTTTCCAACCTGACCTTCCCACTCAATCTATAAGTGTATATTCATCTATTACTGTTTTGTGGCCTGGATCAAAATAATTATTTCCTAATAAGGATTTAATTCAATGGCTTTGTAAACATAAGATATTTTAACCTATGATAATGTTGTTGAAAATGTTTGTACTTGTGTTGTTAATGTTAATTAATGCTTGCTTTATTTCTTAATTTCCCAGAATGAAGGTGCAAAAAGTTCAAGAGGTTTTGTGTTCAGGATTCCTGAATGTTCTCAGGCTTTCATCTTTGAGATCTAAATATCTCAGTGTGTTTGAAAAGGTGAGAAGAGCTAATAACCTGTTGTGGAACCCTTATCCATCTAACACCCCCAGATATGAATCGGGATGAAAGTTAAAGAAGCCCTTTTTTGACTGTGAGCTGAATTTTGTGTGCCCTGTGTCAGTGTTCCAGTTTCAGTATGATAACAAACACTTGTAATTGGTTGAAGGGAAGAACGATTTCAAATGTTCTCTATAATTCAGGCTCAAATTGTTTTCTTTCTACTGCCTTGGCTCCCAGGAGTGATTTACATCTAGTTTCTCCTTACAATATCTACCCTAAATCATTCAGGAAAAGATCACCAACTAAAGAACCTCTTGATTGTTCAACAATTTCTCTTTGTCAGCTCCTTAAAAAATGTATAAAGAACAGTATTGAGAATAAACATACTGATGTAAGGGTTTATTTTGTCATTGTTCATAAGGAAAGTTTTAATGAAGCAAGCAAAAACTTAGTTGCTTTCTTTGGTTATCACAGATCTGCAAAAACAATAAAGGTAGATTGAATAGGTATTGTCAGATAAATTTTATCAAGCAATCTAGACTCTTAAATTAAGGCAAAAAATAATTTCATTCAGTAATTATAACCTTTAACTCCCAGAAGTAATTAAAATTTAAGTTCCCCATAATATCCATACATTGTTAAGCTAGCAGGTAATGAGAATGCTCATCAGGTAGAAGTTGTTATCTTTATCTAATCCCAAATTCTTCCAGCTAGAGGGGAGAATTAGCAATCACATCTTTGGAGTTAAAATGTTAGCATTTAAATGTGAAGGAGTGGTGATAATCTATGTTTTCTTCAGCTGAAAATGATGGCCACAGTTCATCAAACACAGCCAACAATTCAGCTGCTGTTGTCGACATCTGACTTTGTTGGTGCACTGGACTTGATCAGCACTACTCAGGAAGTATTACAACAAGAACTTGCTGGCATTCAAAGCTTTAGGTATCTGAATAATTCTAGCTGAAATGGTCTGGCCATAACAGTTTTTCGCCTCAGTGAAAGGGTTCACTAAATTCTATTTAGAACTTAAAGTAAACATATCCAGTACTGGAACAGAAAATTTCTTCAAAACTCAGATGTAAGGCACATAACAAACTGATTGAAATTCAAATGTCATGTCATGTACTTTAGGTTGTTTAAATGTTGTAAAAATATCCACAATTGAGGTCTTTAACAATTATTCCTGAGCGCACACTGGATATATGAGATGTTAGATAGCCAATGAGGGGGTTATTTAGTGTTAACAACTGGGTTGAAAACGTAAATTAGCCACCGTAAAGGGTAAAAAAGCTGACGTTTCGAGCGTTAGCCCTTCGTCAGCTTTTTTACCCTTTACGGTGGCTAATTTACGTTTTCAACCCAGTTGTTAACACTAAATTACCTGCTATACTCTCCCACCGACGCAGCACCACAGTTTCTTCAGAAACTTACCCCTTTATCAATGAGGGGGTTGTTTCGAGTTGGATATGTGCAATCTCGTATCCAACAATTGCAAATGGAATGATTATTTTATCAAATTCCATTAAATCCTGAGTATTTGGAACTTTTTTCAACTCCACAACTGTTGGCGCAATGCATTTCCTTGTAAGGTGACTTGCAATATTAGCTGATTAGCGGGGTTGAGTGAGCCAATCAGAACACTAGAAATGCAATATTCAGAGTTGAAGATTTGATAATACAGTATGTAGCTGAACAGTCTGTTAATAAACGTCATTTGAATATCTCCACTTTTGTTTTTGCAATTTAGTATCATCAGCATAATGAATGAAGAATAATTTCTTGAAATTGTCTGTAAGAAGAGAGTATTATTATTTCACTTACAATAACCTCTGTGATTTTTTGCATTTTTTATTTCTTTTTGTGACTCAGACACTTGGGCTCACAACTGGCAGAACTTGAACGAGTGATTGAACGAATGATGGAAGCAGATTTTGTGGAGTTTGCAACAGCTAACCTTACTAGGACATCTGAGGATGACATGGAGAGTGAGGGACTTGTTGACGAGGTACGACATGTGAATACAATACCCTGATGAGCAGCAACCTTGAAACATTGAAGATGACTTCGTGTCGCTATCTGAGCAACCCCTCCCCAAGCCAAACATTAACCCTAAGTTTTTATCTGTAAACTGTTGTTCGGCGAGGGGAGGGGTAGGTGAGGGGAGGGGTAGCCGAGGCGAGGCGCCGATACTGACGTTGATCCGTGACATTCTATGTGCTGAAGTGCTTTTATTTTAACTGAGTACAGCAATTGGATTTTTTAAAATTGTTTGTTTCTTTCTAAAACAGGATAGGCTTGTGTCTGTATTATTTGGCCTTCTCCGGAAACACAAGCTGCACTTTCTTCACTTATATCGCGATGAAGCATATGCTACAATAAAGAGTACAGTTAGACAGGTTTGTTGACAATGGAATCAAAATTATAATCTTAATAGGGGCCTGAAGCAACCTATGACAATGACGGCAATGAAGACGTGGGAATATAAAACATCTAATGGACAGAACAATATCTCAGTAAACCGTGTTCAAACTTTGCAGATTTCTCAGCCGTTCTCTGCAAACAACAACGTGAAATCACCAAAATTTGCGTGGTTTGAGAACGGAAACCCTGACAGCAAATTATTGATATTTCTATTTGAAACTCAACGCAGCTCACATAAATGTACAGAGCTCCGCACGTTATGCTGAAGTTGAGGTGTGGCGGCGTAAAAGACGGTAAACGTATCCAGACATTAGCGAAAATACAAAATTTTCGTCTAATCGACGTCTTCCTCGTCGTCCCCGCGCTGACTCCTCACAAGGTCCTTATTAATATCTTAACCGACTACTCATACTCTGACTTAAGAATCTCACACTCAAGATTTTAGATCAAGTATGACCTGAAAATTTTTAAAATGTTAAAATATGTTTCAACAGACAGTACAAGATATCGTCACAGACAGCAAAGAGAACGAAGAGGAAAGGTAATATTATGGCTATAAGGATAATGTCACAGATCTAGCGATGTAAATCTAAACTAAGTCAGTATAGTCTAGGGATAAACTATTAAATATATCTGTGGGGGAGTAGGTGGGCAAGATGTGAGTGGAAAATGATAACTAACAGTTGAGTTCACGCTAACTCTGTGGTGAAGCATTAGATTGCCACGTAGGCGTCATATTAGGACGATTTAACGTTACAAGCTTACGATCGTTTTTCTGGCCTGCTAGGTTAGAGTTAGAAAGGACGGTAGGGGGAGTGGGCGGGGAGAGATGCCCTATCTCCTCCCTTCTCCTTCCTTTGGCCATGACTTATCCCCTAAAAGGTTCAGACTCCTTTCTCTTCCTAGCCTCCTGCTGCTGTCAAAATCGAAGATGGCAGCTATAACATTCACCAAGAAAATACGGAGCACTCGTTCGCCAAAATCACGCTTGCTCTGCAACTAGTAGAGTATCGGAGCTCAGAATCGGAAGGTCCAGTTACGATTCCTCGTTGGAATCCAATTTTTCTTTGTTACAAGCTCGAGACAAGACTAAGAACATCTTTCTTGTAAACAAAGCCATTCATTTAACCTTTGAATTCCTCAATCAGTTAATGACGCACCGTAAGATTGTTAGTTACTGATCACATTTGCAATGACACATAACATTAAATAAGTAGAATAAGAAAGATTTTAAGTTTTGAGCTCAGTAAAGAAATAGACCGAACATGTTTTTTCGCTTGTCACGAGCGTGGGACAAAGAAAAAATTTTGAGTCCCCATGAGGAATCGAATCTCAGATCCAAAGGTCTCGGGTTCGATTCCTCATGGGGACTCAGAATTGATTCTTTGTCCCACGCTCGTGACAAGACGATAAAACATCTTCCTCTACCATTAAGTAACTTTCTAAATATCTAATAACCAGTGATCTTTTTAACCAACTGTCTTCTTTCTCATCAGTCCGAGTATTACTGATACAATGAGAGGCTTAGATTTCCTGCAGTGGATGAACATGCTAAAAGAAGTGTTTAACGCCTCTCTATGTGTCCTGCGAAGGATGAAGGTAAGCTGCAAACACATCAATTATCAACCCGTTTTCAAAGGAACTTTGAACTGAACTTTCTACCTAATGTGTCTACGTTGCTCCAAGAAATCTGTGAATGATTGATTGTTCAGTTGATATATAGTGAATTCTTTACCCATTTAACTCCTAGAGGGGATTAAAATGTAGTTTTTACTCAACATTTCTTTACATCAATTTTTCTAGCATTTTAGGCAGAGGGTGCTTTCTTGTTCAGACATTAAATTCTCTTAACTCGATTATAGGGAAATTATAGCATCTTGTAGGGAGAATAAAAGTGAGACATTCAAGGCTGACCTTAATTTGGAGAATTAGCCCTGTGTGGTGGGTGCACTAATTTCCTTTGTGATTCGGGTACCTTTGTAAAATCCATTTGAAAGTCTTGTCATGCCTTCCAACGCTTTTCCGCCTTTTCATGAAATGAAACCTGTAAATGTTGTTTGAATATTCAACCTTTGCGATTCCAATTCTAGGTGTTGCATCAGAGCATTGTACGAGTGTTGATGATAGCTGCTGGAGGTGTCACAACTCACTTCGATCCAGATGATTTGGAAAGTTTTGGTATTCCTGAATCAGATTTTCTTCAACCTGTCTGGTAAGAGTTTGTTAAGGCTTGTGTTAATACAATTGTAGCCGGCAAACGGTCGTCATGTATACTTGCAACATTCAAGCATGTGGATCAAAGTCTTCTATTTTACATTAGCTAACTTTTTCTTACCAGTTTCAGTTCGCATCGCGAGAGACCTGCACGAAAATAGCCTTCAATGACATATTTTCTGAAATTACCCTCGAGAAACGTAGCTCAAACCAAACCAAGATGAGAAAAGTCATTACAAATAATCGTGATATCCCGAAACCTCTTATTTTACCAAGGGCATAGAGGAGAGGGAATAGTATCAGAACTCTCCACGTAGAAAAGTGTGTGAGATTCATTGGCAAGGAAACATTTACATGATACTTTCTTATGTCATGCAGCAGTGGAGTGGACATCTTGATAAGCACAACTGATTGTAAGAAACTGACGCAGGAAAGTAAGGAGCTGCTGTGTGCAGGTTGTGAAATGGCACAGCTGCGTTGTGCGAAACTTATTAATGTGAGAGGAAAGGTAAGAGCAGTATGAGGCTTCGCTGCGCGCGCTGCGAGTTCCGCTTTGAAATGTGTAATTCTTCTTTTAAGCCAAGAGGTTTATCCAGTCGGAGCTTGTCCTTTTTTCCTCAGCATGAAGCCAGTAGGAGTATCGCTACTTCCCCTGGACAATCCATCGCAGGTTCACTTCTGCTTCCTTGAGTCTATTATTCTATTATTGTTGTTTCAGTCAAACCAATCGCCCTCAAAAAACTGTCAAACAATACTCATCGGTCTGATGTCACAGCACTGAACTATAGAGAATTGATAAGAAGTCAGGCGGTATACTAGGTTCATAGTTGGCAAACTTCGCACTAAGGTTATAAGAGTGCTGAGTGTCGGTTTCTTTCTTACACAGAGGAAGGTGATAAATGGAAAGCTTTTTATGTGGGGCTTTGTTAGTACCATTTGACACTTTAGTTACAGTTTTGCCATTGTAACACATGATGGCATGCATTCCATTCCTAATTCAAGGTCACTCCCTCAGACTTCGATCAGTTTTAGGTCAAAACTCGGATAAGTGTTGTGAGCTGTGATGCCGTCCCATTGCCCTGTTCATATTTAGTTACTGGCTGAAACGTAAACCCGCAAAGCCAGGGCCTACACTGTAACCACTTTTTCTAACTTGCCATTCATGTTTAAACGTCGTAATTCGTTAGATGACTACTAGCGTTAGCCCTGCGTCAGAGTGATCCTACGAAGGGCTGACGCTCGGAACGTCAGCTTTAGAAGGAGGCTAATTACGGAGGCTAATTCACATTATCAACTAAATTGATAAAGCCAAATTATCGTGCAATATCCCCTCTCCTCCCCCACCAATGCAGCACCACATTGTCTTTGGCAACTCACCCCCTTCATTCATGTAAAAACATCGTTTTGTTGTTAACAGGCTGGTTACCTGGACAGCTTATCCTCAGCAGAGTTTGTCAGGCTGACACGTATGGTGGAAGACTTTGTTATGGACTGTGAGAAAATATGTGGACGTCAGAGCCATAGTCTTAGGGCCACTCTTTTGTCACAAGCTAAAAAATTTGTGGAAAGGTTCCACGAGGAACGCAAAAATAAGTTAAGGTGAGGCATTTGTTCTCATGCAGCTCAAAGTGCACCGGAAAATTTGTATCTTCAGCTTTTAGATTGGGATGCAGAGTTTGAATCTTGAGAATTATACCAATTTATTAGGAGAAAGGGAGACCATTTTATTTGATAAACCCCATTCGTATTTTGAGTCCTTTGATAGCTTCGGAAGCGCGGGAAAACACGATTGGTGTTTAGTTTGAATCTGATTGGTTGAGAAAATAGTGCTAGTTTTGTTAGACCAATCACAAAGTAAAGGAAAACGAAACCAAAACAATCCCGAGTTTCTTTGAACACAATAAAAATTGCTCTCTTTCTCTCGTTAATTTGATGTTACTCTAAGAACATGAACCAAATTGCATTATGTGTATCGATTTACCTTTTTTTATTTCGGGGATTATTTTTTAGTTTGATATTAGATAATGAGAGATGGAAGCAGGCTGATGTACCCACAGAGCTCCAGTCTTTAGTGGACTCCTTAGTTGATGGTAAGATTAAACTGAAATTCCCACTGTTCAGGTTCATTATATTTCTAAATTTAGTGATTTTCGGTTTTTGATAAATAGTTATTTTTTTAATCTTTTACCAGGTGTTTACCCCCGGGGCAAGGAGCCAAATTTTTCTATAGGTATGTGCAAAGTGAAGTGTTGATGTTTCTATTAGAGGTCACAGTTAACACTCCTTTAGTTGCCAGCGTGGTACAAATAGGAATTATGTGTCGTCTGTCAGGACTCTAGCTTCAGACCTTCCAATTTCTCGGTTCGATGCCCTCCTGACTGAGCTTCAGTGAACCATTAACGAGCGAGGCTATGTAATACTGAGAAGGTTCATAGAATTTTAAATTGAGTGTCAAACGTAATTCAGGACTGCTATGGTTTTGCAAAACTACGCTCTGTTATTGGTCAAGAAAAATTATCGCGCTCATTTTTAAACCATTCAGGTTCAAAACTAAAACCAATTGCAACTTGGTCACGTGCGTTTTCTCGCGCCTCAGGCAGCCTGCTTATTTCCAGTTTGAGTTCTCATTGGCTCCTTGGCTTCTTCTGATTGGCTGTTGTGATTGCTTTGTTTGTTTTTACAGAACTCAATCGAAAAGTGCTTAATGCAAAGATCAATTTTTGGTGTAGCGTATTCCCGTCAAGGGAGATTGGAGTATATCGGGAAAAACCGTCCTTTGGTTAATACAATAGTACAACAGTTATGTCATGTACTCTAAAGTGCTCGTTTTCATGTTCAAAATTGAAATTCTTTCCAGGTCCTACGGCAACTAACGACAGCAAGCCATCTCCAGTTTTATTTGTAAATGGGGAAAAATTTGCCGTTGTTGGGTAAGTTAAGAGATGTATTAATTTTATTGTATAATTGTATATATATATATATATATATATATATATATATATATATATATATATATATATATAGGAAGTCTGCAAGTCGATTTTCGCGTGGAACAGTGCTCAATACGTTGAAGCAGAGCAGAATAAATATTATGAGAGGAAATATTACTTATATATATATAAGTGTACTATAAGGACGTAACGAAGAGGCTAACTCTTGACTGTTCTGGACGAGTTTAATGCACGACGTTTCGGCCGTTCGGCCTTCTTCAGGATAAAAATTAAAAACCAAAAAGCTATTAACAATGATTGCGACTTGTTTACAAAACAGAAATTTTAAGACAGGTTACGTAATACAACAAGGGTCTAAATTACAAACTGAGAAGGGTTAAACGATGATAGGCAAATAAAGAACTATGGGTGGCATGTGAATACAAATAAGGTGAATACAAATAAGTGACAAAAACTAGAGAGAAAAAAGAATCTAACTGTAATCATTTTGATTACATTCATTCAGGGGCCTTCAATGGGGAGCTTGTTACTCCGGAGTAAACACTTCTAATTAGTAATTATTTTGATTACATTCATTCATTCATTCATTCGATCTGGCCTCCGGCTCGTGATTTACAAACTTTCCTCGTGTTCTCCCAATATCCCGGGTGGGTTGTTACACCGGTAAACCGATAGAGAGTGTCGTCTGTTGCTTAATTGAGTTAAGAACTATTTACCTTTATTGTGTGTTGCATTAGTCACCCTAATGATTACAAGTAACTGTGGAATTCATTTGTATTTTTCTCGTAAGCAGTTCAATCATAATCGTCGCTTTACTTGTATAGCCTTTAATTCGGATACAGTCATGGAGATTTCACGGCTGTAATTCAACGGCTGTGTTGGAGCGTAAACAAATCTTCTTTCGCTGACCATTATGCTTCCTTCGTATGTTTCTTTTTACAGGACAGTGCTCTTATTAGTGAATATGTTAGTGGACTACTGCCAGTGTGTGGATGACACCCCGATGCTGGTCACAGACATTATGAATAAGTTGTTTGAAACTTTGAAGGTCAGTGACATATTTGCAGTTCATTACCACCAGCAGTTAGTCGTGTTGTAAAACAGCAGAGGACTGGGAACGCAAATTTACAAACTATTAAGCTGAAAAAATAAACTTGTCAAAGGAAAACAATTGAAACATTAGTATTTTAGTAATGTGAGTGTTAAAACGGAGTGTGTTTTGAATTTCACAATCTGAATTAGGCCTGGATACTTTTTCATGTAGTAGAGTTCAGTTTTTTAAGGTAGTCGAACTCACTGGATTTTAGAAATCCATCCCCAGTTTCCTTTTCATTGGAGCACATCTCGATCGAATGTCGTAGAAAACAATTTCAAAGTAATCAGTTAAGCCCCTCAGAACAGAGGAAATGTCGCAAAGAGTTTATGAAAACTCAAATTTGAAAAAAAAACTGCCCGAGGCGCGGGAAAAGGCGAGTGACGACGTTGCGACTGGTTATACTTTTGAATCTGATCGGTGGAGAGGATGGCGCTTGTTCCCTGGACCAATCACAAGAGCGAAGTAACGTAAAACCAATGCCATCCTGAATCACTTTTGACACTGAATTGAATATTGCTCTATGGTATTATTTTTGTCATGTGAATTGTCATGCAGCGGTGGGTTCCAGTCTCCTTGCAGATTTCAGCAACACACTGTATCCGTGTCGCCCAGGATGCACGCTTTGTCGCCCTTTCATGTATTACACGTTTTCTCTTTATTGTCATTAGCTACAACTTTTCCCATTCTTACCACCGTTGTCTTGCTTAATTTCCATTCTTTCTCGCCAACTTTTGTTACATATTTTCTTGAGCCTGACGGCGCCTTATTGTGTAACGTTTTCATAGATGTTCAACTCTAGAACATGCCAGTTGGTTCTTGGAGCTGGAGCACTGCAGCTTGTTGGACTAAAGACGATCACAGCCAAACATCTAGGTAATCGGAAAGAAGAACTTCTTACTAACCGAGTGTGAGAGTCAATAACGCATATATACCATTTAGGGGATATCATTTGATTTAACGCTAAAATTTCACTGTTTAAATTAAATTAGATAAATAGCTGACAGTTCAGAAAATTGAAATTCTGATCACGGGAGTGAAAGCGGTAAAGTAACCTGACGAAATGTTTGGGGGCCTACCTGGGATGGTGAAGAGTACATGATGCTTCCCAACCTCAGCAGTGATGAGCTTCTTGCCTCGCCAAATTTAACGAGGTTGTTTTAACGTATGGCTCCATTGTTTTCTTGTTTGTTTGAATTTTTGTTTTGTCAGCTCTTGCTGCCCGCTGTTTAGAGGTGGTTACAATTCACATTCCAGTCTTCAAAGCACATTTCGAGGAAAGGCTACCGCCAAAGCAGTACGTTTTACTGTCGCAGTTTGATCAAATTCTGAAGGTGATGGCATGTAGTGTAATTGCATTCTTCATAAGATTGTTAAATACAATTACCCCAATAATAATATACATGAAAAAATTACTCAGTTCTGACTGGTTAAGATAAAGGCAGTATTCAGGTAATTCAGTGCAAGAGAGGGTTAATTCAGCGCAAAGTAGTATAACAAAGTAGACATTCTGATTGGTCAATAAACAAACTCACAGATAGCCAATCAAGTGCGAGCCTTAGTTGTCGCAACATTTGGATACGCTGAAAATTTGCGAGCAAAACAATGGCCGGTATTTCAATTAGGTTTTCTTTCGCCACCGTAACAACAATACGAGAAGGAATGGCAGGAATGAATAACTCAACAACGATCTCTACTTTGCCAGAAACTTTAGCCTCGCAATCCCCTCATTGACTTTTCAAAGCTGGCCACGGTTGTTCGAGGGGTGGACAGTGCTATCCACTGAATAAATCTCTATTAGTAGGTGGATAGCGCAGTAAGTTTTGTTACACTCATCCATTGGATAGCGATTTATCTTTTGAATAGCGTTATGTACTCTTTGAACAACTCAATTATCCATCACTGCAGAGCATGTTGGACTCTGACCGGTGCCAAAGGTCTTCTTTAGAGTTCCTGCTCGGAATCGTTGTGTAGTATTCGTGGGAAAAAAAAAAAGCACTGGTCTCGAGCGTGCCTCACTTACTTAAGAACCCGGACACCTTTCAGAGTCGATGATGTGGGTTGGCAACCGTAAAGAAATTCTAAATCGTACTTTCGAGCGTTACCCCTTCGTCAGAGCGAGTAAGTCTGACGAGGGGGTAACGCTCAGCCTTAGCTTCTCTTTCCGGGGGCCAGTTCAAATCATCAACGTAGTTGTTAAAACCAAATTATTTTGTAATAATCCCCACCGCAACGGTTTCTCTCTTTTTTAAGTGACTTACCTCCTCTATCCTTTCAAAGTCCATTGCTCCCAACGAAGGGACACACAATGTTGCCCACATCGTTGATTGAAGACGTTTAATTTCCGTCTTGTTTCTCAGGATTACAACAACCATCGTCAAGAGTTGTTCAGCAAAATCGTAAACCTGATGGAAGAGCTCTTTAAAAATATTTTCTCCAAGGTAAACTGTAAAGCATCGCTTGTTGACAATACTTTCAGCATACGGTAATTTAATAAGATTGACTTCATATACTTTCAGTATACGGAAATTTAATAAGATTGACTTCGTTCCCTCACAGTGGGAGGTCAAAGCTCCAATGCCGTCTCAAGCCATGCGCGGTGCGGTTAAGCAAATCACAAAACTCCACGAGTCTGTGTCACTTGTTTTACCAGAAGCACAAGTTGAGGTGAGTTTGTAATATCGTATAGAAACAGAACCCCTCCTTGAGCCGCCTGGTGATTTCAGTTGGAACAGTGGTAGACAACCCTCTGAAGGTTCCCATGCCGAGATCGGACCAGTGCTTTCAATAAGAATTGAAGAAGGTGGCTACATTTGTAAAGCACCCGCTAGAGAATAATATAAATTACAATTTCCCACTAATATCCCATTGCTTCCATTCAAAATAAACTGGCTTCAATAGAAGTTTTCGGTGTTACTTCCGCAGATGATCATTAAGTATTGGTCTCCTTTAAAACAATTGTTTAACTGATCGTTTTTTTGCCGGAAATCTATGAAACGTATGCTTGAATATATGATAACACAATATTAATAATTTTTATCAAAAGTCGTTTACAAAGGTAAAAGTCGAATGAAAGAACTCGAGGTGTTTTAGGTCTCACTCCGTGAGTTTGCTTGAAAGTATCCAAGATATACCCGGTTGACCCGGCGATTACCAACAGAATACCTGCCGGGGCTCCGGCGGGTGCTGGGTCTTATTGAAAGCACAGTCGGACTAACACACAGAGTCATAAAATATATGAGGAAATGAGCTGCGCATCTGCTCATCACAAAGTGAATGTAACGAAGTTTCCGATATTGTTGACAGATGTCTCAACAGGTCCACTCCAGCTTATCACAGTCAATCTGCAACCCTTGTGTACAAGGTGTTTGATGCAACCTAGTTAGTTACCTTTGGTTTGAATGTTGTTGTTTTTGTTGTCCAGGCCATATTCAGAGACATCAAAAGAGCTTTCAAGGAAAGTTTGGCTCATAAATTGGACAAGTTGGGAGTCACGAATGATGGTGGTCCACAGCATGGGTAGGTATTCTAACAGTAAGACAAAGAGAAAAGAGTGGGAACCGTGCGCGTTATCACTGATGTTCTTCATAAGGCCTCTTATACAATCAAAAACGATTGACCTTAAAAATACTAGTCGAGAAACTTGCGCATGTCAGATGGACTTGATTGTTATACATATTCGAGCCGCTGAAATTAATGCACGTGAACAGGGCGTGAAGAAAAACCTCAAGAGGATTGTTATGGGAGGTAATGAGTAAGTAACTGTTCTTTTCTGATACCTCTACAGCTTTTTGTGAACGGTAAAAGATTAAATAAAGGGTTTATCCTCTCGTTTTGGTTGCAAATTGTGCAAATGAAAGAACACTTCCATTTTTCCTCATCTTTCTCCTTTAAGGAATAAATTACCTTACAGCGATCTTAACCCTGTAACCGCCAAGATTCACTTGGCAATTCTCCCTAACTGACTGATATGCATTTCCTCATAAGACAAGGGAATTTGGTTTTATATCACCTTCTGGCTGACAGGTTTTTTAGTTCCCATAACCTATTTGCAAGACAACATACAGAGATCGCAAGGAAAATCTACATGTTAGTCACAGTTGGGAATTAAAGGGACGATTTTCCTTTTAATGCAGACTCGTCACGTCGGATTTAGCTTTCTTCAAGGAAAGCCTAAAGAATCTGAATGGAATGGGAGACGTTAACAGAAGCCTGGAAGACTTGTGGAGGACTGTGAACGAACTTAGAGCTAGTAGAGCTTCACCAGCAACTGGACGGAAAATTGTCTCGCAAAGATAGCATATGTGATATGTTTCGAATTTAATTCATCGACCAATACGTGATTGTTCTTCCGTCAGTGCTCAATCATTTCTATTCGCTAAACGTTTTCGAAGCCGTGTTTTGTTTCTTCAGTTTTAAGAGGCAATATATCGACTGTTTAACTATCAGATGTAAATTACAATTCAGAAAGGCCAAACATTTATAGAAGAGTGTTTATAAACGGGATGAAAGTGATGCTGTCATTCGGTGAAGAAATTTCTTGACCGGACAGGCACCACTAAATACGTCTGTATCTTTCAACTTTGTATTTAAGTAATTTTATGATTGAACAATTACAGAGTAATTAAAGATACTAAGTTCTCTACGAAACCTGGCATAGACTCCTGAGAGGAAACAATTTTTACAAAACGTCATACCAGCCATAGGGGAAGTGCGTCAATAATAAGAGAAACAGCTATATTTTAGACGGTCATTCTTGAACATGTTGCAAAAAATAGTCCAACTCCAGATCTTGCATTTCTAGTATTCTGATTAGTTCGCTCAGCTCCGGCTATAAGCTCATATACCGAATCACCTAATATGGAAAATTATTTACTCAGGTGTTACTAAGCTGGGTTTACTTTTGGCTGGAAACAAACGCTTTCCGGTGAATTGCGGATAATTTAGTTTGATAAATCGATTATTCCTTTCGCGCTCATTGAAATCTGCAAAAGGATATAGAAGTAGGAATTTTCGAACACAAAGCTATTCAAATACGGATATCCTGTTGATTTATCATTCAATTTTGTGCATTGTACACTTAGGGAAAAAAAAGGGCTCAAGTGGCCTGTGTGGTGGTTTTTAAGGCAACTTGGTTCTGACAGCCTGAAAGCACGCCTTCTTGTCATTATAACGTTGGCACATGCGCAGACGTTTTCCCGCTTTTAGTAACATCCTTCCGCTGGTCTGGGGCTCCGTCCACTCGTATCCGTATTCGTTTCAAAAAGCAACTTTTTTTCTTCGTTTAAAAAAGAGCTTTCGCAGTACGGCTTGGCCCTTTGAAATCGGTGGACAGCGTTCTTTACTTACCCTGTTAATAGCGAAATATATAATTCTTTTCGAGTTATTGTAAGCTTTTGTTCAGGTTTGGATGAGATCCCATGTTACGCATCGCATAATTTGCGGGAAATGTTCAGAACATCGGCTGAGACCAACAATGAAGGGATGCACTTCTGCCAGAGGTTGAACGGACCAACGGCGTTCTATAGGATACCAAAGAACTGCTATAGATTACATGGGAACTGATTCCCAAATTGGCGACAGGTATTTGTTCCGATTGTTCTAGCGGTAATCCCAATTAATTCTTCTAAGGTAATCTGGTGTTATCAACTGAGTTGGTGACGTAAATTGGCCACCGTTAAGAGTTTCAAAGCTGACGTCTCGAGCGTTAGCCCTTCGTCAGATTAATTCCCACCAGAAATTTGAGCGATATAGCATGCCAAAAAGATTTCTGCCCACAAAACGCGAAAATTCCCCCAATGCGCAAAATTCTCCTGCTGCGAGGTAGGACTACTTTAAGAAGGATAACATGAGTTACGTCACCTTGATATAAGTCTTTTTTATTTTTATTTCCTTTTTTGCGATTAGGAAAGCTACCTTAAAATCGAATAAGACTTTTAAATAAGAGGAAATAATGCATAGAAGAAACAAGGATGGCCAAGGTTGGAGAATATGACAACAGATTGCAAATCACAAACTTTTCCTCGTCGATCTCTTAACTCTTTAACTCCCAACTCAAATTTGTAATTCTCCTTACTGTCAACCATACAATTCTTATAATGTTAGTTCGGAGAATTTAGTATTGGATCAATTGATTATCCCCAAATTGATATTTTTCTTTGTTCTCATCGATTATCTAGTTGATATTGTATTGATATTGTAAAAAGAAATTCTGTCTAGGTCACTTATGGGAGTTAAAGGGTTAAAAGAACACGTTGTGTTCATGGACGCAATCGGGCTGGCTCAATTATAGGGCTCGATACAAAAATCGGTTGTTTTTTAAGATTTTTAGAGTCAAACGGGATTTTTAGAAAAGTTGAGGAGTTTTGGACTTTTAGGGCATTTTAGACGATAATGTAAAACAAATTATCGACAGCATAAAAACATATTTACTTGGTTCTTCTTCCACTGTTTCAAAACAAAAATGTCAACATTTTTTGTCGTCATTGTTTGTTTGAAAGAGACCGAAATATGTAACGCGACGAAGCTGACGAACCACTTCTATTGTCTAGTAAATAAATGAACACTTTAAATCAGTTTGAAGGAGCTTCCACACATCTCGGAATCTCGCAATATATGCAAATTAACTAATTATTTTTGAAAAAAAAAATGGAAATACATCGGGATTTTTAGAGGAAATTTCGAGATTTGAAAAGACAAAATAAGATTTATAGGCATTTCTTTGGGAAATTTCCAGTTAGATTTTTCAGCCATTTTTCGGGATTTTTGTATCTAGGCCTACCCTGTCACAAGTAAAGTATGCACACCATATAAGTGGTCCAACCAACGGCAGCTTATTCTGTCTCCGTCTAAAGTGACTAAGAACATTGTTCCGTCTCCTGGATGGGATGCCAGTCCATCGAAAGTAACCCCAAAACCCTCCTGCGTTTCTTGGTAAACGAGAATGAGATTTCTCCTCCGAACACTACAGCCCGTTTAAAGGAAATTCTTACGTGACGAATAACTGGGCAGAAATTTCCCCTCAAAGCAGATGACAATGATCGACCTACACCTCGAGCCTTAATATAGAGATCACTTGGTGAACAGCTTGTATGAAAGAGCCCTGATACGAATCATAATGTTCATATATCTAGGTTCTAAATTTGTCGTTTTCCTCTATAACGTTATTTTTCATCCTACACTATCTCTTTCTTATATTGTACAGGACGCACACGAGGATTTACCATCCTGTCCTTTAGTGCTTTCAGTTAGCTCCTCGTCCATTTTTGTTTCTGAGTCCTGACCATCTGGCGGACGATTTTGGTCCCTCTTCTCGCTATCGACACTCATAGGCTCATCTTGTGATTCCAGAGTTTCTTGTGGTTCCTTCGCGTCAGTAGAGATATCTGTGTAAGAGGCAATACTAAGTTTGTGACAAGAGATAGCGATATTCAAACCGGTTTTCAATGTGGCTTAGCGTATTCTACAATGGCGTTCAAAAATCCTTCGGACAGTTATAGAAACCTTCCCTGAATAAGGGGGGGGGGGAAATTCTCCCCTCGAAGATATCTTTTTCAATGCAAAGATGTGTTTACTGGCCTTCCCCTTCCACCTCAAACAATGTAGTTAACAACAATAATACCAGTCCAGTGATGGTATAACGCCAGGGTAACGTAAACACGGAGCATTGTTTGGACAGTATTAGAGATTTTACGAATGACGTTACGGTAACAGCAAAAGCGACTTTAAAATTTCTAACTCTTTCTCCACAGAAAAGGTAAGACAAATGTCTTTTTGGCAAAGTGTGATAACAGATAGATAACGTAGAGATATCATCTAAACTAAAACAAACAATGAATGAATCACGGGGATTAGTTTCTAGAAAAACTGTGGTGGTACGTCGGTCGGGGGTAACATAAGATCACCTGGTCTTATCAGCTGGGTTAATAATGTAAATTGTTGACACTGTAGAGGGTGTCTAAGCGAACGTTTCGAACGTTAACCCCTTACCAGTTTGTAACGTCAATTTAGAAACTCTTTACGGCGGCGTAAAGCAAACAAGACTGTCACCACAAACCTTTGGGTTCTCTCTCGGTGTTACGATTTTCTTCAAACGCTCCCTCTTCGACCTTCTCACTTATCGTGCCCACATCTTTTTTATCTTCCTTTTTCTCTCCGTTTTTCTCTTCGTTGCTGTCACTTTGCTGCTCACCACTTGCCAACTCTTCCTCATTTTCATCTTCGTTTCCTACCCCTTTCTCAGCAACATCTTCTACGCCACCGCTCTCTTGATCTCTGCTTTCTTTGTGGTCTTTGCTTTCCTTGTGGTCTTTACTTTCCTTGTGGTCTTTGCTTTCCTTGTCGTCTTTACTTTCCTTGTCGTCTTTGCTTTCCTTTTCGTCTTTGCTTTCCTTGTCGTCTTTGCTTTCCTTTTCGTCTTTGCTTTCCTTGTCGTCTTTGCTTTCATTGTCGTCTGTACCTTCCATCTCTTCAGTATCTTCATCCTCTGGCGAAGATTGCTCACGTTGTTTTCCTATTTCTTTTTCATCACTTTTCCCCTCCTGGCCGTCCCCTATCTGATCATGCTTGACCTCTAAAGGAAAGTATCTTGGCAAAAGGAATTTATAGACGTCCAAGTCCCCAGCCAGAAAAACACAGAAGATAATTCGATCCACCTGCAATTGATGGAATAAAAATGATCTTGATAAGTAAATAAAATAAACCTGTATATCGTTTATTATTTCGAAAATGTATTTTGGGCGACATATAAAACTAAGAAAGTATCTCTAAAAAATTCAACTGTTCATGAAATGGAAAAGAGCATAAGAAAGAGAAAAACAGACAAGGAAGTGGAGTCAGTAATGAAAAAAGTGGGGTTACTTATGTACTCGTGAAGAAGAGGGAGATTTTTTTGGCCTTGTTTTGCGCGTGGGGACCAAGCGGAAAGAACTATGAGTATCCCTAAGGAATCTAACTCCAGATCTTCGGATTCTGTTCTCCAATGTTCTACTACTCAGCATAAAGACTGTGTGGTGAGCTAGGCTATTACGAACTTTCTTATGTAACACGCGTCCTGCACACCGCTAGATCAGCGGCGTCGAAAGTGTCAGTATGCCTGCATCGAGGCCAAATGGCCCATGCAGCTAGGGCTAATCTGGTTTCCATTGCATGAAGCGATTAGGTGTATTACTTCTCTTCCCTAGATGGGATGCCAAACCATCGCAAGGTAACCCCCTCGCAGGACAATGACCCGGCCAGTAAATACAACAAGAAAAATACAACAAGGACGATTCTTTCACGCTCGAGACATAAGGAAAAACATCTTTCTCTATCCCATATTACCAGGTCAGCATTTATTTTTCCATCATTAGCGTCTTCCTCAAGCCACGTGCGGACAGTTTCTAGTGCTACACAGGAAGCGTCGTAGATAGGATACCCTGTAAAAATCGTAAATAAGGAGAACAGTAAACTGGCGGTTAACGTGTAATTTCTTAGGCTACGCGTAGCCGTACCCTCCCCCTCCAAGAAAAAACGTTACTCCTGGGGGGGGGAGAGGGGAGGGTACGCTTACAAACAGACTAGTAAATTCTCCTTGCAATACATGTACCAGCTTGTTAACAGGTTATGAGAACGGACAAGCTTATCAAAAATAATGAGTATTAACTTGATGTAAGACCAAATGCTGCTACCTTCTTAACGAGGAATTATGTGGCAGCCAGTAAAGAGAATTACTAATTACAAAAATACATTTTTCAGAAAAACCATGGTAGTACAAGAACCAAGAATTTTCAATTAATCATTTTGCATGCGATCCGGGCTCTGGAGTTAAACCTGAAAGGATAACTGTGAAACAAATATCCAAAGAACAACAAAGTGGGGACTTAGGCAAGGGAAAACCACATCACAAGTTAGAGTTGTGGGTTAGTAACCCCTCCCCTAGAATACCAGTTCTTTCGTAACACAGAAGCTTTATCGCTACACAAAGATATGAAAGAAGTAATACCAGTTTGTCTTGCAGTTTTTAAAGATGAAAAAAATGTCTTTCTGAAGCAGTTTTGGGTGGAGATCAACGACTTCTTGACGCAAATTTTACTATTGTACAAACATTTTTTCTGTAAAAAGCTTCTGACATTTTCAGGTCCCTAAAGCCTGCATAATCTTGCAGTCCGACCTGCTCTGAGGGTCGGCTGAATCAAACTGCTATGATGTCTTTAAAAAATGTTTGCACTTTATTTTATAGATTGGATACAAGAAACAAAAATCTTTCTCTTAAAGACATATTGTGAATAGACAAACATATATATCCTACAAGTTGAAAGATATCATGACATAAAAACAACCACTTTGGACCAACTCACCATATATACCAGTTGAAATACAGCAAAATGCCTTAAAAACAGCAAAAAAAGAAGATGCATTTAATGTAGAACAGAAAAAAAGGGGGAAAGTAGATAGTTTGTAATTAAATTTTCAACTCTGAGTATGGCATTCCTAGTGTTCTGATTGGTTCACTCAACTCTGTTTATATATATGGAATACATTGTGCCAACCGTTGCAGAGCTGAATCAAAGTGCTCTGTGAGCAAACTCGTGAATTGACACATGATTTTTTTGGATTATGTTTAATGTTATCTGATTTAGGGAATTTTGTGGTTGATTGTCATATCTAGAGTACGAGCAGTAGTTCAGTGTTCGCTAATGTAGCAAAGAAACAAAGTAACGTTGGGATAAGAAGGCATTACAATTGAAATGACCATGCTATTGCATTTGACAAGGTGGATGATGTCATGTGTTTTAAACGTAAATCATTTCTGTTTCTGGTTCAAAAGAAAAGGTTGGAAGTAAATGTGAATGAAAAGTGAAATTTACTGTCTATCATTGGAAATATTAGAAAATCAAGGCAATACTTTCTTAATGAAAACATTAACGATTCCCTCTTTTTAAAATGAGACAAACGGGAACGAGTTTTGAGTGATATAACTAAGCCAAGACTGCCACTGTCATTTTGGATCTCCGCCTGGGTAGATTTTAGTCACGTGCTAGGCAACGTATAATCAATAACAAGATAGAATTTCATTTCAGGCCTATTTATCAACTTTGTAGTGTATAACTTTCGCATTTTAGTACGTATATGTATTTTGAATCTTCAAATTGTCTTGAAACTTAAAAGAAATTTGTTCTTTAAAAATTCACTGAAAATCGGTAGCTTAAATTGTTTGTTTAGGTGTTATTTGATTTTCGTGTTAACTTGTAATTCCGTTAGTCGCCGGCATCTTCTGTTGTTTCTCACAGGAAAAACACATGATACGAAACGTAATGATCGATTTTGTCCTCAATCTCACGCCGTAACAGAAAAAGCTTTTGAACATCTGTAAACTCCGAGCGCTTCGCAGTAAGTGATATTTTCAATGAATCTTCGGATTGTTTTCAAGTTCAAGGATTGTGAATTACAATTTTATGAAAAACGAAGGTTGTTGCGCCGCTTGTTGAAACTAAAACGAAAAAAAATTATTTTAAGATTATCATTGGCTTCTTTGTCACCCCACCACTATTCTTAGCAACAAAGGTCGCCATTTCGTTTGTTTATTGCTCGCCAAAAACTATCAAATGCACTCAAAAGCCTAAAATCGAAAAAATGTTTACAGGAATCGACCAATCGAGCGAGCGAGCGAGCGAGTGCAATTCCCCACATCGTATCTACAACTCGCTCTTGCGCATGCGCGCAATTCACGAGTTAAAAATGGCTCAACATGTCCAAATGTTCAAGATTAATAAAAATTAATTAAACAATTATTCCATTTGTGCTTGTTGGATATGAGATTGGTTACCTAGCAAACTCATTTTAATAAAATAATTACTAAATAATTGATTTACAGTACAGTAGAATATTTCCTTACCACTGATTTGACCTCATGTTTTTTTACAAGTTGTAAGCACTTCCTGTAACAGCTTTTTAGAAGGTTCTCTCGCTGACCAATTGGCCCAACAGTATGAATGACATCTGTAGAAAATAATAAAAACAAAGAGGTAATAAATTATTTGGAGTATGAGAATTCATTTGGTTTTTTTTCAGTATTGGGACAATTGTCTGAAGAAAAAAATTGATTTTGTTACATTAGTTGCCCCATAAGTACATATAATATATATATTTTCTATTGTATACTCAGGAAAAAAGGACACAAAGAGTATTCACTGAAGAGGTCAGGACCAAAATATTTATAATCTGCAATCAATCCCCAAAGGAATGATCAGTCAAAGCTGAGACTTCACTCTGCAGACGGATTCATTGCTGGGTTCCTTGACATGCTGTGGTCAAAGGGATTGTTGAATAAAAACTTCTAAAACAAAACCCTCAAAAGCTTGATAATTATTTTGATTTTGACTTTATTACACCCATTTTGAAATCACTGGTGGTCCCTGTGATCTGATTGGCTCTAATTGGTGCGATTTATTTGCAAATTGCACCATTTTTTGCTTTAAATTGCATCTTTTTCCCAGCCAATAAGGAAACTTCACTAAAAACAAAACAAACAATCAGATTTCAAGGCTTGTTTAAATTAACCGATCAAATTGCAGGAAAATGAAAGACAAAGAATATCATGTGGTAAGTTTTGCAACTTTTGTTTCCAAAACTCTTATTTTTTCCTCCCAAAATATGGATGAATTAAATTTCAAACCAGCTCAGTATTGCATCAATTTGAACTGACCAAGTCCTGTATTTGGGCAGTTTCAAAATGGATGTAATAAAGTAGTAATTGAACCTCCTGTTGTGCAATTTTGGTCTGAAATCATACTTGTAATTACAAATCAAACTTGTGCTGCATGCTCATTCGATTTTGAAAACACGCATATGATTTCGCCCAAATTGCACTCCACTCAGTTCAATTACCATTATCAATTGAATTCATGGCAATAAGGCAGGCATGTAAAGTTTTCTATGTCTTATTGCACACTACTTTTTTGCAGTTATGCAAAGAGTAAATCAGTGTACATGTATTTAATACAGAAGGGTTATTATGAGCAGAATGGTACTCACACTTTGCTGGCAACTTATGCCCTGTTACAGAAAGAAATATTAAACAAATAAATTCCTTTTAGCGGTGACACTACTAAGTGGGCCACTATCCATTCAATTTAATTTTAATTATTGAAACACAACTCAAGACTTTTAAAAATTTCTATGTCAACATTACAATGGAGAAGTTGCAGTCAGCACTCATAATAGGGTGCCTGAACCCAACAATATCCAATTTAAAATATTTATTGGCTTCAAGAATATAACTATATCATTAAAAAGAACTCATGTTATAAACTCCACAGTTATTATCAAGGGGTTTCTTAAAGGACCTTTTTAGCCACTTCTTGGATGTGACTGAGAAAAATTTTTTGCTTATTTCTTGTTATGGTTTTTCTTTATTTGTTGCAAAAATTCGTAATGCCTGGAAATAACATGCACCTGACATGCATGTAATGCCACAGTAGTGAGCAGTACTTGTGTGGATAGTATAAACTATGTAACTAAACAAGCTTTAAGAAACACTCAGTGTACTAACCTGATGAGATTTTTGCATCACCAGTAGGGCAGCCATGGAGACCTGCACATTCATCTCGAAGAGTTGAACCAGCAGCACGATGGATACAGCCATCAACTGAAAAACAAATGAACACACCATATCTTACAGGGTGTAGAATTTCGGGCTAGACTTCAGGCACTTAACTAAAGTCAGAGGCTGGCTGGCCAAATAAGTCTTCTCATGGAAATAATTCTACAAATTCATTTATTAAAACTGTTAAGGCAACTTTTTGACTAATTCCTGTCAGTAGCGACCTAAAACTGTTATGAATAGATGTTGGCGATTTTAAAATATAAACATCTTTGAAGACTGAATTAAAGTTACATGCAGGCTCACTCTCTGCTACTCTTTGTTTCTCCCAAAGACAAGACTCTTCAAGGGAGGAGCGTTAGCTTTCCAAACAGTGTGGAATGTTTTCTTTGACCCTTTGAATCCTAGGAGTGACCAGCATGTGATTTCTCCTTACAGTAACACTGCTGAATTGTTCATTAAGATCATGAGATTAAAAGAATTATGATTGCCAATGTTAAAAGCTTTGATTGTTATGCAATTTTCTTCTTGTCAGTGCCATAGAAAATGTATAAATGTATACATAGATATTAATGTATATTAAATGTATTCATATGATTGTACGAGAAGAGTATCAAGACTAAGGATACTAATGTTAGGTTGTAAAGAGTTAAGCAGTGGTAGGTAGTAAGAGCTTCCTATGTACTAGACAATCTGTTGGCTGCTCCTTATAAATTATGTTTTTTTTTTTCTTTTAAAAGAAAGGTTGTTGCTGTTCATCATCATCATGATGATGGACTGTATCCAATTGTACATCTGTAGTGGATTGTAAAATGTTAATTGTGCAACCCATTTTTTGATAAGAAATCATCTTCATTTAAGTACCTCCACCTCCACCAAGAAGAGAGTTGTTTGCTATTGAAAAAGAAAAAAAAAATGAAATTATGCCCTGCATTACAAGAGAGTAACATTAGCCTAATTACTCAGTATTGCATAATGTGTATCCTATACTGCACATAAAAATAATGCATAAAAACCATATTTACATGATGAAACAGGCACTAAATCATATATGGACCAAGGATATAACAATCAGGAGACCCAGTGGCCTAATGATCAGTGCACTGGACTCTGGGTTGAGAAGTCTGAGTCGGAAACCTGGCTGAGTCATTGTGTAGCATTCTTGGGTGAGACACCTCGTCTCACAGTGCCTCTCTTACCCATTTGTACCCAGAGGTACAAATGGGTGGGGAGGAGAGAGGGGGGAGGGTGTTAAATTTGCAATGGACTAACATCCCATCCAACGGGGAGTAGTAATACTCCTTGTTGCTTCATGGTTCAAGGAAACTAGGATCAGCTCCAGCGAAGTGGGCCAATAGAAACTGAGTACAGACTTTGCCTCATCTAACAATCATTCATGTGACAACAATAATACTAAAAGAAGTAGATTCACTCTTTGGAGTAGGAGAATTTTAAAGTTTACTATATAGAGAATAGTACATGGGCACATGTAGATAAGGAATTTCTCTTTAAGTGTTTATCTTGATAGCTCAGAAGTGAGCACAGTGAACGAGTGAGATGTTGAGTTGAACACAAGAAGTGAAATTTCATATCTACAGGCAACCATGTATTATTTTGTTTACCATATAAACACAATAGCCCTTTACTTGCAAGATAAGTCAACTTAATTAATGAATGAAAATCGACAATCCCTGAATAAAAATCATTAAGTGCATTTGTGCTAAGGCTCAAGATGAAAAAATGTGCTGAAACAATACAAAAACAAACAATGGGTGTAATTTTCAATATAAAAAATTCTCAGTTATTGAATTGGTCCTCACCAACAGAAGAAATCAGCCTGTGGCAAATCTTCCAGTTGTCGATTTTCTTTCTCAGCTGTGAGAAATGCCATTACCAAAGTCACTGAATATGTAACTTTCAGTTTTTATTTCTGTATATCGGTTTTCTTCCCCCTCTAAAAAAGTTTTAATGTCACTATCTGTAAGTGATATGGATTTTTCAGTGTTTTAATAACCATAATCCGAAAAAACTCCAACAAACAACCTTGGCTTGTGGATAGTGAAGGCTTTACTGTACATTCATCAACCTGAATGAGTGGCACAAAAGGTAAGTGACTTTTCAGCAGCTGATTTATGATATCAAGCACAAGTGAAAAAATACAATATTTTTTCATGTGTAATGTTAAGGCTTTTCTCAGAGCTGGAAATCCTTGATTAACACCATAATTTATATGATAAAATAATATAACCTTACCTGCATTTACGATGGCATCAATCTCTAGTTTGGTTATATCACCTTGCCATAGTGAAATTTTTTCATTTAGGGTTTTGTTCACCTCAAACGCTTGTTCCTCAGGCCTATTTTCTGAGAACAAATATGGTATATAATGTAAACTCACCAAAGACATTTTGGGGTTCTTGAAAGAGACATTTTTGGTAATGAAGTAATTACCAGGTGGGAATCCACTTTTATAACTGTTTACCACCATGATGACTTTGACAATTCAGACCTTTGGCCCCTGAGAGTAACTAAAACCTAACCTCTCTTTCCAACACCACCCCTGAATAAAACATTAAGGTCATGAGAATAAAGGAAATGATCACCAACTAAAGAAGCTCTTGATTGTTAAATAAATTCTCCTTGTTAGCACCTAGGGAAATGTATAGAGAACAGTATAGAGAATCTGCATACTGATGTGAAGGAGTAGAGGGTTCATAGATTGTAACCCAATGAATTTAACTACCTTGCTTTCCAGATATGGATTCTGACCAGGATTGGATCTTGTCCAAAGTGACAAAGTCTTTACCACACTTGTAAAGTTTTCGCTTATCATTCAAGGGAAGAGCATCATATTTACTGTAAGGTGCCTTCTCTTCACTTTCTTCAGCCTCTGCATCTAAAGGATATGTATGCACAGGGTAAGTCCCTAACTTTTATCCATTTTCTTAATCTACCTTGTTTGGTGATGATTAAGAGAAGACAAATAGAAAAAGAGATTAAAAGTTTAAAATGGCAGACACAAGTAACTAACCACACATATAACAAAATTCTTCATTAGTACAAATCTAAAAGCATTCTATCTGGAATGCCACATTATCTGATGGGTTAAACTTCTTGCTACCTATTCCATGATTGATTGAGAGTAAAGGAGGTACATGCACCAAACACTGTGTGGTTGTAAACAAAACCAAAAAAAAAACACCATCCTGTCTGATGTTATCAAGTTTTGAGAGACTTGTAAATTATTACAAAAACAATTAGATGATTCACTCTGCATTTTGATTCGGATTTTTGATTACGGCTTTGCACTCAACAATTATTATGCTCATAACAGTCATTATTCAGATTTTTTTCAGTGGCCTTCCAGGCAAAGCAAAGAAAAAAGCAAACCCGTAAAAATATAAAAAAAGTTAACCTTTATTTATCAGTCTAGGTTGATCAGTATAACCCATACCTTGACCTTGATTATTCTGGATATCACAAAACCTCATTCATTAACAATTTATTATCTAGCTACCCAGCCAACTGATTGACCGACATGCGTATGGAGGTAATTTAGCATGACCCTAATGGTGAGAGATGAATACAAACTGTGCATGTCCCCCTAATGTTGGATTTTCCAATCCACTGATACATTACATGCCTTTAATAATGTACATTTTTTCAAATCAGTTCAAGGATGTTTTGTTGATTACCACAAATGCTCCTGTATATTAGGCAGGTATTATTGTATGCTATTATGTGACAAAGTAATGTCTGAGAAAGTGAACAATTCAATATCAAGTGTCACTCAAATTGTCGTATATGGTGTATACAGGAGACTGTGCCTTTTACACACTGCACGGTTTTGTGAGTACGAACCCGGCAATACTGTAAGCCTAAACATTTTAATCTGCTGCATTGGCATCTCACTGAATCGGAATTGTGCCGGTTCTGCTTTTCCTGGTTCTTCAAAGAATGCAACTGCCCCGAAGGTTATGATCGAGTGATTTTAACTGAACATACAGGATGACATTTCATGGACTTCCCGGACCTGGCCAGGGAAGTGGGAATGGGGGTGGAGAGAAACTTCTCGACCTGACTTTTTCCTCATGAGGCATGAGAAAGTACAGTACCCTTGTCAAAATAGTTAAAACTTTCACTAAAGATACCTACTCTTAATTATCATATACATAGATACAGACTTATGCCTGTACACCATAGAGCAAAACTGCATAAAAAACGAAATAATTCATACCCATATTGTGACAAGATATATGCCTAAAAGGTACCCTATACCAGAGTACAGAAAACGCGGTTCCCGAAAACTTGAATACCTGAGTGTCTGATCCGAACCCCTAGCCATGGATGGCCACAAAAAGTATATAAAAACTGATCAATACGCTGTATGAAACTAAAATGACACACCGGAAATGATTGAAATGATACCTGGTGATTCAGGAGACTGTGTCTTTCGTTTAGCACTTGGTTTAAGATACCCGGACATCATATCCCCCATCCTCGACGTCGAACAACTTTAGCACTGACAGATACGTTTGGGTGATCATACAGGAAAAAGTATTTCCTGAAGAATTATATCCGCTGACCAAACTTATATTGAGCCAAATTTAATACACTTTGGCGCGGTTTTTACTCGAAAGTTTTTCCTTAACTTTTGGGAGTCTTTTCGCCATGGGCTGATCTAAAACAAGGAAAAGTTGTAATATGGAACGTTTCAAGTTGTCTACACCGCAGAAAATTCCTACAGGAAGCAATGCTAGTCGAGAAAATCCGTCTGATACGGATGAAGCAGCATCCTGTTCAGATAAGGGCCTTCCTCGCGTCCACAGTCGATTCGAACAACTCTTCCTTTCAAGTCCTCGAGCTAAGGTACTGTAACGAGCGTCTGCCACCGATGAACTGAAGCGCTCAATAACCGTTACATGATTGCATGCTTCTGGCGTCTTTACCTCAAACAGTTTTGACCAGTAACTATGTTTTGACATCAAAACATCATCGATCAGAATGCATGTAGCCCCGCGCCTTTATAACAATTAACAGATGATTTGTCTCGATCTCTCGATCGTCGTTTGATTTCTGAGAAGAGTTTTTAATTTGCAACTACTCCTGTATCTTGAAAACATCATTAGAATTAACTTTTGTGGTAGGGTCGATTAAATGCGTGCACGCATCTAATTAGGCGCTTAATAAGATACATGAAAAAATTACGCGCGTCTGATTGGCTGAAAGCGAGTGCATTTTCCATGTAACGAGAGTGGAAAGTTGTAAGATGAATGCAAAGTACAAATAGCAAGCATGCCACCAAAACTTTTTCCATCTCGATTTTCTCAGATGTGTTTTTCATGTAAATTATTAACAAGTACAACATTATTTCAAGTGCAATTTGGTGTTAATAAGCACTTGTAAATTTTTCAAATTTTTTCATGGGCTTGTGCAATTTTGTCGTCTTTGAAAAAGTTACTTGTGCTTCTTAACACCAGATTGCATTCAAAATCATGTTGTTACCCATACTGATTATAATACTGCACTACACCTCTAGACACGATGTTAAGAATGCTATCATGAGTCTCCTTGAGCTTTAATAAACCTAATATCTAATGCTAATTAAAGATGCTGTTAATTCACAAACAGATGATCAACTACAAATATGTGTAAGGTCAAAAATTATTTGTGATTCAGAGTTTTCTTTGGCTTCAAATTTTCAAACAAAAGGGATAATGTGAATCACACAACCCTGTCAATGCAACTTACATTGAAAAGTGTTCAATTTTCCTGTCTGTCTTGAGAGCTGTCACCATCATTATCATCATCATCATCATCATTGTTTTCATGATCAACTTAGTCATTTTTTCTTAGTTAAATTTAATTGTAGGTGTGAGGGAAACATGTTGGCATAATGGTCAGTGGGTTGGATTGCAGGAGGGGGTGTGTTGGTGGAAGCTTTAGCCGGTCATTCGAGATGTACATTATATGCCTGACTTAGACTGGACACTATAGTTGTCTATCATGGTGTCTCTCTGTGTGGGATCATGGATTAAGGGAAACACTCAAGCTTACTTGATGGTGAGGTAGGGGGGGGGAGGGAGAACAATGAACTACATGTAATACCCCATTCAAGGAGAAGAGTAATAATACTCCTACTTTTTTCATACTAAAGGGTCATGATGAGCTCTTGCATTACTCCAGAACAGAGGTCTTTTTTTTGCATTTTTTCACCAAGATATAATACACTCTCTCTCTCTCTTAATTATATTAAATCTTTGCATTTTTATCACAGGAAATATATGCAGCTTTGAATAATTCAGTACCAAGGCCAACACCACAAAAGTCAGCTTTGTCAGAACTTAGGGCTGTTGAGAATCCAACTCCTCAAAAGTCAAAAACATTCCGAAGTATTCCTGGTTTTGATAAGGTGGTTAATATGGCCAGTTTTTTCCACAATAAGTACTCCCATAGCTCCAGCAGCCATTTGCATTCATCTGATCATTTAGTTACACCTGGAAGATCAAAGTCTTTCCTTGATTTGCTCAGTGATAAGGAGTTTGTTAATAGTCCATTCCAGACATCTGTGAATGACTCAGCAATTAGAGACAAGGTAAACATGGCTATCAGCAGACTAGAAGAGGATTCCAGTGCTGAACATACCTTACAGAATAGGTATTCTCAATTTAATGAACAGCCTAGTGATTCTGGTGTAAGTGGCCAAGCAGTATTTACAGATGTTATGAGCAAGAGGAGTAGAATCACCTCACAGCAAGGAAGGTCATGTCAAAGGGACACAAGAGATGTTGATAATGTGGCAAGAGCTCAAACTGTTGATAGGGGAGAAGAGATTCACATCTCTTTTGAAACTAATAGTGATGATGAAATAGATGTTGTGATGGAAGATTCAGAAGGTGCAGGGGATGAACACAAAAATGCGAGAAAGAAAAGTTCAGAAAAGACATTCAACAATGCTACAGTGTCAAATTCGGGGCTATCAGGTATGCATGTACCAGCAGAAAATGGGGTCAAGGACAAAGGAGATATTTCAAGTGACACTTATTATTCTGTAGTGGATGAGATCATTCCTGGGACACCTGAAGGTAGTACTGTACTCTTTCTTTTGTTCGGTTAATTTTTTGAACCTAAGTGCTGCAGTGCATTTGATCCTGTGATGTGATCACCTGGGCATGGTCTGTCTGGGTAAAGATTGCTTTTGTTGGCAGGGCCTGGCATTTTGATAACCTTATTGGAAGTTGCCACCATCACACTTGGCCCTGATGATGGATTTGACATCTGTAATCATCAAAACATCAGTCACTGTCATGTGTTAGAGTGCTTGTTTAATACTACAAATGTACCTTTACCTTGACAATCACAGTACATGATCAACATTTTTCTTCAATGTTTTAAATGTCTTTGATGAAAAGGAAGATGGTCTCATAGAGGAAGGCCAGAAGTTAATTTATTAAATTATCTTTTAAAATAAATTATTGAAAAAAGTTTTAAAAAAATCATTTCAAACTACATTTAATGAATAGCTAATAATAGCAGGCTTTTCATGCAAGATTGGGCCAAAACTTTTCTTTTTCTGTCTGTTAAATTTTTAAGGAATCTCTGAATTTAAACTAAATTTTGCAGAGATTGTTCGTGGAAGAAGAAAGAAAGGTGCTAAAAGCCAAGAAAAAGCAGAGCGAAGGAGATTATACCAAGAGGGGTCTGATGGTTCCTCATCAGACAAGGTAAAACAATCATGTTCTATAATTATTTTCCTAGTGTTACTGTTCATGCACATACAAGTCATTTATGTCTTCCTTGATTAGTAGAGAAAATATTATGTTTCTGGTAGCAAGTGATATTTGGGGAGTTTTGAAATATCATGAGCTGATGTTTATCCTACAGTGCAAATACGCTGAAGAAACCATATATTTTGTGTATACTACATGTACAAATCAAATTAAATGAGTTTTCTCTGTATATGACATACACTTACTTGACACCATTGTTGTCTTGAGTGAATGAGAAATCTTCCAAAAACATGTAGTGGTGTTCCTGGCAGCCTTGTAATTCAAAATGCTGCATCAAAAGAAACCACATAGTTGCTATCAGAGAATTCCATAACTGGCCCTCTAAGGAGCCCTTTGGACCACAACATTTCTTCACCTTCATTGGTTAGTGCCAGTGATGCATGGGGATGTTTGTTGCAGCCCTCATGATGGAAGGGAGCTTTCCCTTTATGTACTTTGTTGCTGTTAGCAAATTCTCCGTCCTTAGTAACAGAAACACTGTTACTTGCTTGCAAGTGACTCTAGTATTACCTGCAAACTGTCTGGCTCATAGTCCAAATCGTCCTTCTTTCTCACCTTGGTGAAAAACTTCTCCAGCTTCACATCTAGTTGCTTGGATTCTTATCTCACACTATCCTTACTGAATCCTTTTTCTTCAGTTCAGGTTGTCCAAACTTTAAGGGAGACCTTTGTGCTTTTCTTAGTGTTGGCATTTTTTGCTTGCAGTATAATTATTGTTATTCTACCACTATAACCAATCACAAGGTAATGTTTCTTGAGTGTGTATGTCCTTTGCATCCTATTGTGTGGTGGTCTGGTAGATTCAACTTTTACCTTTACAACCTTAATATCAGTATGCATATTCTCCCTGCTGTTCCCCATACATTTCCTAAGGTGCTGACAAGGGGAGTTTGTCTAACAACCAAGAGTTCTTTAATCAGTGATCATTTCCTTTATTCCCATAAACTTAATTTGTGATTCAGGGGTGATGTTGTAAAGAGAAATTAGATGCTGGTCACTCTTAGAGGTCAAAGGGCTGTAAACGTTTTTGGGTAAATGTCAACCTTCAGATTATTGTCTCTGTATGCATGTACATTGTAGACTGCACAGAGGTCAACAAAGATTAACATTCTTAACACATGGTCCATAAAAGCTTTGAAGACTCAGACACACATGGGAATCATTGTGGAAGGACAGAGAAGGTTAGAATGTCTATTCACAAACTTAATTCACCATTAAACATGCAGTTGTACATGTAGCAAAGATTACAGATTGCTGTAAAATTGTGGAATAGCCTGGTTCCTATCCAAACCAAGTAAATTTTCCAAGTGGTATCTCTTACACTTTTCATCTGAGTTGTTTGAATGTACAATCAGTTTGATTTACATGTATTATTCATGGAAGGTAGAGAAAGACAGTGTATTAAGATTTGTGGTTAAGATACCCTGTATTCCAAAATTGTGGCACTCAAGGTGTAGATAAAGGTTCAACTGCATATCTGTATAATCAGTTTTAATCTGACTCATTAATGTACAATGTGGTTATGTGGTTTGAGGGATTTATAAGCTTGAAAGAAAACATGATCTGCAAAACCTATACTTACTTGCGAGCACAGTATCATGCTGATAGGGCAAAAACTAAAATAAGACATAATTTTGTGAAAAGGCACTGCCAAAATGAGATGTCACTGACTTTCTCACTCATTGTAACTGTACAAACCCACGGCAACTGGGAATCAATTTGTTTTAAGTAATAAAAAGCAGAGTTTTGGTAATGGTGACATCATCTGTGTCTGACCTCCAGTAGATCGTACTGGAAAGTACTGATTAAAATGCATGTTTAATTTAGCTTATTATGTGGAACCAGCCACTGTAATAATATTTGTTGTGAAACAAGAGCAACAGTGTTATATTTCATTTACAGTGAGGATCCAGTGGGTGAGTGGTGGCATAGTACAGCGATTGTAGAAAGAGTTAATGCAAGATGTGTACAGACTAAGAGTGGATCTCAATACAAGCTGCTTGGACCCATTAATGAACGAGTCACCCTTCAACAAGGTAATTGTTGTCTTCTTCCTGTTGTTGTTGTTGTTGTTTTTTCTCTCTGTCCTATTGCCAATTTTTCAATCAAAAACAATGTGGGCCATGTCACAGCACTTTTTGTACAGTTGAACTTGTGTTGTCTGACCCTTTGAATTATCCAAATTTTGATTATCCAGCCTCAACTCTCTGGTCCCATATTTGAGATCCATAACAACTGGTCCCCATCAAACAAAGCACATTTAATGAAACAATGTGAGCTTCACAGAATAATAGAATTAGTGATACACACATTGTAGTCTCTTGAAACAAACTGATCTACTGTGTAGGTCATCATTTCGGGTTTTAAAACCTTGTTGGTGAGCTTAATAAATGTTATAACTTTTTGAAAATACTTTTGGCAAATGCTAACAATGATGCACAACGATTTATATGATCTGTATTCAGTTCAATAATATTCATATTTCCAACTATGTGGACTCTCAAATATTCTGACTATTCAGCTTCATGAGTCAGGATGATAGTGCTGCGACTGTATAATTTTATAATTGTAACCTAGATCAAATACAATTTGCACATAAATTAACTTAGTCCTGTTTCTGGGAGAGACTTCAATCAGTGTCTTGTCTTATTCTTAGCAGGTCAGTTCGTCTGTGTACATGTATGTTGTGTTACCAATAGTTTGTTTTTAAATGGATACAATGTACCATATTTTCTAGTAGAATGACTTTTTTATTGTGTCCTAAATTAGGACCTTTTTTTACTGGAAGATACACTTGGCATGTACATGTACTTTATATCCTTTTTGATTTCTTTCCAATTTTGAGATATTTTTTTTAAAGGTCTGGTTTTTTAACTTGTCAAACTTTCAAATGGCCTGAAAGAAAATCTAAGATGAGAATTCAGAGCCAATTTGCACTCATTCTTTGAACGCAAAAATCGACAGCTAAGTTTTTTGGTTCATCTGTTTTTTTTCCCTTCATTTTTTGTTTCTCTTCCTGGACTGAATTAAACACATCTCTGGCTAGTTGTGAAATTATAATTATGTGTTACAGTGTATGTGCGCCTCTACTAGAAAAAAAAAAAGAAGCATGCTAAAAAGTAACAGCTTCAGCTTTGTGATTTGTTAACATGAGACAAGGCTGATTATCATATATTTTTCTTTTTTGGCAGGATTCCCACCTGACTTTGTCAAAGCATTTAAACAAGGCTTTCCTTCCAACTGGATTTCTCTTGTGGCTGACTACTTCAACTCTCAAAGCAGGTTTGTGAGTGATTCAATTTAACCTTCTTCACCCAAACATCAGTATCCATGTATTTTCTATACTCTTCTCTGAACATTTCCTTTGGATTTGTAGGTCGTTATCAATGGCTTCTTTTGTGGCCAATTATTTCCTTTATTTTTGTAACCTTAATGTTTGGTTCAGGGCTGATATTGTGAGGAGAAATTAAATGCTAGTCACTCAGGGTTAAGTCTTTCCAAATACTTCTTTCTGAGACTCAAATCACCCATTTGGTATGTCAGAATTACAACTGGCAAGAAGTTATTATTGAATGTTTGCGTCTATTGTCAGAATATTGAAATCAGAGGGAAAGGAAAGGAAAAGTAGAACTACAGTACCTGGAACTTTAACTTTAGACTTAAAAATAATTATCCGGAATATGCATATAGAGATCAGATTCTGAAAAGTCTCTGATTTTATATGAAAGGTGAAGGACGTTCACTTTGGAAAATTGAAGGACAATTGAATACTACAGGCAAGAATTGTAATGGGTTTGTTGTGAAAGCAAAATGGGTTTAAACAGTGTTTGACCACACTACGGTCTAAAAATATTGTTAAACTGGAATGGAAGATTAAAGAGTGCAGTTAATCCGTTCAAACGACTCGGTTGTTTTCTTATTTTTATTTTCTGAACTTCTTAACTATAGAGTAGTTTGTATATTTGTTATGTGATTTCATTTACCTTATCTAGTCTAAAAAGTGCGGCAAGCGAGAAAAAAATATCAAGGAAAATAACGTTTTCATTGTTACCCATTTAATCAATGCAAGTGAGGAGGAGGAGAAGCAAACTCAAAAGCATCTTGACAACAAGAAGAAGAGAGAAGACTTAAAAGAGGCAAATCATTCTTCTGTAACGACTCCAGCTGAAACCGGAGCTAAAAGGAGGAACACAGCCTCAGGTATTCTGACTAAACGCAAAAAGTGCCGTGATTTTTTAAACTTAGTTGTAGATATACTGTACATTCAAGGTGCATTACGCCATCTGACACTTGAAAGGGCTTAGAGGCCCCTAAAAAGAATTAAACATTTACAATTACATAACGTTATTCCTTTATTTTGTAGCATTGGAGACCCCAGAGAACAAACCACTTCCACAAGAGGTGGAAATGAAGGTACGTAAATGTAGTACTGAATATACTGTACACGTTTACAAATCTGAGATTGCTTCTCTTCTACCAATATAGATTCTGAAGGGCAGTTAATGAAAATCAACGCTATGAGTTTTGATTACTTTACATGGAGAATATCAAGTGGGCGCGCGTAGATATGGGACTTCTCGTCAAGTGTTCAACTCAATATCTCACGAGTGTATGCAGCGAACGAGTGAGTATCGAGTTTAACACTTGACGAGAAGTTCTATATCTAAAAGCTATAAGGAATAATTTTTTCTATGACATAAACACCATAGGCCTTTACTGACAAGAAAAATTTGACCCTATTAATTGACTAATGATGAACGCCATGCCATTCATTTATCAACCTGTCAAAATGGCGCGAAGGGCGAGTAGTGTGTCGGCAGCTGATTGGCGATACCAAACACACGTAAGAACCATCGTTATCTGACACGTATTGCAGTTACGGCTTTTTTCAGGGCTGGAAATCCACGTAAAACACCGCAGTTCAGGCGGTAAATCATATGGTTTGTGGAGAAGTTGTCATATTTGACTGAACTTTGCAATACAGATGGATCTCCAGCACACTCCAGAGCTTACGATCCTCTCTCAGTCATACACGCACTGAGTTCTTACAGATTCCTGATCTGTTCAACCTTGCAACCATGAACGTCCTTACTTACGCACTGGCTCATCCAATCCGCTTCGGAGCCATCTCCCATGCCAGCTCATGCAAGGAATCTCCAGCTGACTCAACTGCTGAGTGCCACTGGGGTTGTCTGAGGGTTTATCCCTTTGCTCAATTGGATTTTTTACCGCAGTCATTTAAAAAATATTTTTAATTTTTCACAGACAACAAGGAGTGGACGTATGGTAAAGCCACCTTTAGCCTGGTGGCGAGGACAACGTATCTTGACTGATGGACATCATAACTTTGAGGGCATTGATCCAGGGTTAAAGGAACGTACTCCCCTTTCTTCCATGTACAAAATCAGCATTAAAATTCCCATCACGGTAATTCTTTTTCTTTTCTTTCAAGCATGAAATGTAATCCAAAGTTAAGGGAGGTAAAGGAGATAAGAAAAATTCGTGTGAGGGATCATTATTTTGGTCGTTTATTTGCTCTATTCATTACACCGGCCAGAGTTAGTATTTGTTTTGAACATTTTTCTGTGATTACTGCAAATGTGACAATTTTGCTCGTTGTTTTTACTACCTACTATAGGTTTTTGGGCGCTAGGGGAAGATCTCCAAGGGTTGATAGAAACAGAGTACAATCTGTTTTAATTTTCATTGCTTTGTAGAAGAAGGAGAAAGGGCAGGCTGTTTCTGGCAGTGAAAACAGTGATACATTGCCAAGAAGAAGAAGGAAAGGAAAAACAACACAGAATAAAAACAAGTCTAGCAGCAGCACTGAGAGCGATAGTAATGAGAATTTAAAAAGGCCTTTGTGCTTCTCGCCAAAGAAAACAGCTCACAAAAATCAAACTCTGGAGAATACAAGCCCCCAAAAGTTACCTCAACGGAAGTCGTTGAACGCAAGTAAGAATGGAAGTCAAGAACGTAGTGGCGCAAATAGTGCTCTTGATGGTTCAGAACGTAAGGATAGAACGAGCAAACCGTCAGTTCGAGAGCATGAAATGCTCGGTGGAGATGTACTTCAAGCCCCAGTCATGACACCAAAGAAAAACACGACTAAAAATGCGCTTGCGAGTGTGGATCGAAACAATCAAAAGGGCGAGAAGAAGAGCAATAATGAAAAGTTACCAACAGGCAGCGAGAGTCAGAAGACTCTTTCACCATTTAAGCGTGTTTTAAGATCTCAGAGAAGTACAGCCAGTGACTTGACGACAAATGCAAACTCTTACAAGTTGTCTGATGCTGATTCCGAGGATTCCCAGATAGACACTTACCCGAAGAGGAACCCGAAGAAAAACACTTCAAATATTACGAACTTGAAGACTTCAGAGAGTGAAGTAATAGTGTCCTCTTCCGAGGAGAGATCAGATAATGCTACAAAGAAAGGAAGAATAGTCAATGCGAATTCTAACAATAAAAACGGCGGGAAACGACTGATGCATAAAAGATTTGAAAAGTTTGTTAGAGAGACAAGCACCCAATCGTCAGAGGAAGAAAATGACCGAGCTTTCCAAAAGCAACCAGAGAAAGAGGAGGTTCGTCTGAGAAGTTCAATATCCCGTAAAGCAAAGACACAAACTCTCTCTACATTGGAGAAAGACAAAAAAGTTGAAACTGGCTTCAAAAGAAAAGGAAAAACTCAATCTGGTAGTGAAAAGGTTTCAGGCAAGAAAAAGGTATTGAAAGTTTCCCGTCAGACGGCAAACAAAGACAGCAGAAGGAGAAGTAATGAACTGCCTGATGAAACACCATTGACCGATGAAGAGATCCAAACGATGAAAGGCAAATTGGAGAACGACAAAAGGGTGGAAACTGGCTCCAAAAGAAAAGGAAAAACTCAATCTGATATCGAACAGGTTTTTGGCAAGAAGCAAGCATTGGTAATTTCCAGACAGGTAGCAAACAAAAACCTCAAAAGGAGAAGCATTGAACTGTCCGATGAAACTCCTTCAACTGATGTAGAACTCAAAAAGCTGATTGGTACATCGAACAAAGACAATAGTGTTGAAACTGGCTCCAAAAGAAAAGAAAAACCCCAATCTGAGAGTGAAACGGTTTCATTCAAGGAGCAAACATTGAAAGTTTCCAGACAGACAGCAAACAAAGACAGCAGAAGGGGAAATGATGAACTGTTTGATGAAGCTTCTTGGACCGATGAAGAGATCAAAAAGCTTAATGAGTATGTGACAGAAAAACTAAAAGTTTAAATATAAATGTAACCTTTAGCTTATTTAATATTTTTAGGATCCAAAGTTTGTTTAACGTAAGCTAAAGATGGTACAACTCTTTAGCATTCACCCACCAAAAGTTAGTGGTAATCCTTTTGGGGGAAGATACATAACTGTCTCATTGCTTGAACACCATTACCAAATCGTCAAGGGCACTTTCTTACTGAGTGTCGTATAACCAAAACCATGCTTGTCACAATAGCCAATCAGAACCAAGGAAAATAGTCAAAGGAGCCAATGAGAATTCAAAATAAAAATAAGCAAACTAGCTGATGCGCGGGAATTCGCAAGTGATTAAGTCGTGATTGGTTCAGTGTTAAATCTAGTTATAATGCAAAATAAATGTAATCGCGGATTATTTTCGATACTCGACTGAAAATTTCTTCCAAAGCTTGGTTAGACCTCTTTTTTTTCTATTTTCGTAATGGTTCCTCTAATGTTTTACTCAGAGCGCTGCACTCCATACCTGGTAATACACCTATGTTTTGGCAAAAGATCTCCAGGAAAGTAGGAACACGGACTGCACAGGAGTGTCAGTCCCATCACCAGGGGCAGGTTCTCGTCTCCAAAAAGAATAATCCAGCAGCTAAAAAAGGCTCAGCAAAGACGAAGGATCCAGGGCAGAAAGGTAAGAGTAGAATATTAGGATTGTTACAATAGCACCAATGGGATGCCATATTTAATGTTATAATGTCCAAAGGTAACTAGAATCTCTATACTCAATTTCCGAAATATTTAAGAATCGATTCTCTGGTCGAGTTTCGCGACATTCGAGGCCGTATTTGAAATTATCGAGGGCTTTAGATAGTCATTCAAAATTTCAGGAATAATCTTAACTCGATTCCATGAAATCGAAGATCGTAGCTTGAAACTCAGCCTCGAAATTTTATTCTGGATTCTCAAATACCAAAAATTTCTCTTATGTTGGGAGCAAGGCGAATTAATGGCGATGTCATCATTAATCTTCATCCTTAATCATCATCAGTTAAGATAGCGGGAAAGCGCCCTATGCGGCAAAATTTTACCTTGGTGTTTCTTGGGCAGATGAATCCATTTTTTATTTTTTTGTGTGTGTCTTGAGAATATTAGACATGAACTGCTGAAAGTACTATCTCGCCAAAAAGTGTATTTAATTTTTCTTCTCCTTATTTCTTTAATTGTTTTGCTGTAGGGTTAGCCGCCTCCCACCAGAATGTGAAGACAGTCACCGGTGGGGTGGGCACCATCAAGCGAAAGCGAGAGCTTCGAGAGTTACTTGAGCAACAGGATGTAGACTACGAGGATGATATCTTTGACTCAACTCCATTTAAAAGAAAGAAAGATCTGAAGGTACGCCTTACGTACGCCGTGGACTACTTAACCATTATTTGCATCCACAGTTCAGTAAGATTTCTTTCACCACAATCTTTATTAACTGTATTGTGTATCATGTCTCTCGTCAGCTCCCGTTCAATCTGAGCTCTAATGGCAGCGATGAAGAAAACAATGATGGTGATGATGCGAGTGACACAGAGCATAGTACCTCATATGTGACACCCAGTAGTCGCACACCCAGTAGCCGGTTCCGCCCTTTGGGTCCTTTGTCGATATCGTCCACTCCTGGAGCAGAGTATGTCAGTCCCAGTCTCTTGCAGCAAGTCAACAGGTCAAAATTATGACACTTCTTTTGGTGCATCTTGTAGTTGACTACAATACCCCAAACCAAATCCAATGGAATCATAACAGTAAATCAGAGAAATGGTTAAGATCACGAAGAGCCAATGAGAGCTCGAAGTTCATCGATTAAAGCTGCCTTAATCAAATAGTGGCAAAACTTCTGTATTTGATTGGGCAGTTGGGAACTTGCAAGCAAAACATTTTCTTTAGACATTAAAATCTAATTGACAAATTAAAATTCTTACGCTTTAAACAGACGGCTTTTGCGAGGTTCTTTCCTAACTTTTTACCTTGTCTTGTTCCTTACGTTGATCATGACTGTAGAAAGGCAGGGAATTGTTAATCTTGCAACTCCTAGAGGTGATAAACGAGTAGCTTCCCTTCGCAGTGTCAATAAGTTGTCTAGCAAAGATATGATGAGAAGAGATACACTCATCAACTGGAGGTTGTTATCTAGATATGATATCATATCCTCCTAGATGTTAGTAGAAGACAGTAGAATTTAGCAACCTTTTATCTCACTCGCGACGGTGTTGTTAAATGTATATGTGCTTCGATTTGTTGTAGGAAAGACATGGATCACTACATTTACAGAATGCAGCAAGGAAAGCGAGGGACACAAGCATCTGGAAAACAGAAGTCAAAGGTGCAATTTACAGCTCCAAATCGAAAATTTATGTAACTTTATCCCTCCCCGATCACGCTAGATTCCATCGGGATCTAGCTTGGATACCTTTCAGTTCAAGCCGGTTTACGTGTACGGTTACAATTACAAAAAGAAAAAACAAACAAACAAAAAAACAAAAAATAAATAAAACAGAACAGAATATTTGTTTGTAGAGGTGACCAAGATTCCTCTTTTTTTTTCTTTACAGCTGATAAGGACATCTACCCCCAATAAACAATTAAAAAGAAGCAATTTCCCTGTAATAGCCGGGTTAGACTTGTTTGAAGCACATCCTGCATCAGATCAAGAATCCGACGACGGATCCCAAGACGAGTACTTCTCCGACGAATAACAGATGAACGCACAGTGATAGTTACATACAGACGACTGTCGTCTTGAGTCGAGGAAGTTACAGTGCTTGCTCATGGGTGCAATAGACAACTATCTAAAAAAACGTGATATCGAAAGCAGTTTTATGCTGTAGTTATAAAGAAGAACAAGAGAGCCATCTTAGTTAAAGTAATTGAGCTGAAATGACGTTTTAACTCCTAAAACCCGATTCTTATCTACCCCTCGGCATATTTAGTGCTACAGTAGTTTGTTGTTGTTGTACCATGAAAACTCCTTCAAGCTTTTACATTAGTCTCTTCTAATCTCGTCGTTTTTCTAATCATGTTTTTTACATTGTAAGAAAAAGTTACATTTTACATGAGTCATGTCTTGGAGTTACGGATCGTGTTACTCAAAACCAAGTTATGAAGGGAAACAATTCATCGCTGAGAAGATTTAGAATTATTACTGCCTAAATCATGTCGCTAAAGATGCAGTTTCTAGTGACGCTGCGGATTATTCTTAAAAAGTTTTAAACTAACTAAGTTGGAGTACATTCTATTTAAAATCCCAGACGCTTAAGTTGGGACACTTGCAGGGCCAATCCCTTGTTTGCCGCCGAAATACTGAGTACAAAAAGGAGGGGATCTGATCATGTCTGACAGTATAGTTCATTTATTCCAAGAGCAACGGTTGAATAAACTCATTTAACTACTACCATGATGTCAGTGTTGGTGTCAAGAAAAAGTTTGATGCAGACATCCCTCTAACCGTAAGCCTTTATCAGGACTTATCGTAATCGTGCAGGATGTATATTGAAATACTTAATCGGTCAGAGGCAGGTGTGTTGCTCTTGATTCAGTTATTCAAATCCAAGTGAACTTATGAGAGATTTGGCGCGAATCTATGTCAGGTGAATGTGTTCAACAACTGTTTAAATTGCGCGGGGCAACGTTCTGGAAATTGGGTTTTTATGAACATTTACAGAAGTGATAATCAAAGATGTTGATAGTCATTAACCCCTAGTTAACTTGTTGCTTTTACTGTGTAGTGGAATTCACCTTTCTAAACATTGACAACGGTGAGACTTGTGCGCCTGTCACATGTCAGAGAAATTTTTGGGGGTTTTTTGTGAGGCCTTCAAAAACTTATCTTATTTTTTTCAAATGGATGACGTGAAGTCCATACCAATTTTCTTCGTTGGACATAAGACGTTAAAGGGTAGCACATTTCGAAGACAATGCAAACGTTTTAATACTTTCAAAGGAGCGATACACTGTAACAGAGGGAAAATACAGCTTCCCTGCCATATCAGGTATTTAAGAAAAATATTTATATAGCGCTAAAAACTATGTACGTATTCAAAAGCACTTGACATTACATTATGGATTATAAACTAGTACTGAACGCTTTCCTAAACAGAAATGTAGAAAGTTGTTTCTTAAAAGTAGCCAGGGTGCTACAGGACCTGATTGGTAACGGCTACGAGTCAAATGTGGCAGGCAAAAGTAGCATCAGCAAAGGCACGATCCCTTGGTGTAAAGCGGTGGACCCGTGGAGCGAAAAGGAGCGATTGAGTTGACAGGAAAAGGGCATAGTTTAGATCACTAATAAAATTGTTTTGTTTGCTTGTGGAATTCTTAGCGAACAGGAATCAGTATACAGTGAATTAACTTACGTAAGCAAGAACTTTGGGTCTCGTATTCCCGTAATTAAGTTCTCACCAATTTACAGCGACAAGAAACCTGTAGCCAGTCAATTAAGTCAGAAGACAAACAGCTTTAACACAGTTGAAGAGGAGGCTTCATCTTGTTTGTTCAGCTGATCTCAAATGGATAAATGCGAAATAGTCACAGAGCAGACCTCCCGTTTCCCTCTGTGAAGAAGAATATTAAAATGTAGTCGATTAACGACAGTATCTTGATGAAAACTTTCTACATGTCACTACTTCAGAGGTTAACGAAAAAAGTTTGCTTCCGAGCTAATATTGATCTATAGTGAATACATGGGCGCGCCTAGATATGGAATATCTCTCCGAGTTGAACACGAGAAGAGAATCGCAAGGTGCGTTGGCGCTAAGGCTCAAGGTGAAAAACTGCGTTGAAACAGTACAAAACAAACAATGGGCGTAATTTTCAAAATACAAAATTCTCAATTATTGACTTAGTCCTTACCGACAGAAGAAATCTCTCAGGTACGCGGCCAAAATCGGCCTGTGGCAAATCTACCAGTAGTCCATTTTCGTTCTCAGCTTTGAGAAATGTCATTACCAAAGCCAACGAATTCGTAACTATCGGTTTTACTTTCCGTATTTTGGTTTTCGTCCCCTTCTAGGAAAGTTTAAACGTCACTCTCTGCGAGCGATACGGATTTCTCAGTGTTTTAGCAGCTATATTCCAAAAGACAAATTCCGAGAAATGACCTTGAATTGAGAATTGAGAATTCTACCGTCCATTCGTCAACCTGACCGAGTGGCGGGAAAGGCGAGTGACGTGTCCGCAGCTGATTTGCGATATCAAACAGACGAGGAAAAATACGATATTCTTTAAAGTTTAAAAAAAAATTGTTCAATAACTTTTTTTTCTGAGGAATCACCTTAAGGGTCAATCGTTGGCTCTTCAACAAGTTTAATCATAAAAATTACAATTTCCTCGATTGGGATTGGTTACACTAATAGCAACGAACCAACGTGCTACAAATAGCGACGCGTAAACAATCGATCTCATCGCCTGAGGAAGACTAGCAGTACTGCAGTCGAAACGTCGCAATCAACATCCGAAGTGACTCCGTCGTGAGATAAACGCATAAAGTTCGTCTCCTATCTTCCACCACGATGAACAATAACCACATATTTTATTACACATTAAAAGTTGTAGTTTAAATCAACCAATCACATTCAAAGTTGTAGTTTAAATCAACCAATCACAACCATTTAACAAATTTACGCCCCCTTTCTCAGTCTTTTGATGCAAATTTTCCCATTCTTTCATAACTTGACTTGTCTTCTTTTCTCGGAAATGTTAATTTTTATGATTAATTGGTGATAAGACCGGTCTGTAATCATACGCCTGATAAACAAATCGGACTCCCGCTGCGCAGACGTCCGAAATTGTTATCACTTGTATGACCGAATTGGACTCCACTCAGTCCTGTTACCATAAAAATTTCAAACTTGTTATCGCTCAACAACAAAAATTTTGGCTTACTACTAAAACGGAACGAAAAATCGGGTAGACAGTTAGGGTATCGTGACAGGTGTTTCTATTTTCAGAGCTGGACTTCCTTGTTAAACACCACAGTTTATATCGTAAGAAGGTTTTTCCCTATTTGACTTTCGTTTCAAAGTTACGGTCTTTACAGTAGATGGAAACGTCCGACAGCATGTGTGAGGGTACAGCTAAAAACTAGTAATAAAAAACTAATTCTTTCCGAACTAGTCACCATCTGTGAAAGATAAAACTAACCTCAAGAAAGAAAATGATGACCAGCGCCTGGAGATCTGGATCTTGGAATCATCAAAGATTTGAATTGGACAGGGGAAGGCGAAACGGTGGCTAGCGAGGTAAAGAAGAAAAAAGCTCAGACGAGGGCTTCATCGGAAAACAGGAAATGCAGTGAACAGACTCGAAGAGTTGTATTTAAGGAAGAGATTTAGTTTTTAGCAGCAAGTTTTTTTCAGGAGTAATAATAAGAGGTAGTCAGATATAAATCTAGCCTGGACTTTCATCTTGGACTCATCAGTTGACCTCTCGTTGAGAATCATGTAATACTGAGGACAACGAAGAATACAACTTGGGTAAGGTAATCCATTTTATTGAATTTTGTTGTAATGTAAATACATTTACTCTTCAAAGCATATCAATCCTTCTCATTTCAATATTTTGCACAGAATTTTGCGATAAACCTGACCATTCGAATACAGCGGAGCTACATGTTTATTATCTTAACTTTTAAAGTGATATTAGACAGAAACAGCAGATTTTAGCTTTTAATTAGGATTTCGGCGACTATGCAAGCCTTGGACATCCCCTTTTACCAAAGTAACATTTTATTATTGGTTTCACTCACTGTCGTTCTTCTTCATTGTATCAAGATGTATCCCATGGCTTTGATTTTACTGTTTCCTTGATATGGACTACAGCTGGCCTCGTTACCAAACGTGTTGCACTCGGCAATAGTCTCTCCTGTGCCAAACTCCTATTATAGCCATCGCCAGGAATCAAGGACATTTCAAGCCCGCTAACAATTATCAGCGGTATATCGTATTACACTCCGGAACAATAGAATATCAAGAATATCAAGAGAATTCAATATGCCGGCGATCACGGCTCGATCTGCAAAGAAGAGTGTTACGTACCATGACTTATACAATTTGAGCATCGCAGATCTTCTATTTGATGAAAAGAAAAAGAAAAGAAGACCTGCAAGTAAATCTTTGGGATTTTTCGAGGCAGAGCGATGACATGATGTCAGAATTTTGATTTGCTTTAATTTAATTTTCGCGCTAAGACTACTGAATTTGCATTCAATGTCTGGCATATTTTTATTCCGAAAAGGACCGAGAACTGATTTATTTCCCTGCAAGAACATAAACAAATATGGCCGACGATTCGAAGATCAGCGTTGCTCGTGTTTAACCATTTCAGTCATAGTTTTCAAGATGGCGTCTCGTCACTTACTCAACACGGAAAATAAGGGATATTCTGGCGCGTTGGGAACTTTTTTGATGGGAGGAAATGGCAATTTTACAGGATATTTGGACGCTTCGAACTCTGTAGCAGTCAATTCGATCGAGAGCAGTTGACTTTATTGATGCACTTTCCTGTAATAGGCGAGTGTTTGGGATGGAGAACGACGGATTTTGAAGAAGTGTATGGCGACCTAGGTCAATAATCAATGACAAAAGAACTGGCTCGGGATGTGAGTGGTTTTTATTTATCGAGTCCCTGTGAGGTTTGATGAATAGCAGAATCAGTACTGAATATGTCTCGATCGAGAGCAGAGGGGACCATGAGCTCCTAATTGTTATATTTTAGAAATTTTACAAATTTCCATACAGTTTCTTATATTATTTGGACGCCATTATGGACGAAATGCGCAAGCGCGGCCGCCATCTTGTCCAATATTTCTGCCAATGCTCGCGATGTAAAGAAACTTAGGTTACTGCTGAAGAACGTTGCTGCAAAACTGCTGAGAATTCCAGATACGATCGTATCACTCCCCTTCAGTGCCAAATCGACTAGCTGCCTGTCAAACAGCTTTCATACCTCGGACAATCTGTTTTGGAATATAAGTGAATAAACAACCTTGCATACATATATATATATTATAAATATCTGCGAGAATTTCTCAAAAGATCTATCATCCATCGCCTTGTTACTCGCTGAAGCTTGAAACCTTACAAATATCACTGTTTAACATGGCTGCTGGTTAACGAACGTTTATTTACGGACTGGTAACATCTGGATCAGCCATAAGAACAATTTAAAAGCTTGTTACTCGGTCAAAGGTTTTGAACATCAATGAGACAGTCTTTTTAATCTACAATTCTATTGTATTATGTCCTCTTTTAGTTGCATGTAAATAGCGGCTGAAGAGCCCCGTGGGAAGATACTACTATATAAATTATCTATACATAGGAGCTGCTTCCTTTTGAGAGTATCGGTGTTACGTGTTACTGCACTAGGATGTACCCCATGCCCGGAGTGCGCCTGTCTCCATTATCTCCTTTTACATATGCCACGTTACCACACGCTACGGCGTCTTCAAAATATCCCCCTGTACCGAACCCTATCCTTGAGTCACAGGTCTTACAATCATTCTCCTGGTTAGCAACGATGCCAATTCTTGCTTCAGAATGGTAAACATCAATACGGTTAACATCAACAGTATTGAATCCTTCCCTGTTACAATTTAACTGTAAGGAGGCAATTGAACCAATCAGGTTTTTCCACGTTTCTCGACCAAGTGAGATGGCGCGGTATTGACCGTCAGCGATCAGTGAGTACAGAGAGTCGGCCTGCTTGTTAATGACAGTGAACCTGAGCTGTTGTCCGATCTTCATACCGAGGCAGATCTTGGAGAAGGATGTGTTCCAGTAAGTCGATAACTTTGTCTCCCGTGAATCAAACCCAGACTCCCCTCCGGGGAGGTTGTATTCAATTTTATTGCTCCAGTACGTGCTGTTGTAATGAAAGGTGCCCTTTTAAATCAAAATAATTTCATAGCTGTAAATGCAGTTCAATTTCATGTAACGATCTTTCACCCAAGCTTAGCCCGTTTTGGGCTCTAAATCAAATCAATGGTATTAAAACAGACAGTGACAACTGGATGACAATCATTTGTTTCTATAAGCTAAACGCGAGCAATTTCAACTCACGATCGTGAGCTTATCCAAAGCCACCGGCATGGGTGACCATATCGTCAAGAAATATTCCGGCATTTCTAAATTTGCATCTATCCAATTTCCTTGCCCGATTCAGGTAAACATTTCTTGATTGCTGGAAACTATTTAGATGCGTACCTCATTAGTATGGTGGCGCATTTTTCCACATGAACAGAATTCCCTGCTGGTTATGAGGCCTGTCTATCAGCTAAATCAACAAGAATCTTACCTTAGTGCCGTCAATCTTCATGACCGGTGTCCATCCTCCATTTCCACATCCAAAATCTCCCATGTGGCAGAGAACGGAGATTGCTTTGGAGTCCAGGCGGAGGGTTACCAGTTCACTGACATTAGAGCTATTTACAAGGGATCAAAAGGAGGAAGCTGATTGCATATAGGTTTTTATGATTATTCTAATTCCAAGAATCAGAAATGTATTGGTACGTCTGCTTTATAATCTAAAATATTTTTGCATAAGTACAAGTGTATATGCCTTCTCCCTTTCTGCCACAATAACATTGAAAGTATGTCTCTCCCTTAGGACAATCCTGAAGGGAACTGGCGAGGGATTGGAGGGAAGGAGCATGGATATAACTTCATTTCTCACCGTTGATATTTGCTTAAGTGGATCACACTACGTTGATTCTCTTAGTAAGGCTTGTAACTTACCTATTTAAGTCATAGAACTCCTTGCAGGACGTGATAGCTAGAAGATAGAAGGTAAGTGTTTCGGATTTATTGGCAGGAAATTTACCAGGTTTTTAAGCTAAAATGAAATAGTGACAATGTTTTGAAGGCCCGACCAAGAAAAAAAAAAAAAAAAGAAAGTTACCTTATTCTGTCGAATCTTCTAACTTTAATCATTACGTTTTTACGATGATTCCTCATCACTATCAAGTCTGGACTTAGCACAAATCAGAGACATCAGAACTAAGGAGCAAGCAGGGCACAGCAAAAATGAAAGAATCACGTGAGGATGAAAGAAATGTCTTTCCAGAACAACTTTTAGGAAAAAGGTTTTTGACTGAATAACTCGAATATAACCACATATTACCTTTCTCGCAAAATTCTCCCACGAAACCTTGTTCACAGAGACATTGGCAAGTAGTGTATTTATAATTCGGGATGCAGGTTCCTCCGTTTTGACATGGTGAAGAAGAACAAGGAGACTAAAATATGAAAAACAATAAAAATACTGTTAAATGTTTGAACAGCAATTTTGATAAATGAAGCCGATATCTCTATTTCTGAATGATAAACTGGCGATCAGCACTGCAAGAACTTAGAGGGTAAAAACTTGTTTCAATCGCTCCTAAGAGTACGTTTGTCATTAGATACATCTAGAATTCTTGGGAGTGTTGAAACTAAGCGGAGGACTATGTGATCCGCGTGTCTCGCGCTTTGGGCAGTTTCTTGTCTTTAGTTTGAGTTCTGATTAGCTCTTTAAGGTCAAGTCTTTTCCTTCGTTCTAATTAGCCGTTGTGTTTTTGATGATTTTGGTTTTGCGTCAACCAAAGAAAAATAGCGCCAATCTGTAAAAGCTCAAATTTTAATAAAACTCACTGTGTAGAAGTCCTTACCAGAATAGACAAATGATGTGAACTTGTGTTTTCTTTGTAGTTCTCTGCGTCTAGGTACTTATCAGAAGACAACAATTCACACCAAAACCTTCCATCTGCTTCTTTGGAGGCAGCCATGTTTATTGAAAGGCACAATGTATTTCTTACACATTGAAATAGGCAATCCAACTGGTTGTACAAAGTAAACATTCCAACTCGAGCTACGTTCAGAAAATGGAGTTCATCTTTTGAAAACAGACGCTGTTTAAATGTCTTGTCAGAAGGGAACCAATCTTCTTCCAATGCGTTTATTTCTAGAATGAGAGCAATGAATTAGATATTTAGATGATTAATAATAACTTACTCTTTGCTGGTCCAATTTCTCTGGATTTACTCGTCTTGCCATCTACTCAAGCCACTGATGTAAGCCTTTTAGTAGTTACACTGGATGGGATAAAGTAATGTAAACAATGTTTTCTAACAAGTCGAGCAATATATAATTGATAGCGTTTTGCATACGTTAATTATCTCTTGAGCGAATCCTGATGACATAGACCTGTTTTAATTCCGATACACAACTATCATTTATGATCGAATTCTTTTTAAGCTTTACTTTAGTAGCTACCATAAAGGCGAAGAAGTTCTTCAACTGCTTTCTTAAGTACATAAATGGTTAAATGTACGCGTATTTAAGACCCATGTTAGGCTCTGGCTAATTGCCCGGCAGGTTTAGTTGTTACGCGGCAATTGGAAATCTTACATTAATATCACCGACTTTCGGAACTGAAAATGTCTTTCAAACTTCTTGAAAGTGCCAGATTTTTATCTAAATTACCCAGCAATTTTGAAAATTGATTTTCTTTCTTTCTTCTTATTGTCATTTTCCGTTTTGTGTCCATACGAAGAACAGGTGTAAAAAACCAATCGCCACCAGGTGAAGGATTTCATTTGCGAATTAATCGAGCAATGCACCTTAGTACACTCAAAGCAAATTTTCCCAACGAAAAACTTTTTACGAGCCACCAGAGATATTTCCATTTGATCCATAAAAATATCTGGTTTGGAAGGGATTATGTTTATTTATCGAATTTAAATAATTACCCGACAACGTCTGGCGAGTTCAAAGTGCACAAATACTTTCTCTGTTGCTCAACACTAAATGGTTCCGATGGTAAAGGCTTAATGCCTTTTTAAAGTAAAAATGTTTAAGTAAAATTTAGTCCATAGTAAATCTTAAGAGATTTGTGCGACGAACAGTTTTGTTCTTTTGTAGGTGTACTTGAAACAAATTTGCATCTCCATAGCTTGAACAGTGGGCCTAATGACAAGGATCAACGGAAATGCAAGCTGTTCTAACAGCTTTTGTTCCGCAAGTTAAATTAAAGTTTCATTTGCGAAAATTTGAAAATATAATTTTAATTTTACACCTGACGGTCTTAAAAAGAGAACGAGATTGAGAAGGATATGAATTATTTGAGGAGAAAATGCTGTACGTCAAAAAAATTAACGAGTACATTTAGGTTTAAAGCAGGTGCCCGATGGAAATGCGTGGAATGAGGCAAATATACTCGACATGTACCCTTCTTCATTTCAACTTAAAGCATTATACATTCACTTTAATATTATTCGTATAAATTCTAAACTATATCTTAACTTCAACCGACCGCATCACGATAAAAATATCTTTATTGTTAAACAAAATAGTGTGCTGATCCCCTTATATGAGTAAATAGGCCTGAACAACGATAATACTTTGCTAAACTGAAATTTTAATTAGGTACACCTTGCAGAAGCGAAAAAAAATTCATTTTTAAGTCTTTTGCTTCAACATACGTTTTGGCGTGCCCATCTATATTTTGAAATATGTTGATTGTTGGTAGCGCAATACGAAAACCTTGAAAGTAAATAGTGAAAAAAAATTCATTGTTAAGTCTTTTGCTTCAACATACGTTTTGGCGTGCCCATCTATATTTCGAGATATGTTGATTGTTGGTAGCGCAATACGAAAACCTTGAAAGTAAATAGTGAAAATACTTACCAGCAGAACATTGGGCGTATGTGAGGATCGACGAAAGGAAAACCAAAATGAAATGGCGCTTAAAATCAGCAGACATGACGGATGGTTAACGAGAGCGCTAAATGATAAATGATCGGGGGGGGGGGGGCATTATTCGAATCAAGTACGTAATGGGGGTGCTTGGAACTACAAAAAGTATTTTGCCGAAAGGGTACCGTGTTACAACCATTTGAATTAACTTATTGTACCCTATAACCACTTATTCGAATCAAGTGCGTAATGGGGATGCTTGGAACTACAAAAAGTATTTTGCCGAAAGGGGACCGTGTTACAACCATTTGAATTAACTTATTGTACCCTATAACCACTTATTCGAGTCAAGTGCGTAATGGGTGTGCTTGGAACTACAAAAAGTATTTTGCCGAAAGGGGACCGTGTTACAACCATTTGAATTAACTTATTGTACCCTATAACCACTTAGATTACATGCATATGGAAAATGGATTGAAACTCATTCTGCGGTCACAATTCATGGTTCATGGATGGAAGAGGAATAAAGATTGAATCAATTACTAGCGGGGCAAATGAGGCAAGAGACATTAGTCTTACGCGAGGTAATTTATGAATATCCAGAAATAAAAAGGTTTTCTTATTTGCGTGAGATAATAGCCTTCCTCCGAGTTTATTTGGGAATTTTGAAACGTGGAGAAAAGTGTTCTGGCTAGGCTTTAACAGGAGTATTGTCCAATACCTGGAAAGAGGGAGAAACACAATATCTCAAGGTATAAACTTGTCTGCCTTGACTTTCGTATGAAGTTGTTAGCAGCGCACATGATATTTTCTTCTTTATTTTAAGCAAATATTTAATGTTGAAAACGGTGTTATCGATGATGGAAGATTGGCAGGTTACAAAAACAATGTATTCTTAGGTGGCAACCAATCGCTAATGAAGATAGTATTTTCGTGAATGTTCTGTATCAGTAATTAGCTACACGGAAGTCATAACCAAAAATTACTGATGTACGTTCGATTCATCTTAATGAGAGTTGAGGTTAGCTTAGGATTATAGTCTTGTATCATGTTGTTGTATTGTTAATCTGAAATCTATATCATTACTTGTTCCGCGATAAAAAAAAAAAATTTTTTGCTAACTTATGAAAATAGGATGGCCATCCGATAGCCTGAGTTAGACGTCCGTAATGAGTACCTATTACATGTACCAGCTCATTTTTCGGACCAGATAATTTTATTTCTTCTCGCCTGCCTTTTAGGAAAGATCACGTAATTCATTATTGACGTAAAGTATGACAGTTCTTTGCTCCGTCTATCGATTAACTACCTGGTCACAGTGTCTTCAGACCGTTATCAACATTCTAAGGAGCATCTGTCACCCGCGATGATCAAACAGAAGCAAGCAAAATGTTAGCTGTGATCTCAATCAGTTTTTATGCTGCTGTCTAGGTGTGATATTGAAATATTTACATCTGGAAGACGTTCCTATTCACACTGTCGGCAAAATGTCATTAATTCATGATCTCTGATTTGGATTCTACCTCCAAAAATTCCGTGCTATTTAAGTTATTCCAATCTTTTCAGACACGGAGATAATTTCACTGAGTTGACGAATCGCGATGTAGGTGTGCTCTTGAAATATTTGCATCGCGGAGACGTCTTTCATAACAATATTGGCCGAACAGCAGCGAGTAAGAGGGCAATAAAGTAGAAGTTACTAGATATAAAAGTCGTCCTGCAATCCTTGAAGAAAGGAAGTTCTCGACAAACGATAAATCAGGCGAAATCCGTGACCACTTTTCTCGAGGGTTAGTGAAAACGTGGTTTGTGATGGGATTAATATAGGGATGATTGTTTCTTCAGCAACGTTGTAGAAGGAGTATGTTCAAAAAGAAGGACGAAAAACAAGTGAAAACTTGAAAATTTGATGGGGATGATTTTTGCCCTTGAAAGTAAATTACTCCTCACTTTAATATTCGGCAAAGTGTAGCTTTTCTGAAAACTTAGTATATCAAAGCAAGTCATATGTTAAGGTCAATATTTGCCCCCGATAAATTTTCTGACATATAAATTAAGTTTTACTTTATAGTGATGTTGAACTAAATCCAAAGCCTACGTTATCAGGATTTGCTTTATTTAACACAAAGATTAATTAAGTGAATTGGGCTTAAGGCCATAAACTAGCTGGTTTAAACCAATTATTTGTTACCCTTATGGCCATCTTTCTTTTGTTGATGCTGTTATTCAGCAGTTATTTGCTACTCTAAATTGTCAACTTTCTTTTCATGATGCTGGTATTCGGTACTTGAGAGACCATTCAAACAAATAATTATAACCAGAGTAAAAGAAACAAACGATGGGAGAAACAACAATAACTGCTTTTAATAAAAAGGAAAAGGAGCTATGAATTTTGATAATGCGGAAGTTAGAAGAATAATCATTTTGATTCGCTCCTGTGATTGAAGGGCTACTTTATGTTGAAGATTTCACCACTAACTGATTTTTGCGCACATGGCCGTACATGGAATTTATTTGCACTTGTAGTAGTATAGTCAACTGAAAAATTAAATTAATATGACAAAGAAGGTTATTACACATGTCGATTTCGGTTGAAGCGACGGGAAAAATATTATACTTACAATTTGTGTTCCATATGCGGCTAGTAAGCTTCGAAGTGCGATCTGTGGTGACACTTTTGAAATGTAAGTTGCGTAACGAACTTCTAGGTTTTTAAATAATTAGTCACCTGATCTATTTTTGCCGCGTTGCGCTAAGATAATTAAATATTCACAAAAAAATGACAAACGGCTTGAGAAATGCAAATCACATTTATTTTCGATGGGAAATACCAAGTTTTCCCGTTTTTCTATAGCTACTGGAGACCTTTGGATCTTTTCTATTTCTTCCCTCAAGCTTATAAAAGATAAACTGAGCCAGCAGGAGATATGAAATTGTCAGAGGCAAGCAGAAGGGTGGATAAATAGGCATAGCGCAAAGAACCCAGGGATACGGGCTTGCACAGGAATAAGGCATTAAGAGTTAAGGAGGAAAGTTACATTCAAGTATCATTGCATTTCGGTGCCACCGAGGATTTTATTAGATTAGCATCCTGTCAGACTATCTTGGTTTTGGGTTCTGGACATTCTGCGCTTTTAACTTTATATTGAAAATTACTCAATCGCTGGTTTATTCCGCTGAGAACAACGGAAAAGTCCTCTGGAGCAGGGTATTCTATTCTAATGAATAATCGTTCACATAAACATTTAGGCTACAAAACATTTTTTTTTTCATTTCAATCCTTTAAAAAGAATAATGAGGTAATTTTGGCAGGCTAAAGGCAGGAATGAGGTTGAGAAACGACGAATCTTCGTGCCCTTGTTCAGAAACAAATTTCAAGGAATTTTCCAGAACTTCGATCGATGTTTTCAGCCTTTAAAATTGTATGAATGATGTTGTAAATAGCAAGAGAAATAGTAATCAGCTGACAATTGTGGCTTACACGGATAAATTCTTAACTTTCGCTGGTACAGATTCAAACGACTCATACGATGTGGACATATTCGATTACCAAAGCATGTAAATTCTGTTTTATAAGCTGAGTTTTTCTAATTCCTCACTGTACCAGGATGTATCCCATGGCTTTGATATGTTTTATCCCGTTATCCACACCACTTCGACTTGCCTCGTTACCACAAGTGTTCGAATCGTCAGGGTTACCCCCTGTGCCAAATCCGATCCTTGAGTCGCACGAGGAACACTCATTCTGGTTGTTGCTAACAATACCAAATCTGGTTTTAGAATTTTCACTCCTACTACAAACAGCATTGAACCCTTCTTTGTTGCAGTTGTACTGTAATGAGCCTTGCGAGCCAATCAACTCTTTCCACTTGTCACGACCCAGTGAGGTGGCGCGGTATTGCCCATCAGCGATCAGTGAGTACAGAGAGTCAGCCTTCTTGTGGATGACAATGAACCTGAGCTGTTGGTCGATCTTCATACCGAGGCAGATCTTAGAGAAGGATGTGTTCCAGTAAGTGGGTAGCTTTGTTTCCTGCTCGTCGAACCCAGTCTCTCCTCCGGGAAGGTTGTATCCTTTATAATCACTCCAGTGATGTGCATTATAGTGAAAAGTGGTCTGTAACAAAAAGAATCAAAGAATCCCTTCCTTGCTTCTTTAATATTCATTACTGGTATTAACATAACTAATTGTGCTCGCCGATGTTGTTTCCAACCTTAGAATGATCATTTCAACTTGCATTTTCCTCAAATATTTTTTTTTACTAATTTACAATTGTTTTTTTAATTAGTCAAAAAAAAAAAGAAGAAAAAAACGTGCTAGTCACTAATTTTGTCTTTTTAAAAAGACCTATAAGAATTTTTCAAGTTAGATGCTCTCTGTATTAGATCATATCTCCTGTATACTGTTTAAGTTTTAACGCTGCAAGATTTATGGCTGTGCCATAAATCGGCTCTAATTATTATATACCATATTGCCGTCCATCTTCATGACCGGCGTCCATCCTCCATCTCCACATCCAAAATCTCCCATGTGACAGAGAACGGAGACTGGTTTGGAGTCCAAACGGAGGGTGACCAGTTTACTAACATCAGACCTATTTGCAATAATTAAGAACCCTAACTTACGTATCAAAAATAATGATTTTGTCTTTATGATGTAATAGATAGATGCAGTCCCACAATAAAAACAAGTAGATTTGAGTGCCTCTCAGAGTAAAGATAAATATTTGTTGCTAAAATGCCAGCCTTCTCCTTCTCGCTCTATACATGTATATCTCCTATCGAATATCGGGACTTTCCCTTTAGAACGATTTCACTGGAAAAAAGACCACTCGTGCTTAACACTCTCTTCCAGTCTCACAGTGTACTCAACTATACCGCAATAGTAGAAAGAAAACACGACAACAATGAGAAGAATACAGCATTTTTGTTGCTGTTGCTCTTTAATAACGTTTACAATATTGCACGTATTAGTTGTTGCATGTGTCTTCAAAGATGAGCTTAAGTATTAGAGACGTTTGCATAATGGGTTATGTCACTAGCACAAAGTTCTACTTACATAGGGGGAGGGGAGGTGGAGAGGCTCAGGTAATAATGTGATATCATTTGCATCGAGAAAAACAAATGATCTCGTCAAATGGTTTGCTTGATGATAGTTTTTGAGTTCAAGTGACAAAAAACATGTTAGGAAACAAACTTACCTGTACATTTCATACAATTCCTTGCACGACTTCACGGCTTTGGGAAAAAAAGATGATTTGGAAATATCAACTGGGTTAATAATTAAAATTAGCTTTCGTAAAGAGTTTCAAAGCAGACGTTTCGAGCGTTAGCCCCTCGTCAGAGCTCGGGTAGGAGATTTGGGATGTAAGTGTTTTTATGCAGAAAATGGAGCTACGCTATTAGTGTGAACATGGTGACGAGAAAGACAAGAATAAATTAGTTGAATGAAAAACATTCGTTGATACCGTAGGGACTAAGAATGCCGATTTGAAAGATTTTATTTTGCTCTAGAGTTTTGCGACTTTCCGAGCTGCCTAGATGTAGGGAAAGGCTCCAGATTGCCATGTAAATGATTAGGGAGATTTAAGTGTCTAGCGACTGGTCTGGTTTGGATGCGTCCTTGTCATTCCTTTGGATGTCGCGAAGTTATCCTCGGGATCGGTCACCTAGTCGTATACTGTTTCGCCAATGTCCATATTTTTGCATTAAGTGTAAGCTATGCAATAGATGACATTGGCAGGGGTGCACGTGAAGTGATCAGTAATCTAAATGGAACCCCGGGTCTTGATGTTTTCTCTACGTAGTGAATGAAAGGACAGGTTTTGTATTGTGCACGACCGCATTTGAAAGTTACAGGTTCGTCATTAGTTTGTAATGAACTTCTGATCAAAAAGTTGTCTTTTTCACGTTTGAATGAAATAAGTAAAAGTTGCGAAAAGATCAAGCCAGTCTCTGAATCATGTTGAAGTAATTTAAAACGATTTTTAGAATGACAAATTTCACCGTGTAGCCGTGAGGGTGAGTCGAGTGCGGTCGGCATCTTCCTTCTGTGCCGTTCGTAGTGCTGACTGTCGATCAATTTGTTGGGCGCGTTGGTGGCCCACTTTAACAACAGAAACAGGATAGCCACGTTTATCGAAAAACTGGTACATTGCCTCTGAATTGTCAGAAAAATCAGAGCCGTCGCTACATAAAAAACGAAGTCTAAGAAAGCGAGAAAAGGAACAGAATTCTTGATGTAGGATAGATGTGAAGATAAATACAACAAGTGACGATGTGAGTCTGTAGAGTCCGTAGGTTTGTAGTATTGGCTGTTGCCTTCAGTTAAAACTTTGATATTTAGAAAAGTCAAACAAATGTCGGAAATTTCCCAGGTATATTTTAGGGCTGGGTGATTGGCAACTGTTATAATTTGAATTAGCTCCTCTCTGGTAGAGAAGATAGCGCCGATACAGTCATTAATTAAGCGACCGTAGAGTCCAGGTTTGGGGCCGTTGATTTGACTGAAAAATTGGTGTACGATAAAACTTACGAAAAGATTGGCGTAACTGGGTCCCATTTTGGTACCCATGGCTACATTAGTTTTTTTGTAATAGTTGTCCCCGAATGAAAAGTAAATAAGTGTTAGTACTGGTTCGGCGGAGTAATGTTTCAGAGCCAGGTTCCTCAACAGTTCGTCGATCAAATAAATGTTGTACGGTAAGGGGCTAATATAAAGTATAAAGAGATATAATATCCATAGTGAAAAGAAGATTGTCTTGGCCAAGGAAATCAAAGTCGCGAAAAATTTCAAGGGCATGTTGCAATCACCTTTTAGACTACAGAGTGCACGTGTAGTGTCACGTGAATTTCGATGTCCGCAAAAGTTCGGACATTGAGTCAACCACCCACTACCCGTGTTCGAACCTCGCCTTCGGTAGTCTGTTGATAATAATTTCCAATGTCGTGAAGCGTTGCTATGCTCAAAATTGACTTTTTTTATGTATCATATGTTTGATTATGTATCAAGCGAGTTGATATTTCTCTACCGCTAACGTTGATGCGAATAATATGGCAGGAAGCGTTCGAGCATGAAATAATCAAACTAATTCTGCGCGCATACAGTGATGTATCTGATCAGGTATTTTCAGGGAGTTGAGGGCGTAGATTGTCAAATAAAACCACTTCTGATGGGAAATTGGTGCTCACGAATCGCTGAAAAAGAGATGAGGGAATACTGACACATCAATTACCTTTCTCACAATATTCTCCCACGAAACCCTGTGCACAGAGACAGTCATGGGAGTTGAAGTCGTAATTCGGGATGCAGGTTCCTCCGTTTTGACATGGCGAAGAAGAACATGGAGACTGAAATAAGTCAGGAATATTGACTATTAAGACCGACGAATACTTGAACAGTAGATGCGACACGTGAAGCATATAGTTTTAGAATGATTACCAACAGCATTTCCGTTCAGAGCGTCATTTTCATCTGTTTATGTGTTGATGCGAATGAGATACATACTGCTTCAGAATTAAAAAGGTTCTTACCCGAATAAACAAATGATGCGAACTCATGTTTTGGCTGTAGTTCTCGGCGTCGGCTCTGTTCCTATCAGAAGACAATAATTCGCACCAAAGCTTTCCATCTGCTCCTCTAGAGGCGGCCGTGTTTATTGAAAGGCACAGGGTATTTCTCATACATTCAAATGTGCAATCAAACATGTCGTTCGAGGTGAACATTCCAACTCGAGTTACGTTCAGATAATGGAATTCTTCTTTTGAAAACTGACGCTGTTTAAATGTCTGTCTGAGAGGACGCCATCTTTCTTCCGAACTTTTTATTCCTGGTGTGAGAAACACAAGAGGAATGTTTTTGTCGAATAATGCGATAAAATTCTCCTGAATATACAATGTACAAGGCTATAGAAATGAGGTTATCGCATGAAAAAATCGTTGTAAGGTTTCAGTCGCTTAAACCTTAGATTACAATAGATTATTACGAATGCCTTTATGAAGGTTAATAGGCCTGCCTATTAAACGTCTTGTGTAAAAATATATTGTAGTTTTGGTGTAAATTTCGATAGAGATCACAGGTTTCGCTGAGGATCGCCCGGTGCCTTTGGTCCAACTTATAACATCGAATTGCCAAGCAGTTTTGGGACTTAAAATATATAAAAGACAAAAAAAACCATTAATATACAGGAAATAGTAAGAGTATTTACCTAGAGAAAAGTTGGCTGCGGCAAATATCAAAAAAACAAGTAAGATAAAACGAGATTGCGCTTGACATCCGCAGACATGACTGATGGCCAATTAGACAAAGTTAGTTTGCTCTATGGAATAAATTCTGACTGAACTGTGGTTAACTTTCTGTTGCTCGCTGGCAACACGGTTGGCTTGTTTTTGTGCACTAGCAACATAGGTCGCGCACCACGCAGAAAACCGGCAACCAGTCGATTCGGATTAGCTGATAAGACTGTTATTCAGCTGATAAGCTGATAAGCTTCGATTCAATTGAAGGAATGAGAGCCTTTAATTTGTTCAATCAATATTTTAATGAGTCAATAGACATAGAGGGTTTTAGTTGCGCTATAGTCACAGAATCGACAGTTTTCTTCTGGAAAGAACAAAACGGGCTTTATGTGTATTGTAGCAAATTGATGACAGTCACTTAACCTTGCAACTAATTAATTATACAAAAATGTAGCACATTTGAATCCCTCAAAAGACAGGTGAGAGTAAAGAAGTATACACGCGAACAAGGGCAGACTTGTATCTTGAAGGGATAGAGGACAATTAAGGGAGAAAGAACCAACACACTTTTTTTTTTCACTCGAGTGATAAAAAAAATTATACATCACCTTTATTAAACGGACTATATATACTAAATTTCAAGGCCCTCAAATTTCTACTCACTCGCATGTTAGAGCTCAAAGGTAGATGTCAGATCTACTATACTTAGATTCCTTGTCATTCCGTCGAAAGATGGCTGATGAGGCATCATTAATTATCGACTGGTTCAAGTTGGGCATCTTGAGAAATTTGGCCTAAACATTGAAATTATTATGTTCAACTTACTGCTTTTTGGAATTTTTTTGTTTTGCCTATTGCTTAATTACCTCCCCGTCAACTAACTAAGTTAAGTATTTGTAGTCCAGTAGAAAGACACAAAAACGGATGAGAACGAGAGGGTAGACGAGGAATAATTTAGCAGATTTTGTAACTAGGTCTTGTTACGCAACGCTTTGCCTGAAACAACTGCTGAGTGGACAAACTTGAAAATGTGGTATTATCATTCACAAAATGATCTATTTTATATCTATTCCGATGTATCTTCTGTTGATGTAATCATTGTATATAGGGTTGCGAACGAATTTTAAATTGCAACACCTAATAAAAGATGTCGCAGTTTGTGATGGATATAAATTGCAATTTCCTGTACTTTGCAATTCTCAATCGGTTTGTGTGGTTAATTATCTTCCCTCTTATGTGCTGACCCATGCTGAAGTTTAATGAAAAGTCTATTCATCAAAGCAGAAATAACTATAGAAAACAATGGCTATTATATCAAGGCTTCCATACTCATATTCAGACGAACTTTTTATCATGATGATATATCCACTCTAAGACTATAGAATATTATAATTACAACACATTGACCGGTGACGCACGAAGTTAAAGGATATTTAGACTAAGGCACTTGACTAAGTGGCTTTAAGTCCTTTTGAAATAAATCGCGAAAACACGTTGCTGTAAGAAAACAAGATCCTTTGACATTAGCTTGACTACAAGGTTTGCAATCTTCCAAAAGTGAAATTTCCATATTGAATCACCACTTTATTTTTACGGCAAAGTAGCAGAGGAAAATTTAATTTCGTCGAGGCATTAATAATAAATAAATTTCCCTGAAGACAAGATGGTCGTAGTCAACAGGGATGGAAAGAAAAAGAAAACGAGATGGCGCATGAAATCAGTATTTTGCCTATTATGGTCTTTCCAAAACTGAGTGATCGATTGAATAAGAGGCGAATGATTTGAAAAATTACGTCCCTTACTTGTGGCAAGTAATGAAAGCGTTTTCCTTGTGTTGTCGCCTAATGTTTCAATAAAACATGATTTACATTTACGGCAATTACTGATGTAAATCAACTATGTACGAATTAGGGATTACATAAATTTCAATCACAATATTCACAACTGCTATCCCTTAACCTTGCCAAATTAACCAAACCAGCGAAAAAAATAAAAGTAAAAAAGTCTAAAGTAAAAGCAGAAGAATTTGATATTAAATCTGTCGATACTGAGAGTTTGATGGCTTGAAATCTGTGATGTTGTAAATCATACTGTAATACTCTCTTGAGACAAAATAATACTATTGATACTCTGAACGAAGCTTGACTATGAAAAGGCTAAATATGATAACTATCTTTCTGTATGCATGTATTAATCCTTATAACAGCGTGCTGCATGAAAATCCTTCCAAACACATAGGGGTAGTTCTCAAGCCCTCGACAACAGTTATCGCATTCGTATTCCGAGAACACGATATGCAATGCCAAAAGGTTATGGCGATGAACCTACCATATCAGAAAAGCGCTGCAAGGTTTCAGAGTACTGAACTTTCCTTTACAACAAACCAGTACTATTGAATGCACTGACTCGTGAAAATTGTGTAGGCACAGGTGTAGCTGGGAAGCGACAAATGTATTTGGTCAAACCTTATTGCCAAGCAGTTTTGGAATTAAAAAAAAAACTTCGAATAACAAAAAGAAAATAACAAAAATGTTTACCTGAAGAAAATTGGGCCGCAGAGAAGATCGAAGACAAGAAAATTAAATTGAGATAACGCTTAAAAACAACAAACATAACGAATGGCTGACGCACAGGGGCAGCGTTTGACTGCACATGCGCCTAAGGTGCCGTTTGATGGTCACGTCCAAGTTGTTTGTTGAACATGTTAAAAGTTTTTGCTATTATTAGAAAAACCTCTATAAATAGGTGAAATAAAAATATTTCATATCGTCTTAAATATTTAGAAACGATGAATTGAAAAATCATGTACAAATTTCATTGCCTACAAATTTCGATTCATTCACGTCTAAAAGATCGAAGGCAAGTTTAAGGTCAGCTAAGTGACGATTGAGGTTTTTATCACCTGTTAGCCTATCTCATTTAATAAATTTACTTTAAGGGTTTATCACTCAGTTATTCCAGCTTCAAAAACTCATTAATAATTCATAAGCCCATTAACCTATCAAATGGTAGATAATACATCACGTGCAGTGACTTTATATCGATAAACCTCATCCTTATTAGTATGCGGTGTTTTATCAGATATAAAGACACTGCACGTGACTTATGAATATTAATTAATTTTCAACACAGAAACTGACACAACAAATGGTGGGAACATATTTAACGTTCTTTCAACAAATTTCACACAGTAAATTTACTTTTGCACCAAATTAATAGTACAGTTGTGAAATACACATCTAGAAAAATTCTCTATTCCATTAGTACAGTAATCTGGTAAAGGCATATTAGACAATACATCATCTGAAACTGAAATCTGTTTTTCTCGTATGCTAATTTCTAACGTTCACAAAAGCATAATTGTTATGAACTCTCTTGACACACGCTTTTCCAAGAATGTTTTTGAAGCCGTTCAAAAAACTCGCAGCACGTGTTTTATCGGGTCAAAAACCCCTCGGCTACGCCTCGTGGTTTTAAAACTGATAAAACACTCCTGCTCGTTTTTTAAACATTACATAAAATGCTAAAAGAAAATACAATGAAAGGTTGTGTCTTTGAAAAGAAGAAAAAAAGCAAGAATCAGAACAAGAAGGGAATTAAGAATAACATCTCACAAAGTGAAGAAAGTTGTTTTTGTTACCTACGCTGTGATCAAAAACAGGTGCTGAATGGAAGTCACGTTTTATAAAGGAAGCCTTTACCCTCCAAAAAAATTTCTAAAACAGATCTATTCAGATGTACTTATAACAGGTAAATCAATTAAACTATGATGCAAGGTTTCATATTTGAACTAAAAATTGCCACATATGCAGAGTTATTTATAGAGGAAATGTGGCAATCTTTCATGGAAATAAATTGTAAGAGAAGTGAGACACTAGAAATGTCTGAGTGCGTGCGTATTGCGAACTGATTTGTTCAAACGTTCAACTTCGCGTCATTCGCTAAAAAAGTGTCGATTGAAGTTTGTTTTCACCTGTTAGCTGTTTGCCTATCTCAATTAATAAGTATACCTAAAGGATTTACCACTTCCAGCATAAAAATTTCATTGAAAATACAGTGGAAGGTTGTGTCTTTGAAAAGAAGAAAAAAAAACAAGAATCAGAACGAGAAGGGAATTGAGAGTAACATTTCACAAAGTTAAAGATTTAAAAAAAATCGCCACACATGCTGACTTTTTTATTGAGGGAATGTCACAGTCTTTCATGGAAATAAATTGTAAGTAAAGTGAGACAATAGAAATGGCTGAACGCATGCGTATTGCGAAATTTGTTTTAAACATTCAACTTCCAATCTTTGAAGGTTTTCACTTCACTCTTCCATGCTGATCCATTCGAAAACATGCTGAGGTTTTAAGTGCCGCTCTCGCTAACAGCGGTCCTCTCGACTTCCCGTCAGAAAAAAGTTTTATTTTATTTTTTGCCCATGAAAAGGGTTTAGGACACATGTTTCAAAAATAGTTTAGTTGTTCTCCAGTTCTCTTTTTTTGCATCGCCACAAGCCAAAAATGATTTTTGGCCAGACTACCCCTGTGAACAGCGATCGAAAGCGTAAATTTCAAAGATTTTGTCCAGCGCGCAGCGACGGCAACAGTGCAGCTCACGGGATTCTGTCTTGCTTCAAGGTACAAGATGCATTCAGTTAGTTCACAGACAAGTATGGAAACTTCAGGTGAAATATTTTTCATACCAGCGTGATCAGAGGAGACCCTTCTCTTCGACCTTAATTTGCATATCAAAAATTCATTACTTTGTACGAAAGAATTCTCAAAAGGCAGGCGTTCATCGGGCTGAAAAAGCATATCAGTGCATAGTCTATACACCAATCAGGTCACGGATTGTCTCAAACCCGCGGGTATATCTCTAGCTTCCATCTACCAACATCTTAAAAACAACGCAAATCCATGTGTTTTCTCAATTGCGCTAGTGTCAAAGATCATTTGCATGATTCTAAAAATTGACCAAGATATCCTTTTGACCGTTCAAACTTCGTTCGTTTATCTTCTACGTTGAGGATTTTAGGTTTTCATAGCAACTGAATAGAGAATAGATGCCGAGTTGTCCTAAAACGTTGCGTAAACGTGATCGGTCGTAACGCTTGCGCGCTTGCATAACTTACAATGTAAACAAAGGTGATCGGAAGGCGCCTTCTCGATATTTTACGTTGAAATATCAGGTCATGAACTACGACAGTGTGGAGAAGATCAACATTATAGAATAAAATTTGGCACTCTGGTCATGACAGACATATCGCGTTGCTTAAAAGGACACAAAAACAAGTTAAAATACGTTACAATGTTTATATTTACAAAACAACACGCATACACTCTGAAACAATTCTTGCAGTTTCTCCCGAGATTTAGTACACGGAACCCGATGAACTAGCCCTCCTTTCTGAAAATTTGTTTCCGTCATTAATGATTTTACGCTCTTATGGACCACAACGGTTCTGAGTGACAAACTCGACATTTCTCTGCGACCATCAAAATCAATTGGACAAACCCAGCTTGATGTATTGCGTGACGTTGTGTGGAAACTTTTCTCTTTGTCATATGGCCTGTTTTGCGAGTTTTACAAATTGAAACCAAAATTAGTTAGAGTAACGAATTACTAATTGGGAAACTATGCCAGCTGGTTTCATGAGCAGATCAAGCGCTGACGGAATCTGACAGTTTTGAAATTTTAAGCGGATGCAAAAATCGAGAAAAAAATTCGTCATGACACAATTTGTCCTTTGATTTTGTCAAGAGAATTCTGGTTTTGTCTGCTAGTGCAGATAGTCCAGATAGGCACTTACGAATCAATTTTTAGTTAAATAATAGCCTTCACTAGCGAGAAATTGCGAATATATTACCCATATGATCCGACTACAACTTTAATTTCGAAAACTTCAAAAACATCTCCAGTCAGTCTGGCTTTCTTTCACTGCCTCACATTTTCCCTTGTGCTGTGGCTGTTAACAAGTACTTTCACCGCATTTCCAATGTTTCCTAAAGTGTTCGGATGTCTAGAACATACCAATAACTGTTATGATTTTTCCATATCGTAGTCAAAATGACTGGAACGAAACAAAATTAACTCGTACTCGAGGATTTCGCTGAATAGCTGGTAGTACATCAAATGACTCGATACGTCGTCCCGGTCACAAGCAGATATGGACCCCTCTTCGCAGATTTGGTAACTCCCGAGGTACAAATTCGGCTTCGTTTTTTTTTTTTTTTTTTGCGTTCAGTCACAAAACGCAGTTCCACTACAGTGCATGCGTAGAAAGAACCGCAGAGCGTAGATCGTATGGTTTAAAGCAATGGCTGCCTTCGTGGGCAATTCTTTGCTTGATGTACGCGAAAAAAATTCGATGGCTATTACGCTCAATATACACAGACCCACACTAAAACTTGTGGAGTGTTGTGGGAACGGGTCGGTCCGCGAACTTTACGAAAGATCAATTTACAAGCGATCCTTTACTAGTGAACTTTCTATCGAGAAATATCAAGCGAAACCTGCTATATTAAACGAGCTATCTAATATTATGTTTACATGTAAACACAACCGCGTATTTAGACGTGATGGAGAACCCAGTAGAATACCAGATGCTACTCTGAAACGTCTCAGAAGAAAGGGCAGAAAACTAAAGGAGTTTGTTTATGAGCGTATTCGTCCAAGCATACCGAAGTCCTCGTGACTACGTCGTTATGTGAAGGTTAGAAGAGTTACAAAGAATGTTTGTAAGCTTAATACGAAGAGGGTAAGATTAAATAAAGTGACACAATATGAGAAGAAGTATTTGTTGCATTGTTCTGTGAGGGTATATCAAAGGATAATTAAATTGGAGTGTAGAGCAAGTCGGTATTTATCACTGTTCTCTTGTAATAGACCCATGTGTCTTAATAAGAGTCAGACACACGTATCAAACTATTGTAAATTTCAACTGAGTCCAGATATCGAGAAAAACCTTAGTCCTACTCCAATGTACATTGACCCAAGCAAAGCAATAACGGCACCATATAGCCAAGTGTGACGATAGGGTTTTCGCTCGCTCTAATTGGACTTTCGCGGGAAACGTACAAACGGGGGAAAATAGCTCGGTAGAGACCACTCGGCTTACGAGAACGGAAACTCGTCACGATTTCCTGGCACACGGTTCCACCATAGACTTTTATTCTAGGTCAGGTCAACAAGCGACATGACCTCAAGCGTACTCAAGTTTGTAATCATCAAAGCTGTACAAAGTACTTGCTTATGAACTAACTGGTGTGGGGTGCTATTGTTACACAAATCGCAATATTTGAATAAGGACACAAAGGAGCTTTGAAGATAAACGAAAATTACTTAGATATTCCATCTGTTTCTACGACGAAAATAATCTCAAAATTAAAAGACGGATGCAATAAACTCGAGGCCATTAAAGTAGGAAACTTAGGTGCGAATTCACAGCTCTGGTATAGAAAATAATACCTATCTTGATTACAGAAGAACAGCTTAGGAAATAAAAACAGAAAAGCAATTAAAAGTTTCTGCTTATCTATGCAGTGTTGGTGTGGAAACTATCGTATATACGAAAAGAAATTAAAGTTACGAGTATAAACTCAGCTGCTAACTACCAAGAAAACCAATTTT